AGCTGATCTTCTGTCTCCCTTCTCTTTCTCCCGGCCTTTTCTTCTCCCAAACATCCCAATCCACCCCTCATTCGATCTGCCATCCCAACGTCGCAGATTCCCCTCCTTTTTACACGCTATAGAAATTCTTTTCACTGTCCTTACCAACAAATATCGTCATAAGTTCGTTGCCAAAATGGCCTTCGTTGAGCTGTAGATTCCTCGCTGGGGGGCACGACAGTCTTTTTCCTGCTCCCCAGTCCAGCAGCTCCGAGTTTCCTCAATCGACTTGACGATATTTGTTTTCTCTTTCGACGCAAAGTCTTGCAGCGTCGAAATTGCCCCCAAGTACAGTTACAGAAGAAGCACATTAACGTCCGCGGTGGACGGTGAGGTGCTTTCACGCTCGAAAAGTTCTTCTCTCTTGTTCTGATACAAGCCTTCCCCCCTCTTCTCTTCCGACTCCTGACCTTTCACCACCTATCCTTCACCTCCCTCAAACGATAACGAAATTTCCCCGGCCCTTTCCAACGTTGTAACGAATTGACGGCCAAGAAAACCAACAAACTTGCCTTGATCATCCGCTTATACCCACTACGGAGTCTCTGACGCAATACACTGCGGCTTGCACACGGGTAACAAAACTTTGCCAACCCGAGGTACCCCAAACCAATTTGGGTCCATATTGAACCGTACTTTGATCAATTGTCACTTCTAAACAATACCATTGTCGACGCAATGTCACCAACCGCCTACTCCCCCAAGCGGTCTTCGAAGGATGCCGGCAGGGAGAACCGTCATCGCAACTCGAGTCCCATGTCCCGCATCGGACAACACTCTCCAAGAATATCAAACAAGGCAATTTCCCTTGGGTCACTGGCAGCTGACAGGAAACGGAGGGCTTCCTCGTCCGTCTCCAGCGTGTCGTCGGTCTCGTCTGTAGAGCTCAGCGATGATGTAAACGAGTCAGATGCTGATGACGAAGAGGACCCACCTGCTGTCCGTGGCCCGTCTTATGGCCGTCGTGACAAGACTCATAAGGCGGGAATGAAATCAACAAAAAGAACGAAAAAGATGAGGTTATCGGACGATGACGGCTACGATGGCCAAAAGAGCAGTGGCGATAATGACTCGGAAGATAGCTCCGATGATGTTTACGCAGCAGTTGACTACATTAGCGATGGAGACGATGATGAAGATCATGATGTAGAAAAGTTGGAAGAACTGTTGATCGTGGAGTCAGAGGATGAGCATGATTTCAATGGCATCTTGACAACCTCTACCGTCAGCGTCGCCAACTCCCACGATTGGGCGGGCCCCAATGTGTTTGATGACCACATGCTACTTTCAGCTGCGTCGTTCTTCGATGAAGAGCAGCTCTACACCGCCATGGAAGCCTTCGGGGAGACCGACATGGCCAGTGAAACAGCCGTAGAAACACCGGTTCCCCGCCGGGTGCATTTTGAGGAAGACTCAGATTCATCGTCTGAGAGCGATTCCCACACTGAGGATGAAATCCCCAGTGACTTCCTCCAGCAGGACAGCCTTGATCCTCAACTACGTCGCATGATTGAGAACGACAATGAGACCTACAACAAGCGCCGTCGGCAGTCCGATGAACTGTTCGCGGAGTCCGACTATGGTCATTCAAACATTTATCACGTTGAGTCGGATGCTGTCTCCGAGGAATCGGAGTCAAGCGGATACGAGAGTATGCAGACACCTATGGAAATTGACCTTTACCCTGTACTGACCAACATGAAGCCGATGATGGCGAGACTACAGATGAAGACCTTCCCCCGCCAGCAACAATCACCCATCCTCGCTCTATCCTACGCCGCGACTCCTCGGCTTCTCTCCAAGCTACCACTGCTGAAGAGACGAATGATTCTACTTCCCGTCGGCGAGGTCCCATCATGGGAACCTTCGTTGCCGATCCCCACAAGCCTGTTGCACTCGTGGACTGCACGGGCAAGCATCTGGTGATTATTCCTGCATATGCCTCCTCTCGCCATGACTGGCTTGAGTCTGCCACAAATAGCATCTGTGGCACGGCTAATAATAGCCCGCGGGCAACCACAATGCACCTCGTTGATGAGAGTGACACAGATGCGCTTGCATCACCGAATCACGTTGACCTAAGCCCAATGTTGGCTTCTAGCGCCAACCTCATGATGACGGCCCTTGGAAATGAGGTCACCACCGGTGGTCAAGTCATGGGTCCTCCCGAGGCCTTTTATCCGTCTCGTGACTTTGCCATTGATAGTTCATTTGAGGATGATGAAGAGGATGACCCGGAGGCTGCTTTGAACGTCGATGATTTCATTGACTTTGGTAATGGCTCATCCGATGACGATATGGACAAGGAATTCGACGATGATGCACTGGCCTCGCCGATGGCAGCGCCCACCATCCCAGTTGCTGCCGGTACACCAACCCCTAATCGCAATGGGGATACACAAACGAACAGTGCGGAGCGTTTCCTGAACCACCTGGACCGTGGTATTGTGACGGCTTTCCGTCGTAATCACAATCGGTACCAGGCACTGCTACGCCTCCCACAACACCGGGAGTTCATGCCGGCAAATTCACCGTCTCGACCGGCCAGTGTCTTTAGACATGCAAAACATGCGGATCAACGCACGCCTACGCGGAAACGCAAAGCGAGCGGTTACAATGGCGGCGAGGCGGTCCGACGGAAGCTGATGGATGCCCACCGTCGGGGTCAACTTCCTTTCTAGGAATTTAACAGCAGACATCTTTATGTAAAGGCGTGCCTCTCTTACTCTTGCGATACCCATCACTGTTATGACCACTTATGTCTCAGATTTACTAGCACGTTGTCACGGCAGAGCTATCATTTCTTCTTTTTGTTCCCAAACCTTACCGAGTCTGTGTTAGCGGCATAGACCTACCCGTCAGGGGCCAGGATTTCGGCTCCGTTTCAGCTGATAAAAGGTTCGACGGCTGTTTGTTTTTTCCTTTGGATGAAGCGGGCATCTAGACCAAGGTTTGATTGATTGATTAGGACCGGTCTGTGTGTATAGGAGGCTTTCTGTGAGGAAATTCATTTCGGTTGAGGAAAAGCTGGTGATGGAGTTTGAAGATTCCGATGACCAAAAGTTTACGCGATTTTCCTATTGGAGTCGGTGGTGATGCTATATTTGGCAAAGGGGATATATGGCTCTTGTTTACTCGGATCTGTTGATGTGTCTCCCCTTTTATTTTCTTTGTTCTAGGTTTGTCATGTTACAAACCTCGCGTACATAATATTTTTATCAACGTGAAAAAAAAAAGTTTAAACCAAAACTGAAGGAGAAAGCGTAACGGATCGTTTCGTAGGCAGCGAGGAAATGATGATTTGATCCTCGGGAGGTGGAGGGTAACATTGTGGCTTCAAACAACGGAGGCCCGCGGAAGAAAGCTCTGCTACGTCAAAACAAGAGAGCTAAGATAATTTGGTACGACATCTTGTGAGTAGTTCATGCCATTGGATCGTGCCCTGGCCCTCTCATGGGAGGAGAGCCAGACAAGATACCACTCCATGCAAGCCACCGCACTTTGTCTCGGCTGAGGATGCAACCCATGGATCCGTTGAGCATCGTGCGACATGCCAAGCAAGCACCCTCGATTTTTCCCACGCCAAAGGTGCACCAAGAGTACTCGCATTCCATGATGTGTGCTATGCTGTCGGAGCATAACTGATGTGGCGCCTTACCTCATGGCAGGGTATGGCCCCTGAGGAGGGACGGTATTTCCTCGGTCGAGACCATTTTTCCCTTGATCAAACGGAAAAAGAAAGAGAAAAAAAAAAAAAAAAGGTTCCCAGCTGGTTTCACCATGCTTCCCCATTCTAGGCGAGAAATGATAGGTCGCAAAACCACTTGTGGCTGATGCAGTGATCATCTGATTCGTTCGCACCCTATGCTGAATGGGGGAGGTGCTCAGTCGTGAGGTAAAGAGCTCCCTGGAGTGCGAGATCCGGTTTTGTTTGTCGTCTTCGGAGCTACTTTGCTCATTATCTGCGCCTCGCTGTGTCTACCCTATTGAAGTTTAATTGTCGAGCGTGAAAGAGTTAATCGGGTAAAAGGATGGGTTCGGGCGGTTGGTGATCCTGTCCGGCGGTTAATCGACGCTGGGGGGGGAAGGGAACAGGGTGCGTGGTGAGATCCATGCCAGGAAATTCGGTCAAAGAATCGAGAACCCTATAATTAGTTCCCGTGAAATTAGAGGCTTCGGGGACCCTCTCACACTGGCTGAGTTTCAAGCGAGACGCCCTGTGGAGTGACGGTCGCCCATTCTGGCCCTACTGTGAACCCTCGATACTGATGCAACGATATTATTCTCTGATACTGCGTGCGGGGTGATTGTCCCCCCTTTCGAGGTGGCTCTGTGTCTCTCCACGGAACCTTCGATCTATCAAATTGCATATTTTACATCATTCCCTCCTGGGGATGGAGCGCAATTTCGATTGGATTCTGGACTGGGACACAGCGGTTCGCCACCACCGTTTTCCTGCTTGTGTTGTTGTTGGATTGTCTTGTTCTGATTCTACTCTTTAGTCCGCCCTGAGAGGAAGGACCCTCTGCCGATCCGGCGGCTGTTTGAGCGATCATCGCCGTTTTCCTTCCCCATAGGCTCGACTAGCTCTGATCCTCACACCTGTTCGTCTGAAGACTTGAACTCCCGCATATCGGTACTTGCTCTCCGTTCTGCAGAGGATGAAGAATCTTAATTCGTGATCCAGGCGCATATTTTCGCTCTCCCATTTGCAATGTGTAGGACAGGTGGAAATAATGCAGCCTGGTGGGGGCGCCGTGATTGGAGGAGTGGATCAGGTACCTGCACTAGTGGGACAGCGCGGCAGTCGACGATTGGTTGTTCAGCTATACTTTAGGGTCATTGTTGTCAGACAAGAAAAAATAAAAATAATATTCAGGAATAATGGACGACCAGTAGCCGTCACAGTCCGGGACTGGAGTAAGGCCAAAAAGAATTATTCATGCATGACCGAATAAAAAATAGGGTCCAGCGAAAAGAAAAGAAACAAGGAAAAAAGGAAAAAGAAAAAACATCAGACACGCCAAATGAAACCTTGACCGGTTTATAATAAGTAGTCGAAGCCCCTCCGGAGACCCTGGAACCCTTCTGTTTCCATCTGTTCACCTTTCCTTTTTCCTTTTCTCTCTTTTGGCCCTTGTTGTACTATTGCATCTCTTTGACTCAATCCACTCGTTCATCTCGGGGTTCACCTGCTGGCCCGTCCTTCGTTATCTCATTGTTACGGTGTTGTTGTTATTGCTGGTCGAGAATAATAATACTGAACTATACCACCTTCTTCCACGACTACGACTATTACTGCTTACTACTTTCGTCTTGATTTTACCTCCATTCGTTCCATCACTGGCTGGTGACCTCAGTAGCCATGAAGGTTGCTACTTCAGTTGCACTCGCCTCTCTCCTGGCCATGGCCCAGGCTCATCCCTCGGGCGCCGTAAGTGTTCATGCATGAAGAGACTCGTTGATCCCAGACTGATGACTCTCTAGTGGTGGGGCACAGATGATTGCTATACTAGCCCGGATAACACCAATAATGAATGCTCTGACGAGATGCGCGGCGGATTCAACTGGGCTGGCCTCACCGCTGGTTCTTTTGACTTCTTCGCTGGCTTCGCATTCTCTGGGTTCTCTTTCAGCAGCAGCTTCAGTGCTGCTGTTGGTGGTGGCTTTGCCGTAAGTGGGCACGGACCGGCGGATACAATGATGTCCATACTGACGGTTACAGGGCCAATGCATCGAGTCGAAACTCTCCAAGGACGATGAGACGTCCCCGGAGATCTCGTCCGGCAGTGATAAGACCTTCTCCATCAGCAAACTTCACCTGGTGACCGGCGAGGAGGCTGAGATCAAGATCATCTATGACATGCCCGATGGTTCTTCCTGCAAGCATGTCGCCCCATGCTCTCCGAAGGGAACTGTCGTCGCCAACGACCAGTGCGGTGGTGCCAGCTCCGTCCGGTTCGAACTCGCGGAGGAGGCCTCCGTGGATGCTGTCGTCTTCGGTATCCAGAATGTCGAGTTCGAATGCTCCGCTGGCCAGAAAACTCCGACCCCCTCTCATCACCATACAAGTCCGACTGCGACTGGACACTCGTCTACTCCAGTGATTCCAGTACCGTCCTCGTCCGATGCAGTCACGCCTCCGGCTCCTAGCACTCCCGTCAAGATGACCACCTCGACCGTGTATACTACAAGCTTGATCACCATCACGAGTTGTGCACCGACCGTTACCAACTGCCCTGGAGATTCGACCACGGTTGTTACGTCCACCATTGCTGTCTCGACCACTGTCTGCCCGGTTACCTCGACCGAAACTCCCACGAAGCCTACTGAAACCCCTGGAAAGCCCACTGGAACCCCTGGAAAGCCTACTGGAAGCTCCCCTGTTGGCGGTTCCTCCGAGGTTCCCTCTCCGAGCAGCCCCGCTCCCACAGGTACTGCTGGTACTTCGTCGGAAGTTCACCCAACTAGCCATGGTGGATCTTCTTCCCTCCCTCCAGATTCAACTACCACTGTGGTGACATGGGAAACCCTGACCACTTGTCCAGTGACTACCACCGCTACTTCTGGCGGCGTCACCACGACTTCCGTCTACAGCACGGTGTCCACGGTCACCCTTACCTCGACATCCACCATTTGCACCAAGTGCACTGCTACTCCTACTGGCAAACCTACCGGCACTCCAACCGGAACCTCTCCTACACCGACAGGCGTTTCCCCGGAGGAGCCTCCAGAGGATTCCACCACGACCGTCGTTACATATACCACCGTGACCGACTGCCCAGTAACTACCACTGCTACCGCCGGTGGCACCAAGACCACTTCCGTCTTCACGACCCAGTCAACTGTCACGCTGACTTCGATCTCCACGGTGTGCACCAAATGCTCTGCTACTCCGGCTCCTACTGGAGTCGAGCCTATTAGCACTCCTGCCGGGGGTGCCACGACGGTCGTCACCTACGAAACCGTGACTACATGCCCTGTTACTACTACCATCACCTCCGGTGGCTCCACCACGACGTCTGTCTTCACTACCGTCTCGACGGTGACCAAGACTTCCAGCTCTGCCGTGAAGCCCACTGATGTCCCCCCTGCTCCTGCTCCCTCTTCACCCGCTCCATCAACTGAGTGCCCTAACTCGGTGCCCAAGTGTATCAACACCTGGCTCCCTCTTCTGCCCAAGTGTACTTCCAACGCGGACCCCGGCTGTTTCTGCCCGAGCCACGAGTTCACAGACAAGGTCATCAGCTGTATTCAGGCCTGGGGTGCATCCAAAGAAGAGATCCAGTCCGCGCTCTCCTACTTCACCGGTATCTGCGCTCCCTATATCCCCGGAAACCCCGGCATTGTCACTGGCATTCCGAGCACCATCACTCTGATCCCCACTCCTCGCCCGACAGGTGTTGCCCCTGTGACCGGCACCAGTGTGGCACCGCACCCAACCGCCGGTCCAGAGGTTCCTTGCACGACCATCACCTACTCCACCTACACGGTGACCGTGCCCCAGGTGACCTTCAGCACCGGCACCTCCGGCCACTCCACCACCGTCGGCTTGATCCCGGGCCCTGCCCCCACCGGCGTCTCCCCCGGCCACTCCTCGGGCATCCCGAACCCCTGGGTCTCCGGCTCGTCAACCTGGATCTCCAGCCATCGTCCCAGCGCGACAGCCAAGCCGTCATCCACCCAGACCCCTCCTCCCCTCGCTAACACTGCCTCCTCTGTGTCCGCCAGCTTCTGGCTGGCGATGGGAGTCGCCGCTCTCTTCAGCATCTTCTTCTGATCATAACGCTCCTTTATCTTATTTGATCTTGCTTTCAAAGACCATGTTACTTATCCCTGCTTCTCAGATTGTTCATAGGCTGTGACATATAGGTCACTGAGATAATTCTGGATAGTAAATGTATCAAGTTTTTTTTCCTTAGAATACACGATGCATCTCTTGTTTTCAGATGAATTATGCAATAATCCCATTCTCATGACAAGATACTTTAATAACCCAAGAAACACAATCAGTAACATTCTACGAAACCCTATAGTATCCCGTTGAACAACAAAAAAAAAATACAAATAAAAAAGAAAGGAAAAAAAGAACACCCACTATATCCATTTATACTAACCATCCATCCACTCCCAAATCCGATATTTGTCTAGTTTAGTTAGTTCCGTATTGTATTGTACACAATGTACACAATTAATTTACTATAGTGACTATGGAATATTAACCCTTTTTTTCTTCCATCTTAAGAGTCCAACCAACGGCTACGGAAGTTACCTATGCACAAGTCATATGTTAAACAGGGATACTCACTCCACTCCATCCATTATGTAGATTACTAGTAGTAATAGTAACTACCAGTAAATCGGTAACAGGCAAGGGTCAACTCAAAGAACCTAGTATTAAACCCCAAAATACATATAGAGAGAGAGAGAGTGTGTGTGTGTGTGTGTGTAAAAAAAAAAAGGGAGACGGAAAGAAATAACCGAAAAGGGATAGCAAATCGAGCCAGAGGCATATAACTTAAACATCTCTCCTGTACAGTTTCAGGTATAAATGAGGTATATACATGGTCTGGTGCTTGCTTTCCAGTTGGAACTGCCAGTGTTGGATGATCATCACCTATGTAGTAGTACTCCGTAGCTTCGGAGGGTTGGTGATTGGTGGATTGGGTTTCTTTAGGATGTTGTGTATATTGACCTACGGTATATATATTTTGATACGGGGATTGTTATTGAGTAGGACTCGTTGTATGGGTGTTTTCTGTTTGGGTGGTTTTGGATAGTGGGTTGTTTTTATAATATATGTGTTGGCGATGTAGGATTTGATTTTTTTTTCTGAGTATAGCTGTACTCAATAGTTTTATTATGGAATGTATATTTTAAGCTCCATAATCAATGATGCTTGACACAACTTCTGTTACATGTACTAGTTGAAGTATAAATAAGTTATTCAATGTATTAAACATCGGATTCTTACACTGCACTAGCCTATGCTGTACAAATCTCACACATTTATTTCCAACATGAGATACAGGTCGAATCTATCTTCAGAATGCCTTCTCAAACAAACTGGTCCCAAGCAGAAAACACTCGACTCCAGCATTAAAGCGATAGAAGCAAGGAGAAAAAAAAAAAAAAAAACAATTCACAATTGAGAAATGAAATTGGGGACACTGTTCCGTCCCGTTCCAGCCATCCAATGGCTTTTCCTAACGCCCATCATGGTATTATAGCTTCTCCCGCTGCCCGTGAATTCTAAGTCATGATCATATAAACGCCAATAAGGGAAGAGTCGCAAACGTGGGCATCTATCCGGTTCTGGACTTCTTTGCCCGGTCGCTGCTGTACTCTGGTCTTGTCTTCCCATTTTCGATCGGGTGCAGATGTATGCCCATGTCGGGCGGGAAGTCAGGATGTAACATGCTGAATCGGTGTGGGTTCTGCGGAATCCCGTCTGTCTCGGCCGGGACCGGTTCTACGAGGAGCTGGATCAAGCCCTTATCCACATAGCCTGCTGGCTTTGCGTGGAGACGGTCCATCCTGGCCCAGTCATCATCCACTTCCTCGTTCATCAAGGGGGGCAGCGGAGGTGCGCCGTTGTTGCTGGGTCGCGCATGGTAATTGGCGAGTATATTGTAAGGAAGATTGGGACGGACGGCCGGCTTATCCGACAGCTCGGCGAGCGCATTAAGGGCATGGTTGCCATGTCCACGGGTAGAGCGGGTAGCATGGAAATTCTGGCTAGCGGTCCGCGCCATGTCGGTTGCAGGAGTGCCGTTGTCTTCCGTGCCATCTGCCCCAGACGCGTCTTCCGCATCGGTGTTGTTACCGTTCGTCGCTGCACCGGAGGGCTGATCGGCACGCTTAGAGGTAGAAAAGAAATGGACCGTGGCAACGTGTGCTTGATTAGCATGGGCACTCAGCTCCTTCTCCGTGAACAGGGACTGTATAGAATAAGACGGGGCATGCTGCTGCGCCGCCACCTGGGCCTTCGCACGCTCAGCCGGGTTAGTGTAGCCACCCTCCCGTACCGGGGATCCAACGTCCTCCTCAGGAGCCTTCCGCTTTCTCTTATTGAAATCCGCAAGAATACCATTGCCCAGCTCGTCCACCAGATCGACACGGTGGCGGGTGTGTCGGGTTTTGCGGTTCCCGTGGATTCCGCCAGGACTAGAGGGATTGGTGATGCTGAACTGATTGGGATGCAGAAGCAGAGCATTAGTATCTGCAATATCCAGCTGCTCCTTCTCGCGCATCAGGCGAGTCCTCTTGCCCGTTATTGTCTGTACAAGGCGCTCTCGAAGGGTAGCGGACAGATGGTTGTATTCTTCTTCGGCAAAGTGGACGCGAAAAGCGTATTCCTTTTGAAACCGTTCTAGATTACTATTATGGCGGTGCTGATACAAAGTCCATTAGCACATGCAAACCTTAAAAAGGATAGAGAAGACCCAGTGCCTAACGACACGACCGTGCAAAAAAAAAAAAAAAAAAAAAGAGCTACATGGCCCAAAACAAGGAAACACTTACCACCAGCATAGCCAAATCTGCATCCTTTTCGGTTTTAACCTGATTGACCTCCTGCACAAAGCGCGAATACCACATGCCAGCCAGACTTGACATCTCCTTTGCGAATTTTCCCCCGCCGACAGTAGTCTCTATCAAGTGCGCGATCTCTTCCGACGAGTCCGGCAGAGGACCAGGCGAGTATGGATCGGCATTGTTGATGAGGGTCATATCACATTGCAAGGCATGGAGCTGCTGACGAAACTGGGTATCTCGGTTTTGGCTGAAGGAGGCCGTGAGGTCTTGTAAGCGCTCTTGCAGCGCGCTGCGCCGCTTGTCTCGCTTAGAAAGAGGTACGCTGGTCGGTGGGCTTGCGGATCGGCCCCTGGAGTGTAAGCTATTTACCAAACTGGGACCAGGGCCACCAGGCACAGGCGATGCCGGTGCAGGAGAGTAAGCCATGGCTAGTCCAGGCCTATACTAGCTGGCCGCAAGGTGAGCAGGTTGTGAGAGGAAAGCAGAAAGGTGTGCAAAATGAGTACTTAGTGTTGCAATCACTGCAACTTGGTAGGAAAATCACTGCAACGAAAACCAACAAACAAAAGACTTTGAGGAAGAGCACACATAAGTAATTAGCGGACAGAAAAAGAGGAGAGACTGTGGTGAGGAGACGAACAAACCGGTGCTGAGCAGAGAGCGGGAATCCAGCCGCTGGCCCGATGCAGTATAGTGCCGGCAACATTTTACACCGCTCGGAGATGATAGTAAGATTCTGTACTCCGTAAGTTACATACTTCTAGACAATACAAAGAAGTCTCTCTGGTACAGATACTATTTATGTCTAAGAATATTGGTACTTAGGGTTACATCTTACGAAGGCTTGTGTTTATTTTCGGTGGGTGAAACACGATACACCGAAATGAAATGAAGCTGCCTGTCTTGGCCACAGGGTGGATGACGTTGTATCTCTCACACACTCCAGGCGAATCAGATGGTGTGGAATGGCACTGGTGATAAGCATCCAGTCAAGGGTCATAACCCATCACTAATACCCTAGAGGAACGAGGTTTTGTATACCATGTAGGCCATATAGTATGGTTTCATTTGGGTTTGATCATTTATATCCATAATCTAAACATGTTGGTCGTCTCGCTTCACAAAGCATAAAACAAACACCGTAAAACAAACATGCTGGGTATTTGTACTCCGTATCCGATATGAAAATGCAGTTTAATGTCCCTGGACTGTCCACCAAAAAAGTCATGTCCAGAACCGACACCATAGACGCCACCATGTTCACTAGTTCCTCCCGTTTTATTCGCCATGATGTATCCAAAGAAAAATAAATAAAAAAAAAAAAAAAAATAGGTTAAGAGGTTTGACGAGCGGGAGGGCTTGAAAAGAGTAAGAAAATTAGATCCGTAAAGGAGGCACCTGCAGTTGGGCCAACAACAGCGACAGATCTTAGTGGGACCGACGAATCACGAAAACTCCAAGTTCGATCCCATCGCGAGGTTCAGTTTCCTCGCCGTAAGGTCGCTTTCTGATACCATCGAGAATCTCACCCAGGAGCATGGCGGAGGTCACCTCTTTGTCCTCCAGAAGATAATTGGTGGACATATTCGAAGCGGCTTTTGCTGCGGGTAAGCGACGGCCGTTCTGCCAGTAAAGACTGAGTACTTCTTTCATCCGAGTCCTTTCTTGGTGGATGAACCACTCGGTCCATACATGACGATCGATGTGGGCACTGCCCTTGCGTGCATCGGCAATGGTAAATTGCGATGACGACGAGCTCAGATCAGAGCAGAGTTGCGCAAGTTTGTTGCGCATCGTGTCAAAGTCTTCCATGTGGCTGACAGTGGAAAGTTTCCCCAAATAGCGGCCTACGTCGGCGGATAGTTCGTTTACTACCACCAGCTGTCGAAGTAAGGGATCAAGGATAGGTCCCAGATATTGGGATTTGAAGGTCGAACCACCTCTTTTTGTCGGGTATATAAACAGTAAGGACCCTCCGTCACGCGAGAGCTCAGACATCCGATCGACCAAGAACGATGGGCGGCCGGGATTAAAAAGGTCCTTATATTCTTGAGGAGATGATGGTGGAAGGTACCGTTCTAGGACTGAGAGGTGTACGCTAAACGGAGGTACGACCGGCATGGGAAAGCGCAATGGCTTTCCCTGGATCACACCCCGAAAATCATGGTAAGCGGACACCACGGCCGCACTGGAAAACACACTGGAGTTGAAATAATCATCTGCAGCGAATAAGGAGCGCGGGGTGTTGGGTGGGGAGTACGGAAGGTTTGAGAGACTGAATTGTTCGGGAACTGCATGAGTAATGTTGATATATGATGGCGATTGTCCCGATTGGATGCGCCGTTGTACGGCCTGAATGAGGGAGCAGAACACGTCATCATTGGTGTGGACGGCTGCGTTCTTATCTGCTGTGCATGGGTAAGGGAGCATTTGAGAAACAATCTTGACAGCTTCACCGGTATTACTCGGGTATGGTAGGGAAGACACTGCCAGAGAAGATATGTGAGCCTAATGATCACCCATGGTTCTAGAATCATGACCTACCAGTCGTATCGATGCCATTCTCAAGCCAAGAATTAAGATCACAATCCATCTCACCAGATGAGCCTGGACTTCCGGAGCTCGAGGGAGAAACGTTCGAGAGCTGATCGGATGGGCTACTCAGGCCGTCTGAAGTAGCACCTCTGGCAGCGCTGTCCACATTAGGACCTTCGTCCATGGGCATTGGCCCAGGTTCTCTGCTCAAAGGCGATTCGAAAAGCAGCATTCCGGACCGAGGATTCCACGCTACGTACTCGTCGTCTTCCGGAGGTGTTGGGGGGAGAGCAGTGGGGTAGTCGCCTTTGGTCTCGAAGTCCCACACCGTAGAAGTGGACTGGGATGCGCGAGTCGCCAGCGAGCTCGACGCCGCAGAAGTAGTATGAAGACGGAGACGAGAATCAGCTGATTGGGTGCGCGATTCGATTCGACTAGATGACTTCGTCTTCGAAAGGCCGGGATGGTCGAAGGATGGGAGATGTAAAGAGGCGTTGCTTCTCGATAGAAAGCGAGACACGGGGGATGGCTTCGTTAGGAGTGATCCCTGAGATGCTCGCCGTTTAAGGCGGCCGGAGCCTGTGTCCGAGGAAAATGGAACTTGTTGTTGCTGAGGAGATACTGGGCTTAGTTGAGATGAATTCTGTCTCTCTGGAGAGGTCACGGCTCCCTGTTGCGGTGAGCCGGGTTCCCCAGGCATATATGAGGAATTGGTGGAAACGCTAGAGTCTGAGTATGGCGAACACATGACAAAGTTATCTCGCACCACAGATGAAGGCCGATATGGTCCATGGCACTGTGGCTGATGCATCCAGTTGGCGAGGCCGAGCAGATGTGATCGAAGAATAGTCTGTGGACGAATTCCCCGACAGCGACGACGGCTACGCTAGCATGGATGGTTTTCCGGGATTGGTGGAATACAGTCAAAAGCCGTCCTGTCCGTGATGTATTCCGTAAAGAGCGTGGGTCTCGCGCGGGGGGGTGACTTTAAGAGGGTTTGGCGAGATTGGTGGAGGGGTGGAAGGGATACTGAGTTGAAAGAAGACGGGACGGGAGAGGTGAAGAATGGAAGGTGGACGAGGCCCCGGTAAAAGAAGGAAGCGAGGAGGGTGGAGGGGATGAATCGTGATGACACGGTGGGGAAATAAGAGAGATTTCAGGAGAGGAAGAGAAATAGGAAAAAGGGAAGAAAACGAAAAAAGGAAGCAAAGAGAAGCCGTAGAGAAAGAAGGAAGAGAAAGGAAAGAAAGAGGAGAGAAAGAGAAGAAGAGTCGTCAGGCCAGCGGCTCGCAAGGAGAATAATGACGCTTGGGAAATGACCCAGAGGCCCAGACACAAGAGACTGACAGCCCGAACAAGAACAAGAGACTGTCCCTCGGGCTGCGACTTTCCACCGGCGTTCTAGACCGGGCGGGCTTGGCCTGATTGGGGAATCCATGACACGAGGTCCAGTCGGAGGCATCGAATGCTTGTGCAGAAGATGCATTAACGTGTAATTATGTTTACCAGTAATTTTGGCCCTGTTCGAATTTTCCCCTATTGAATTTATTTAAGCATAATGTCCCTGCTCCTCTCCTGTCCATAACATGTCTGGTTTCGGGTTTCTGATTGCTATTTTCTGATATTGACCATGCTTACCTCCCCTAACCTATTGTAGAAGGGTGTTAATTATGGAGCACCACCACTGCAAGTCGCCTTACCCCTAGTAGGCCGCCGACCTGTCTAGGCCCTCATAGTGGCTGATCGGGGCTTAGCGTCCACAAGAAGCTGACGATACCGTAACGGGAGATACACGGACCTTCCAAAAAATCCCATCAGATTTTTTTGCCTCCCAAAGCCTGAGACCCACTTTCTGGCCTCACATTGGGGATAGACCCTTGGGAATGGAGAATGTTCGAGTACTGGTCAAGAGGTGGTTCAGGAAATTGGATGGGGTCTGGGATTAATGACTCTTGCTTGGATGGATGACTTGATATGATCTGAGTTTGGTGGCAGAAGGAGGATGACTTGGTGATCGGCCGGATCTGGAGTGCTCCCTCTTCTTTGTCTGGACCCTTTGGACGCTGTGACTCCGACCGGATACCTAAAAGTTGTTCTTGTATGCATCGGGTACAGAGCAAGTCACCACCGCTCTGGATCTCTCCGTAATACGGACCAGCATCACTTCTAGGTTCTCGATCACTGCTACCATATCTAGCAAGGCAGAAGACCGGTAGGAAGGCAATTGTACCACCTAAACTGGGAGTACCAGTGGTTTCGTTCAATCTGATCAATCCAAGCGGAAAATAGTCCCTGATCCAATCGCCCTTTCCGAGTTGGATGGAATGGAAAAACTCAGTCAATAGCGTATGGAATAGTTCAGTTTGACGAGACTTTCGGCACAACCGATTATCAGACCTCTGGGAATGTGCTGGGAAAAAAGCATAAATACACGACTCCCAGGTATTCCTGGAAGTCATATGGCTTAAGTCAGATAATAGCAGGTGAGTCTTATTCCTCTCTTGTCAACACTCATTGGTCGGCTCGAGTTACATATCGAACTGGCACAACTTCCATCCTTCCACCTCAAGTCTAGAATCCCCCAATTCCAAAATCCAGCAAATAGAAAAAGGTTAAGTCGGTAAAGGAACGATTGGAAACCAAACTGATCCATACGCCTCAGGAAAGCGGGAAAAGTAAAAGCAAAAAGTAACTACTAGTCTCTATTGAAATAAACTACTTATCGTCTTTGGGTGATTTTTTTTATTATTATTATTATTATTATTTCTTTTCTTTTCCCACCCAAGTTGTTGTGCCAGAGCAATTGAGAATTATTGACGTCGACATTCTTCCCCGCCCTGTCTCTCACGGGCTCTGATTGGGCCCATCCACCAATGGCTTGCATCGCCCGATCAAGTCTCCACTGCCGCTTGCAGGTGGATTGACGCCTAGACTCAAGTTCCGTGCTGCCGAAGAGATCCGCCTTGATCTGGCCTTTTGCTCACTTGTCCCCATCGCTGACCGCCTATGATTATTGGGCTGCCTTGTCATCGACCATGGTTACTCTGCTTACATACGTACAGTACATGCACAGGAGAAGCGAGAGCCAAGAAGACATAAGTACAGTACAGTACACAGCATCCATGGTAGCCCCAGCCCTAGTCAGGGCTCCTGTACTCCGTATGTCTGCGCAAATGGATCGGATCTATCTTGTACCTCCCTGTTAAGGAAATACATTGACCGTTGCAGATCTGGAAGACACCGGGGGGGAGGTTTGGTCATACTCCTCGTTGATTTTCTTTGTTTTGTCTCTTGAGCTTCGAATTCCCAAGACTACGGTCCTCTGTTGGTTGTTCTCTTCTTTGTTGATTGTTTGTCCTACAGGCGAGAAAGGTAAGTACAGATCGTTTCTGGATATCCTGACCGTTGGCTTCTTTGGGCAACATGCATGCAGTTTTAACTTCTGTGGGCTTGTCAGCCCGGTTATGCTCCGTATTTCTTATGGAATATGCCGGGAGCACCTGATATCATTCTCGCGATTTTCTTTTCCTTCGAATGGTCGGTTTCCTAATTCTCTCCTTTGAATGAGGGACTACATAAAATCCGTACCCGAATATGTACCTAATAGTGAAGAACAGTTAAACCACGCAAACCGAATACAAAGAGAAGAGAGGCAAAACGCCCGGGAAAAACAAAAGAAGTATCCTTGTAGAAGAAAAACAAAAACAAAAACAAAAACCACAGCCCGCCATTGATTCCATCCACAAGGAGTACTATGTCAGTAGTCGCAGGAAATCCAAACCCAAAAAAGAAAAAGAAATAACTTGCATTACGACTACCATTCACAGACACAATGCCGTCCAACCAACTACCATTTCCTATTTCCAATACCAAAATAAAGAAAAATAAGAGAGAGAGAGAGAGAGAGGGAGAAAAAAAAAAAAAAACCATGCCATTCTTACCCATCCATCCATGGAACCTCAAATGAAAGCCCTCCCTCCCTATATTATCCAAACCACCACCCCCAAGCGAAGAAAGAACCTCCTATCTTCAAACAAACCCCAACCAAGGAAACCTCGCGTGTCAGGTTGGACCTACAAAAGTATCAGATGCTGAGCCAGATCCCTGTCACTGGGATTTTCCCAATAAATGGTGTCCACATCCACCCACCCCCACTCATTATTAGCGATAGATTAGTTATTAAATATGTATTGGAGGGGGACGAGACTCGGTACGCAGAAATTGGACCCGGAAATTTACATAAACAAACAAATACGTCGTAATCAAATAAGAACAAGTTTTTATGTTGGGGTCTTTCTTTTTACTTTTTTTCTTCTCTCTTTTTGCCCACAATTTTCTTGTTCTCGGATGATGTCCCGTGTCTCCACAGTGACTTGTCTCAGATAGAGAGAGCGTTGCGTGGAGGTGATGTTGTTTGTTTGGCTGGGACAGTGGTGACGTCTTGCATTAGGGTTTTCTGGTTTCTGGTAGAGGTGGTGGTTGCTTAGAACAAGAGATTGATGGCATTTCTTGACCCGAGTTAAATTTCCCTGGTGGAGATATTCTGGGGATTAAAGGGGAGTTAGCGTTTTGTCACTGCGAGGGGTTGTCCAATTGGATGCAATAAGCAGCTTGTTTATTGTCTACGGAGTACTGGAGGTTATGGGATTTAGTTTCTTGAATAGTAGTAGGACCAGAGCATTGGATTATTTATTGATTTGCAATGTATACAAGATCCCTCCCATAATCATTTCAATCCTCCAAGATCGCATCAACCTCAACTTCAACTAACATTCTCTCATCCACGAATCCGTTCACTACAACCATAGTTGCAGCCGCGCCTACCCCCGGCTGGCTTGCACGCCCCAGCACCTCAGTGTATCCTTCCCCAACAGCTCCACAATCTTTGTGTTGACTGACAAACATCCTCACACGCACCACATTCTCTGCTCCTTTGCCGCCCAGGGCTTGAACTGCCCGAATGCATTCTTGCAAAGCCACGCGTGTCTGCTGACGGGCGTCCCCAGGAAAGAGAATTTGAGGGGCATCGCTTGGGGACGCAGGGTCGACGGCTGTAGTACCAGAAACGAAGATTTGTCGTCCATGCCGGACAGCTCGGTAATAGCCAATCTTCTCTTCGAACGGCGATGACGTCGCGTAGACTTGTTTGAGTGAGCCGGGCGCAGGGGTAGCGTGAGGGTCGAGATCAGTAGTGTGTGAGGCCATGGTGGTAATATTGCTTGGTAAACAGGCCGGATATGCAGAATATTTCCAAAGAACGCGAATACGTGCCAATTCCGTCCTTCCCAATGATATTTATGAGATACGAGGCCTACCATGAAAGTGAGTCATGCCAAGTATCCGGGCGAGCGCCTTCTTTCGGCGCTCATCCGTGTCTCCATACTATCCGACTAGCCCGAATTGGGTCGACCTGCAGGACTAAAGACATTCCTAACGTTATCAAATCGTTAGGGGCGCTAGTTTTGTTCGTCTAGAGGTCTAGACAATCTAGACCAGGCAACGATATGAGCTCAAGAAGTTACCGATCTTCTGCGGGGATCGCCGTGTCTGCGAGCATGGAATCTTTGTGGCCGATCTTGCCAATACGATGTCATGCAACGGCTACCCGCAACCTTGGAGAAGATCTTCTGCTCTTCTCCAGTCATTCGTGATGTAGCAGCAGACGGCTTCATCATAATTGGGTGGTTTGATTGCCGCGACGACTCACGACGGAAGTGAGCACAGGAATCATATGTTTGGGATTGGTGGCTTTGCCGATCCAACGCAGATCGGAGTTCCAGGCACTGCAGCACCAGCTGCTTGACGCCGTCGGTCAAAGCACATGCACGGTACTCGATGTCGGGCCAGAAATCATGGCCCCAGAAAGGATCTTCACGAACAGCTGTTTCTAGTGCCTCAAGCCAAAAGTCGAAGCTAGGCAACCGAGTTTTCCCGTGAAGCAGGTCCAGGCCTTGTAGGTGGTCGGACAGAAGGCAAGCCACGGCTACAAAACGAATCGTCGGCTCGGAATGTAAGACGTGCAGGACGATGCAAGCGGGGCATCGTTCGGTCAGGTACCAATCATGCTCCTCGGTGAGGATGCATTGAAGCCAGGCATAAGCACTGCGTGCTTCCCCTCGAAATGCCCGCTCCGACTCCGCTCCCTTGTGGCTGGGTAGTGCCCTGGCGGCGACGCGGGAGGCTTGGTGGTGAAGCAGAAACAAAGGGAGTAAGAGGGTGTGGATAATATCGCGATGCAGACGGAAGGACTCCTTGTCTTGATCGGAGCAAGAATGGCGATGGTGGGAGCAGAAGCTGCGGTGATGAAAGGTCAGCCACAATGGTACATCCCGGATGGGTATCCTTTCAAACATACCTCGGGGCATCCATGCCCATATCTTGGCGCCTCAGGTGCTCTCGAACCGTTATAAATGCCTCATTGCGATCAAGCTTCTCTCCATCCTTCCTGGAGATCCGAAATGGTGAGACAACGCCGCTAGTCGACATTCTGAAACAGTGAATGTATCGCAAGGATGCGTCCGGGTGAGTACCGGCTGAAGGAAAAAGCAAAACTCGAGACAATTGCGTCGACGATGAAAACGCACACTTGTCGCGTAATTGTAACTTTTTGGATGACGTCGACTACGGAAGGCGACCGATTCGGACAGACATAGAAATTGTGGAGGAGAGCCGTAGAACCACGGATCGCATGGTCCAGCACAATCGCTTTGTCGTCTGGAGATAATCGAGTGGAGGCGAAAGGTCGGGAGAAGGGAAAGAATGAAAAGGGAAAAGGAGAAGAATTGAAGGTATTTCGAGGAGCGTCGGTAGTACTAAATACTTAATAGTTCCATGCGATCTTTTTTAGGTCGAACAAGGAAATTCGCACGCATGCGGGAAGGGGGTGTTCCAAATCAGGTGAAGACCCGTCTTCCACGCAAGCACTCGTCGATCTTATTTTTAGTGTCACCGTTAACACATCTCCAACTCCTCCTTTTCATTAAATCGTTCATGAGCGCTCATCTCCGACGGTCTCCTAACTGTTTGAGATTCTTTCGATAGGTCTCGCACAGAGTACACAGCAGAATCCTTTCCTTCATTGTCGACTCCTTCACCCCCTTTTTTTCCCTCTTTCTCTGGCGGTCAGACTTCCTCCGAGCCGATTTTGTTTAATTGAAATGGCCCATTTGGGTACAGTTGATCCTAATTTAATTGCCTTGTGGGGCCCTCAAGGGTCTCGATCGAATTCCGAACCCCCTCGTCAATCCCCTCGTGCAGGCCATTATTGCATTAGTGGCAATGTTCCAAGTTTTCACGAGAAACAACATCCACTTCTCCATGAGACAAGTCACTAAGAACAGCACTAATTACGTCCGAAGTACGAAGTATAGTGAAACCAGTAGCCAGATGGCCCATTGTATCATCGGTCGACGGCTGAAGCAATCATTGACCTAGTTGCCTTAGGCAGGAATGCATCGGGCTAACACGGACATTGGAGTCCAGATCTCCCGGTTCTAATTGGTGCGTCCAAGTCGCTCGCTATCTCCATGAGGGACTTTTTCCGGCCGTGAACCATACAAAGTCCTGAATACTACACAAACGCCGTGATCGTTCAGGCCCTCCCCCATGGACACCTTAACTTCATTTGGGGAGGATCGTCTAGACACCCCGACGATCTTGGGCCATGCCAATTTTCACCCCATGTACTCGGGTTTGTGCGAGGATGACTTGACATTCCCCATGCGTTGCGACATTCTTCTCCTCCCAACGTCCCCTCGCTACATAGCACCTCCCCCTCTACGTATGTGCATTGTACATTCCTTAACCCCGCGGCAACATCTCAGATCAAGATTGCGATAGATCTCACTCTCTGATCTATCGCACACTGTCACACTGTGGCATTCTCAAGACGACAGTTTCGTTACAGAGTAGGCTAAGCAATGCCATCGACGTCATTCTACATCTCAGAAACCCGGCATGCATGTGTCTCCAGGGCAGACGGCAGCACGCCGTATGGCTGGAGGTAGGGGAAGCATACTAGATGCTATCATGAAGAATGGTATCGTTGTATGATCTTTCGCCGTTTAAAATAGACATGTTTTCTTCTCCGGTTGAGACAATAAGGCCTGAATTGTGTCAGACACTGGACGATCTCATTTATACCCATCTATTGTTGAATGCAGTCGCTCCTTCTTATTCAGTCCATAGATATCATATCATACTCGTCATTCAGATCTCCGCATACTGGAAACTCGGATGCACACACCTGTACATCTCGGAGGTGTCTTGAATTGAACTCCATCCTGTAACCCCTTCACAGCATTTACATCCCATAAGCCATGCGGCCGTTGTCCACTCTGTCTGCACTTGCTTGGCTGGGAGGTTTCCAAGCCTTACCAGTCGATGCGATACAGACCGTCTCCGTGGTTGGCTCCAAGTTCTTCTACGAGGATGGTACTCAGTACTTTCTGAAGGGTGAGCCTCCCTGGCGAATTGAATCCGCACTTTACACTAATTTGGTGCAATCCACGTAGGCATTGCTTATCAACTCATCCCGGAGGATCCCTTGGTTGACACCGCACAGTGCAAGCGCGATTTTGTTCGCATGGCCGAGCTGGGCACTAATGCAATCCGCGTTTACCACGTCGATCCCAAGGCTAATCATGATGGTTGCATGGAGGCACTTGCGGCCGCAGGAATCTACCTCTTCGTGGATCTAGACACATTCGATACGTCAATCAACCAGGTCAGGACTCGCATAGACATTAGTTGGGTAGAGCCCATGCTGACTTCCACATCTAGGACAAACCACAGTGGACACATTCCCAATTCGATTGCTATAAGGCTGTGTTGGACGAATTCCAAAAATATAACAACACCGCCGGTGTATTCGTCGGCAACGAGGTCATCAACACTAGGGAAGGTTCGGCCGCCGCCCCGTATGTCCTGGCCGCCGCGCATGATATCAAATCGTACCGCAACGAAAAAGGCTACCGGGACATCCCGGTTGGTTACTCAGCAGCTGATATTGCAGAACTGCGACCCATGCTGCAAAATTATCTCGCTTGTCGTCCCGAGTCTGCTGACCGACTGGATTTCTTCTCACTTAATGCCTATGAGTGGTGTGGTCCCTCATCGTACGAGACATCCGGCTACAAGAGACTTCAGAGCCATGCAAGCGACTACCCTATCCCGATCTTCTTCTCAGAAACAGGCTGCAACGTGGCACGGCCACGGACCTTTGAAGACCAGGCTGCCATTTTCGGTCCTGAGATGTCAAATACTTGGTCTGGCTCTATTGTCTATGAATGGATCCAGGAGGCCAATGACTACGGTCTGGTCAAATATGGTCCACCCTCAGGCGCCTCACCCGCCAAAATGCTCGTACAGGATGGCTTTACTCGCCAAGGAGAACCTATTCCGGTGGATCCCGACTTCCACAACCTGAAAGCGCAATGGGCTAGGTTAAGGCCTACTGGAGTAGCCTTGTCGGACTACATGAAATCGACTTCCACTATTAGGCCTGCATCTTGCCCCACTTCGACACCAGGTGGATGGGCCGTGGATTCTCACCAACCTCTTCCCACTCTTCAACGAGCTACCTCGGGCGTGGTAGGTGCCGGTCCAAATCCTGGTTCCAAGTCTGGGCCTGATTCGGGATCGCGTCCAGAGCACCTTGCAGCACGTGTGACTTCAGCTGCACTCTCCAATCGTGCCGTCAATAGCGCATCCTCGGAAATGAGGAGCTTTGATCGTTTTGCAGGCGGATCCCTTTTCCTCTGCATGTCGATCGGTGCCTTAGCTCTGTGGCTCTAATGACCATGTTGGATGACTAACGCTAGCGTTGCCTCTCCGTTTTTCTTTCTGATTCCTTGTCCCAGAGACAGTCCAGTTGTTACGTGAAGCACTGCTGTCAAAAAACCACCTTTACACGTTCTAGTTCTTCAAATAGCATCATAGGTGCAGGCTCGCCTGGCAGACTGAAATCCACTCATTTCATGCAATGATCGCTACTCTAGATGTCATTCTAATGATAGCTGACAGGTTCCCTTTCAACAAAAAAATACGGTACTAAGCGTCAATAAATCATAGTTCAAAGCAGTACCAATACATATACATTACCTTTAGTCCAAATGCATATATGCATGCATAATGTACAAAACCCAAATAGTAGTTCTGACTATTGATTTGTCACTTTGAGTTTTGCCCAATGGGGTTACAAGGAAAGAAAGAAAGAATATACGGTGTAAGGGGGGGCAGACAATCGATTTCTCTCGGCAGACGCGACTAAGCGGTCTCTCTTTCTCCCCTTCTCTTCCACTTCGTCGGAAAGAAATCAAAGAATTAAAATGGGAAATGTAAAGTATGAATGATAACCTCTCTTTTCAAGCGCACGTGCTTTGGGTCTTGGTTTGCGGTGGAATAGATGTGTTGTTTTTGGAGGTTGTCTGGGTTACCGGGTATAGAGTCTATGTAGGTACTAGTAGCTTTGTCGTTATACATTTTGGGGTTGATGTATTGGATAGGTACATTGTGTGATGATGGATTCTGGCATACAAATGAGAGGCTAGACAATTATCGTGCAAAGATTTGGCATAGAACTTGTTTCTGAATTATTATACTATGCATATCCCCATTAGATCTAATCGAGCATCCCCCATATTCATATTTCATCGTTGCGCGGAACAGAACATATACAACCAAAGAGAGCATGACGCATAAAACCAAGAGAGGCAGGGAAAATAATATAAGAAAATATGATAAAGAATATCACGAAAACCACCCGGAACTGCGTATGTAGCTAGAAATACAATATAAAAATATGCTTGAAAAGCGCTTGGAGTAAGGGTATTGAATGAAGGTAGGAACGAAGGAAATTGATACAAATTCGAAAGAAAGGGTTCAGGAAAGTGTGTCGTGAAGTACATTAAAAAGGGGGTGAAAAAAAAGAGAAAGAGAGGGAGGGAGTATAAAGTACGAATAGGTGGAATGGCTAGAAGCGACTGATACTGTCACTCAAATTGCCATTCTGTAATTCCAAGATGGATCGTACCAGGGGGCTGCATCTGAGTCAGTGTACCGGCGACTCTCCTGGTCTGTGTCACTGTTCTCGGAATAGGCCACCGTAGGGCCAGAGAGGTTGAAGCCAGCCACAGAAGGTGATGGGGAGGGAGTAAATCCTGTAGACCCCTCTGAGTAAATAGGAGAGTTCGTCGCTACAGATAGAGGTGAGTGTGGTGATGCTGATCTGGAAATCGAGGGAACAGTGAGTCTTGGTGTTGTTGCATGTGGCCCCCCGTGTAATCGACCCTTCGGGTTTCTGGTATGACACTGTAGGCGTGAGGAGCAGTGCATATTAGCTACTCTGCCTAGTTGGTGCATTATCACAGAGAAGTGATGTTCAACTTGATATGCGGAGGGTCGATCGGCGGGCTCTTTATTCAACATGTTCCGTACTACAGCTAGCATTGGTCGAACAGCCTGGAACACAGGGTCTTTTTGCTTTTTCGAGTCGTGATCCAGAAGAGTAATCCATGAGGTGACTTGGTTAAGGTTTCGATCCAGATGGAAGGAGCAATCAGCAACGCCTCCTCCACGGCCGGCGGTTCGATTCTTCGCCCCGCGATGATGGGCAAATGCAGAAATCTTGCGCTTACAAAGGTGGGTGAATATATCCAGAATTACTGCCCCGAGAGAGAAGATATCTGAAGCTTCCGGGTCAGTTTGATGTGATTCCCATGTGTGGACTACGGCCACACTGGAATTTGTACCTGGCAAACCAACCGGGTTCGTCACTGAAGAGGCACGGTTCGAAGAAGATCCCGATGAGCTAGAAGAAGTGATAGAGGGCGTGTATAATATAGGCCGTTTGATGGAGGGTATGACGCGTTTACGAGCACTCCCATTGCTGGATCCCGAAGAGGACGACGCAGCAAAGGAAAACCGAGATCCAGGAAGACCAACACGAATGGCGGTGCTCTGAGAAGCCATTGAACCAGATCTTGGGCTAACAGACTCATGTTCCGCCCGGTGTGGTCCTTTCAATATTGACAGGTTTAGCTTCATTGGATGCGCAGACTGCTTCCGAGCTGTACGCCCACCCGATGGGAGGTCAACTCGTTGTGGACCTGCTTGCTGGACACTAGCTGAGCGTACCCAGCGTTCTGGAGCACCATACTGATATGACTCCACGTCATCTACCTTGACTGGAGGTAACAGGGTATCGAGAGCTTCGAATTGGCCCAGAAAGACTCTGTAATCTTCATCAATGAGTACGTTCGAAGGGCGAATGGCGCCATGAACCTGACCATGCGCATGGAGCCATGAAAGCCCATTTGCGAGACAATGTGGCCAATTAAGCAAAAATTCTCGGCGTTGGGCTTTGGGGAGACGCTTGAAGTGCGACGGAATATCGGTGAGGAAAGACATCAAAGTGCGTTCGTATACACCCGTGAAAAGGATACACACAGTTTTGTCGACAAAATAAGCCCCGTATATCGAATATACATGGTCATGCGCCAGTCGTCTCAACGACTTAATCTCTTCAAGTACCTCATCTTCTTCGAAAAAATGCGGTGCCCCTCCAATTGTAACTTGCGTCCGCAAGTAAACTCGACAGACAGCACTAGCTAAGACAACCCTTTCAACACCCTCTCTCACAAGGGCTGTTCCAGTTCGCAGAAGCTCCACGGGGACGCCCTCATTCTCCGTATATTTTACGTAGTCGCCTTCGCCAATTCCGCGGACAATGAAACGCCATTGGGCAAGGAAGAACTTTGATTCCAAGGAAGGGTCTTCGTTTTCTGGCGAAAGGTGAAGGCGATCGACGCTGTGAGCCGCAATAGGCAGATCCGAGTCATCAAATGACTCATCTACCAAGGCGAAAATGCGATCTGGAATCCCGATATCGACCAAAATGAGAAAAAGTCTCCCCGCCTTGGAGAGAATCCAGTCGAGGTACGTCTCGCTAGTCAGGCCCTCTCCCCAGGGCAAAGGCTCCACGAGGCGGTGCAGGATGTTGGACGGTAGATGACCGAAGACATATTCTGAGGATAGTGTAGCTTTGATTCTATCCTCGGGCCACCAAAGAGACGTTGTGACCGACATCGTGTACACTCATGGCGCATCGGCCGAGGCGGATGACTGCCGGGGAGGGACACTAATATAAGTGGTTCAAGGTAAGTTCAGTCTAGTAAGGCAAATAGCTTTACTGTAGACGCCACTAAATGAGTACTATATAAGAGGTCATGCAATAGATTGGAAAGGGAAACAATAACAGAATGGGAAATAGACATCGGCTCTTCGTCAAAAGGACGAGAGACCATCATTAGTGGACACAAAGCTTATCAAGCGCACCGCAAGGGGTATCCGCGGTATTATTGAAAAAAAAGCCGGTCGATAGTACGGAGTAGTCACTAGGGCATTAGAGTATGACAGAAGAGGGGAATCTTCAATGGACGGACTCCACGATGGCGTACCCAATGGCATATCAGGATGATCAGAGGATGTCATATGCTTCCATATTCAATAGCCCTTGGAATAAAAGAAATATGGAGGCACGGTCACGTTAAAGATAGTAATCTAATATTGAGGTGACAGCCGTTTCATGATGGGCGACCAGAGAAGATAGCTGTGGCCAACGGTTCATGAAACTTCATGGAGAATGGGGAGGTCTGGAACTAAGTGGATATATCGAGTCTTGGGGCAGTGGAGATGCTCCCTGTCCAAGAGGGAGCAGTAAGCGGATGATAGAAGGACGATTGATACTCAATACTAGTAGATAGATAGGACATCACGACTGAAGATAAGCTAATGAGCGTTGATGGATCACGGGGTACGCCCTAAGCCCCAATTGGTTTGCTCCGAGTCGCTATCGCATGATCAGTAACAATCCTCATTGTGAGCCATCATAAGCCTGAACAATCATCACTATCTATTTTCCCCGATTCTTGATATTAACGGATTGCCGCCGTTAGACAAGGCGTCTCAGATCAAGCCATAATCCCATGAAAACCGGGCGCTAATCTGATTGTCGGGTCTAGAAAAACCCTCCTGTCAACTGTAGTTAATTTAGAACCACCAGGCTGGATTCAAGCTACATCATGCAAGTGAGGTCCTTCTTTGGGCAGCCAGTCGTCAGCCTTGGATGCAAGCTTATCAGTTGACAGCATTAGCAGGCTGACTTACGCTATTAGTCACTTAATGAGCCAAGAGATAAGGCCGGGTCATCGATCAGTTCACCCAAGTCAATAGGGTTTGACCAGCTTCCCATATGATCCAGTTTCGAAATCCTTCTTGAACTGAGAAAGGGCACAGCCTCAGAAGTGACTGTTGATCGCGAAATCCAAATTTTGGTCCTTTCGCCGCCGTCCGCGCTTCTTATCTTCCTCCGCGGTATTCTCCGCCTGTCAACGAAGGATGTTGCTTTTGGCGGCTCCAGTTTTTTTGAGATCAGCATCAACTATAGAAAGTATGATAATGTGCCTCTTTAACTCCTCGGGCTGTCATTATGGTGATCAGGTTCTAGTATACGTCATAGCACGGTAGTTATACGAGTAATCCATGTCCCCGTAGAGAAAGGGCCTTTCTTCCCTAACAATATAATAAGTTAGTGGATCGATAGATCCATAGAAAGTGGGACATGATCGACTCTCGGGGTATTATCCATAAATAATTTGACCCTGACTAAGTAAATCTCAAGATTACGATTCATTCATTCATGGCTATGTAGGTATATACAATCCATATTGGATATTAGTAGACAAAAGGGTAGCAACAAGATATTTGAAGAAATGAAATGTATATCAACCACAAGTAATCTGGGCGAAGGCAATCAAAGGTCGCATCATAAGAATCTGTAGAATTGTCAGCTTCCCAGTACATCCTAGCAATGACCGATGTCTTCTTCTACTTTTTCTCTTTTTCTTTTCTCTTTTTTTTTTTTTTTTTTTTTTTTTTTTTTTTTTTTTTTTTTTTTTTTTTTTTTTTTTTTTTTTTTTTTTTTTTTTTTTTTTTGTTTTTCTTTCCCCATGACAATACCAGATTGCCCTCAGTAGAAATCACCAGTATGGCGTTTCCGTAAGCGTCGCACTCTACTACTAGCCCGATGGGCATTAGCGTCGACAGGCTGTTCCTCAGAGGACCGGCGTCTATTCCAAGCCTTCCGAAAATGTTGCTGCTCGTCATCCTGCTGTTTAGCTCGATGGACAAGGAATTCCTCATGAGCTTCCTTCTCTTCCGTCAAGGCCTCGATCTAAACAATCCCAAAGTGATAACTATCAGTACTTCATGCATCCATAACGACGCAGACGAAATATCTCTTGATTCCGAAGTGGAAACAAGCAAAAAATTAAGAAAAGCAACGGGCAGAAAAAAAAAGATACATACATAAGATAGCCACAACTCTTGCTCCGAGCTCCAGGCTTTCTGACACCTCCCCAGCTCGCTCCGTGCAATAGCCAAGTCGCGCTCTTGCTCTGCTGTCCATCGGCATCTGTCGCAGACAATGCTAGCCCAGCTTACAACCCGTACCAATCGAGATCGGCTACTGCTGCTGCTGCTGCTGCTGCTGCTGCCGCCATGATGCAGGTCCAGCTCGCTTGCGTTCACCGCCATCTCGGAGCCGGTTGATTGGGAGTCATCATCGTGGCAATGCACTGTGACTTCAATCGAGGGGGAATCGTCGATTCCTTTGCCCTTCCAGATGGAACGTTCTGGACGTTTAGTCAGGTAGGGGAGGCGGAAGATGTACCGAACGGTGCTGGCCACTCTCATCTTGGTATGTATAAAAATCTTCGGGTTCGGACGAAAGCTCCTACAAAGAAAGAACAAACAGGAGTAAATTGGCTTCTTGGAACTTGCCGCTTTCTCTTTTTAGGGATATTGCTCCAGTTTATATGTATGAGTATGTACTTTTTACTCGGGATGGCTTCGAATACAGGTCACTGCACTGGGCCATTCACAGCTTGAATACAGCCTAATACGGCCTAGATCACAGGTTAGGCTTCAAGAAACAAGGACATCAGGCTCTAGATGGGGCTATTACTACGTCGACAATCCTGTTTGGCTGGGGACCACTGCCCGCAGTTTGGTCAAAACTACAACGGGACTGTTCGTCCCAAGAGTGGAGAGAGATGGGGAAAAAGTCGGAACAAATCGCCAAGCCATCATGTTTCATGCGCTGCAAAATAAGAAACCACATCCTTGGGATAGGAAACGTGGCGATCAAACTTTGCCTGGGTAAGGGGGGCGGCCGGGAATGGTGTTGAGCAAATCATCACCGTCCAAACCCCCGAAATTGGATAACTCATATGTACCAGTTGCCAGCGAAATATACAGCATCACAGATGTTCATACATGGTTTTTCATCATTGCCGTGCGACTTTCCCGACATATGTACTATACCTAGCACGCAGATCTCCAAAGTAAACGTGGCCAGCCAAAGGAGACAAAAGGAGCAGCGTAAGCGTAAATAAGAAGGGCCCTTTGAAGACTGTGAACCCCATGCGAAGAAAGAGATATAAGCCCTACAGGTTTCATGAGCCAACCATGCGATCGCAGTCCAGGAAAGGACATAGATCCCAGCACAAGGTTGAAACTCTTCAAGCAGCTGACTCTTGTACACCAACAAAATCACTTATAGATAAAAGAAACTTAGGGGGAATCTTAAACAATCCAAATGCCATCACAAACAAAAAAAAACTGAGAAGCCAAAATCAAATGCGAGCGAGTGATTCAACGGCAAAGTATCCACCCATTCGCTCGCCAACCCGTGTAGTCCCGAAAATTCTCTGCAAGCAACACCCAAGAAACGAGGCTTCATTCGTTACACAAAAGCAAGAGCCAATCGTCATCCAACTGGACGCTGAATCCAGGAAAAGAAACCAAGAAAAAGAAATATATTCGCTGATTTGGGCAGTCGTCAGTACCACGAACTGGTAGGGGCACGACTTCTTCTCGAATGCCCCGCTGTTGATTGCTCGGCGTGCAGTCGTGCTTTCATCTCTTCCCGAATCTGTTCGCCAATAATCACGCTGATCAGTCTTCGATGCAAGTCGGCTTCTGTCCAGCCAACTTGGCCTGTTCCACCGGCCTGTAGGTCGGCCTTTGCCAACTCCTGCACGAACCTGTCAATAATCGCAAACTGGCGTTCCGTGATGGGAACCCCATGTAAGCCGTCTGACGTCCATATCCAATCACCAATGATTTCCGAACGCCCTGGACCAGGGTAGTAAAGGAAACGTTCCGGGTGTCTTTTGGCCAGGCGATAAAGACGACGGAGGAGGATGTAGTGATCGTCGGAGAAATATCCAGAGACAGCCAACGGCAAAGGGCGATCATACGTATCGTCTTTTGCTTTTACATTTGGCGACTTGTCGTCTAACGCGCTAGAAAAGCGCTGTTGTTCATGGCCCCGATGCGGCCTTGGCGTTTCCTCCATGTAGTTTTCTTCCACGTTTCTCGAGTGAGACCCGTAATCATCTTCGTCTTCCGAAGCTTCGTCATATACAGATAGAGCAGGCTCCTCGATTGATTTTCTTTTTGGTACTCTCAGCCACTGAGGCGTAAGATTAGTAATCTTTTGGAGCCAGGATGATGCTTGTTGTCCGGTAGCGGAGGGCTGCGGACGTTCGGGGGTGAGGACAGGTGTCTCGTGAGCGGTTTGTGGTTCAGGCGAAACTGCATCTGAAGGGTTCTGGTCGCCATGCCCTTGTAGCCACAAATCCGAGTGTTGTCTTGCATTTTCAAAATTCGTAGTTGGATCCAACTGGAACGTCTCTTCCCCTAGGCCTCTCTGGGGACTTGACGCCAGATAATCCTCTGACTGCGGAGGTTCTTCAAATAGGTGATGCTCCTCATCCTGCATCGCTCCCTGCATTTCTTCTTCCTCGTATTCATCCTCCATTGCCTCCTCGCTTTCGGACCCTGCGGCTGACTGTGGCTGCTCGGCATCTCGCCCGTTTTCTGTACTTGGGGGGCTGCTCTGCCCGTAGTAATAATGCGAGCGTTTGGGGGTAGCCCCTGGGCGCAACAAAGCGGAAATATCAACATCCTGTTCTCGTAGCTCTTTAATTCGCGACTTGCCCAGAAATGGCACCTTGTCGTGAGCATTGGTCCAGTAGGCTGGAGAATAAGAATTACCGACAGCACTTCGTTCAGATATCGAGCTATTTGATTGAGGACTAGACTCCTGCTTGTTGTCGTCTAGGTTTTGATGACGATACGAAACAGACGAGCGGTCCGAAAGATCGCCTCTATCATTAGCTTCTTGTTGCCAGATATCTTCGTACCCATCATCTTCGTCTTCATCCTCTTGCTCACTAAAGTGATCATCTTCAGGTTTGCCATGTACTGATGGCGCATCTGCGTCTCCACGGTCGATGCCAGAGCCCCACTCAGGCTCTTCATCAGCTTCAGGAGCAGCTATGCCACCCTCAGGGCTCGGGGGGCCACTCACATCACTGTCAATGACAATGACTTGGCTTGAGTTGGCCATCTGAATTTCGCGGCTAATAGCTTCCCTTTCCCGTTGCCATTCTTCCATCCGGCGCCTCATCTCTGAGCCTGGTGTATCGTAGTCGCGTAATCCACCAGGTTCCCGCGATGGCTCCCGAGACCCGCTTGCTTCACTCAGGCCTTTTGGCGTGGTTTCTGCGATAGTTTCCATCTCAGAGACTTTCCTTGCGTTCTCGATCTCTGCCTGCACTCGTCGCTTCGCGATCTCTTGGCCAAATTTCAAGGCCGACTGTAAGTCACGTTGTATTTCTGAGTCGAAGTCGCTGAACAGCAGCTCTAATCGTTTCCTAGAAGTCTCTAAGCTGGATATCTGGTCTTGCGACTCGCGTATCTCCGGACTTGACAGAAGACCCTCGGTATATCCCCTGTCGTACGGACGCCTTAGAGCGCTCTCGAGAGCAATACCCACACGGACTAACCTCACGAACCTAGCTATCGGTCGTCGCCGCCGTCCAGTAGAGGTTTGAACCGGAACAGGGGCTGGAGAAGTAGGTGGAGAATATGTCCTAGCGGGCCTGTAGTCCACAGTACCCTTCTCTTGTGCCAAAGTCGATGGTTCAACTTGTGTTATAAGGCCAGCATCTTCTTCATTGGCCTGATTTCGGATGGAGGATTTCCGCCTCAAAACACCGTTATTTTCTCGCTCCAGAAACGGCTTTAAGGCGCCCTTTGCCACTTGAGAGTTGGCGCTGAGTCCATGTTGTTTAGCCGATGGTAATGTATCCAGTGAAACCATGCTAAACCCTTCACTCTCCATTATAGAATCAAATTCTCTGTGTTCATCAGTAGGGTCGTTTGTAGCATAAACTCCGCTTTCGCGGAAGCGGTTACGCGAAACTGAGCTTTGCGCCTCTCGGTCTTGTCTTTCCTCATCTACTAATGATGAGGATGTTGGGGTGGGGTAGAGACGAGGCGGCCTAGGTGTACGACCAGCGTATATGGTGTTGTCTGGAGAGAAAATTTGGCTCTCCCGGGAAGGGGAAGGCATTTTTGATGGTGTTGAATGTATATTCTCGTCGTTCTGCATATAGGCATCATCCACATAATCGACATTTGGCGTATCATAGGTACGTTCATCTTCAACTTGAGGACTCTGATCCTGCGGGTTATCATCAAGTTGCTCCATCTGAACGTCACCCTCGAAGGGTTCCGCATAGCCTTGATCATCCGGCAAGTCATCGTCAGATTCCTCATCTGCAGCAAGGTTCAGGGGAGCCCAACTTGGCTCGGGCTCGACAACGGATGGCTCAGCTATCTGACTGTTTGCCACCTGCGCGCCAACGTTGTCTACGGGATCCTGCGCCGGAAGATATTTCCTAGGTCTGCCTCGCTTCCTCTTTTGCGCACTTGCGCCTCCTGGGCCAGGAGTATGACCAGGGCTCCCCCCATTCGGAGTCGTACTTTGCACCGTCATGTCTGACTTCCTCGGGCGCCCGCGGCGTTTCTTGGGGGTCTGCTCCATGGTGTCTGCTTCATCCTTCAGCGGCACTTTGGTTGTCATGGTAGAATTCCGGGGGCGTTTGCGCGAAGGGCTGCCTTGGTCCATTTCCTCGTCTTGTGTTGCCTCCAATGTCACTCGAATCCTCCACGGACTCACGTTCCCGTCGGGCTGCACCTTTTCAGGGGAAAGGGGCTTTTGCCGGCCGTTCATTGTCCTTGACGGAGACCCGGGGAGCACCACATCGTCGAAGCGGATAGAATGCGAACTTTTTGTAGGACTCAGGCTGATGCGCCTTCTGCTTTTGGCGAAGCGCGGCGTCTGAAGGAGTTTGAAATTTGCAGGCGACATGACGCTTTGGCGCCCGGAGAACGGTTTGAACGGGGAGGAAACCAAATACTCGACGTCGCCAGGTGGCCCAAGAATGTCCGGTGAAGAGCTAGAGCTACGGAAGGACATAACGACATGCAACAAGCGATAGGATCTGGGATGTCTCTCGACCCCAGTCGCGTTTCATCAGGCAGGGACAGGTTAACGGATTTCTCGAAGAACGTTGCAATTATACAAAATTTTCCATCGTTTTCGTAGCAGGGCTACCTGCAAGAGGTCTGGACTTCTATAGGAATGATGATGATAAGCCGATAATCGCGGGGAAGCAGAGCAACCGCAGAGCATAACATAAACAAGTCTCCCGATCAGGCAGGCCGAGGGTCCGGCCCGATTTGCTTTGCCGCTAGAGGTTGAAGGGGGGCGCGCTCGAATTATGTAAGCGGATAAATGTTGTTCCATATCGATAGTCAGGTTATCAAGTTACGGGATGGTAAAAGAGCCCAAGATGCAGGCTTACCTGCCGGACTTCTACCCTTGCGAATGCGATGTGATGGACTGTAGCACTTACACTATCATGATCCCATATATGTTAAGGAATGTGTAACGTGTGGTAATTTGTGGATGGCGCCCAGCCTGCGTAACTACTAGGTAGCCATTCTCACCCACGCGGTGGTTTCTTTGGTAGCTTGGCATCAGACAACAGAAGTTAAGACGAGCGATCGACAGGCCGCTTTCCTTCCCCGCATCCTCTTAATTTGTCCCCCCCACCGGAAAGTTCTTGTTTCGGACTAGGCCAGTTGCCTCATTTCCGTGGCTTTCATGGTTGACCCCTTGTGGACGGACTACTGAACGCCTTCCCGCGTCTTCTTTTCCAAGTTCCCCATCATTACTATCTAGTATTCACTACAGCGGAGAGAGACTGAGCACTAGACCACCAGGTGTGCCACATAGTACCGAGTACTACATGATTACAGTACCTGTCGTCACTGGATACATCAACTACTCTCGCAATTGGCTCATCGAAGTCAGGGATCATCGATCAAGTGGTGGACAGACGCATACTTCGACAGCCCGCCATACTGAATCCGTCGACGGCACAGAGCTTGTTGGCAGTTACGCGGTCTAATGCACTAGCATTGACCCTGCCCAACTAACGCATCCGTGGATTTGCCTCCTATAATTTGCCCGGATAATTACAAACAATCCAGTCCAACCAACAACTCGGGGAAATTGAATTTTACCCCAGTTCCGCTGCTGCTGTGCTTTGGTACCCCCGCCCGCTGGTCAGGCGCCATCATGAGGTAGGAAGAGGATAAATAGTAGTATGATTCACGCCTTTAAATCTTACCAAGGATTCTCCCATCTCCTTGGCTGCTTGCGCTCCTTGCTCTGCCCTGCTCGGATCACCCTTCGTCTCCTGTCGGTGTATTGCTTCATCTTCCTAACTGTTACACTGCTTTTGGGAATCAGAATGCATCTTAAATCATATTTGTCTGCTGCCCTTTATGGGCTACCGGCGCTGGCTCTAGATGCGGCCGCATCGTCTACTTCAAATTCGCCTGCTGTAGATCCATTCAAAGTCTACACCATCACTGCGGAGAATATCACCGCCAAGTTGATTCCATATGGAGCGCGTCTGACTTCTCTACTCGTGCCGGACCGCGATGGCAACGAACAAGATGTAGTCGTCGGCTATGATGACCCTAAGGATTATTTGAAAGACACTGAGACCGACCACACATTCTTCGGCGCTGTTGTCGGCCGTTATGCCAACCGCATCAAAAACGGCACCTTCCAAATAGATGGAGACAAGTACGAAATCCCTAAGAATGAAAACAACGGCACCGACACATTGCATGGAGGCGATGTCGGTTATGATCAGCGCAACTGGACTGTCACAGCTCAATCTGATTCTTCCATCACTTTTACTCTGCTTGACCGCGCGCTGGAGGGCTTCCCTGGAGATGTCATCACTCACGCCGTATTCAGCGTTGATTCTGATGTCACTGCCGAGAACCCCAAGGGTCTGCCGCAGTTGACCACCAAATTAATCTCGTTGGCCCTGACGGAGAAGACTCCCATCATGACTGCTAACCATATCTACTGGAATCTCAACGCGTTCAAGGAGACCAATGTGCTGAATGACACCTTCCTCCAACTACCGCTATCCAAGCGGCTCGTCGGTACGGACGGCATCCTAATTCCCAACGGAACCATCCTGGGTGTCGACTCGTACGACGGAGCAGCGGACTTCACCACTGGAAAGCTTGTGGGCAAGGACATCGGGAAAGCAGCAGGACTGTGTGGAACGGATTGCACGGGCTATGACAACTGTTTCATCGTGGATCGCGACAATGCATATGGCTCAAGCAACTCTATGGTGCCAGTTGTCCGTATGAACTCCAGCACAACCGGAATCAGTATGGAGGTGGCTTCAAACCAACAGGCTGTTCAGATTTACTCCTGCGTTGGTCAGAAGGGTAACATTGCCATCAAGCCGTCCCAGGCTAAGCGGAACAAGGAAGAAGGTATCGAGGGCGCAAAGGCCGTTAACAAGTATGGGTGCATCGTTATCGAGACCGAAGGTTGGATTGATGGAATCAATAATCCCGAGTGGGGTCAACTGTCAGACCAAATCTATTCCCCCACCGGAGCTCCAGCAGTCAACTGGGCTACGTATAAGTTTGGTACTGTCTAAACTAGCCACGCCACAGTTCTGGTTATCTAATGGCTTGATGGCTCTAATTGTTGGGTGGTTCTCAACCTCATCGTGTTGTATGTACATTTTACTACCGCCGGGTAAATAATGTGATTGATTATTAAGAAAATCAAAATGCATCGTAGACCCTAGTGCTTAGTGCTTTAAAACCGTAATATTAATTGTATATGAAATGCTGAGTTTCAGGGTATCGTGTCTAAGTCCAGTCATTTAGAGGAATTCATCAAAATGAAACAGCAAGTGAACAATATGCTACCAGCTGTATCGCAACCAATTTTCAACGCTATACAGCCCAATACACACTTCCTTGGGTAGTGCATATTCATCCCCATCCTGCTAGAGTCCAGCTCGACCGGTCTCCACCAGATCGTAGCCCTGACCGTCGATCAGGGACATGGCCATGGGTATCAAAGTCACGGCTAGCACCAGTAAGGCCATGCTGAAGAAACTTCTCCCGCTCAATTTCTACCAGAGATCTTATCTTAAGGCTCGCCACAAGACTAGCTCCAGCCCAAGGCCCAAGAGATTCGACTTCGCGCAGAACTCCTTGAACCGCAGGCTTGGTATCCTTGTCTCTAGACCGGCGGAGCTTCTCCTCGACCGGATCAATCTCCTCTTCTTCAGTATCCCGTTTTTCTTGGTCACCCTTCCCAACGGAAGTTTTAGGTGACGGTGGTGTGGAGTCGTTAGCGTTGTTAACCGATGTCTGGCGTTCATTGAGACGCAAATTTTGAAGCATTTGTCTTTGTTGCTCAATAACTTTACCACGTACAGGACTCCAGCCATGTTGATCAATAAGGGACGATACTTCAGCAAGGACTCGTTGTCGAACACCCGGGATGTTAGCTCCTCCACCGACGAACACTATCCGTGACATACAGATGCCGCGGACATCGGGCGGTAACTGTAGGAGCGTGTTGTACACCAGCAAAGCAACCGGCTTTTCTTCGTCATCCAAGTCACAATCCGCTACGCCTTTAGCAAAAAGGACCTTCTCCACCGGCTCTGAAAGTTTAGAGAAGGGTATATCCATGTAGTTCGAGCTGGGGTTTGATGGAGATGGGATTGACACAGTTTTGTGCAAAAGACTGGCGATGTCTTCTTCTGTGGGCCCACTGTCTCCCTCTTGAGGGTCAGTCAATTGCGACGTAGCAGATGATCCGTGATCACCTGCTTGAGGCTTACACCACAGAAACCGGCTAGCAACTTCTTCACAGTACTCAAAATTCACGGAGATCTCATCTACATCCCCATTACTATTTGAGGACAGGCGAGTGAGAAACCTGCCTGTCTCCTGAAGTAAAGACTTCATGGCCCTTGTACTCCGCTTGGTAGCAATCTCTCTGTACTCATATATTCCAGTTACCGTTGTTTCCGCCCATCCAAGGTCTACCACCAACGCCGAACGCAAGCCAGCTGCAGCCACCGCCATTGTGGGGCTCGGAAGGAGCGTGATACTAGGAAAGCGCCATCGACTGAACAGCGTCGACAAGACGGAAGACAGTAGTGGATGTGGCATAATTGACGGGACAACGAGTACCAATCTCGCAGTTCCCGCATCCGTCAAGAGGTATTTATTGTATGTCTCTCGGAACATCCGCTCGATTTTGTCTTCGACAAGACCCAAGTCGACATCACGCACGTCCATCTTCCATAATTCATATGCGCCTGTCCACTCTTCTGCTTTTTCTGGCTGTGGGCGTAATGTATCCGCGTTCAGGCTAGCTTTCAGCCATCCTCTGTAATCGCCGGCCCTCCTTGAGTCTTCCGGTCCACACCCGACCACACACGTAGGTGTGCTGTCGCCCTCAAATCCAGCCCGAAGCCATCTGGAGCCAAATTCAAAAACTATCGCATCCTCTTCCCCGCGCAACGAGCTTGCCGATGAGGTGCTTGCGAAGGAGGAGTTATTAGAGCGCAGGTGATGCTGAGGCGTAGAAGGTCGGCCGGACTGGCTATGTCGCAAGCTCATGGAGACACTTGTGCTCCTATCATCAAGGTTGTAAGCCGTAGAGCCGCTCGTCATTTCTTCGTGATCTATACTGTGGTATTTGCGTTCACTTCAGATTGCGGGGATGGATCAGGGGTGGAGAATCGGTCGGTAGGCGCGAATCATGCTTTAATTTTCTAGGTTCAAAGAATCCAATTCATGATTGAACTCTCAGAAATAAATCAAGCGATCGTATTAATTTTACTTCGCCGGAATTTCAAACTGTCAAGAACAAAGATACGGAAAGTGCAACGGCCACCACGACTTTAGTGAGCACGGATCTACATCGGACCGTCGCACGCCCCGACGTCAACAAACAACTCTCATACATACAAGATACAGAACCCTCCACGTCTATACCGTCGGGGATACTGCAATTTGGGTGTTTTGGTGTTGTTCTTCGTTTGTAATTTTGAATCCGGCCTAATGGGGATTCCAGGGTAAGTAAAATCATTTCAGTCAATTCACAGAAAAACCATCAAAATATATAAATATCACTCTCGACTGCTTTCTTTACGGGTCTAAAATTTGAGCATTAGCTGACACAAACTAGACTCCTCAATGCAATTGGGCCTGGAGAGCGCATATCTCTTTCAAAGCTAGCAATAACCCACCTAGAGCGAACAGCAAGGCCTATTCGTGTTGCAGTGGATGTCTCAATATGGTTATTCCAGGTGCAGGCAGGCCGTGGCGGCAAAAATCCGGAGCTACGGGCTCTGTTCTACAGGTTGCTGAAATTTTTAGCCCTTCCTGTTCACCCGTTGTTTGTCTATGACGGGAAACATAAACCACCCTTCAAGAGAGGCAAAGCTACGGGAAGTAGTTATGGAAGTGCACCCATCATTGGGCTTTCCAAGATCTTGGTCGATCTGTTCAGATTTCCTCGTCATGATGCGCCCGGGGAGGCAGAGGCGGAGTGTGCCAGGCTACAGACGGCAGGTGTCGTCGATGCGGTTATGAGCAACGATGTTGATGCTCTCATGTTTGGGTCAAAGTTGACCATTATGAATTACTCCAAGGAAAGCGGGAGTGGCACGTCTGCCGCAACGCACGTTACCTGTTATGAAATGGGAAACCTTAACTCATCCTCATGCTCAAGACTGGACCGTGCTGGCATGATCTTATTTGCTATGTTAAGCGGAGGCGATTACCTGCCATCCGGAGTTCCGAAGTGTGGTAGCAAGCTCGCTGCAGAAATTGCAAGAGCGGGTTTCGGGGAGGATCTTTTGGAAATTCTCAACTCAGAAGGAATTGAGCTCAATACAAAGCTGAACGAATGGAGAGAAAGGCTCCAGTATGAGCTTGAGGTCAACGAAAGTGGCTATTTTCAGACCAAACACAAAGCTGTTCGAATTCCGGAAAGCTTTCCAGACAGGACAGTCTTGTCGTATTATGCCAAACCTATAGTATCAACTTCGAACGATCTTGAAGTTTTACAACACCGCTTGGAGACTGCCTGGGACCGGGAAATTGATGCTTTCGAATTAAGAAGATTTGCTGCGGATACTTTCGAGTGGAACTATCGCTCTGGGGCAAGGAAAGTGATAAGGTTACTTGCCGAACCTCTCGTTTCTTACCGACTTCGTCTCCGGAAGGACTTGACAGCGTTTCCTTTCAGGTTATCTGAAAACGATGTGCCAATGCTTCAGAAAGTTTATAAGAGCAGGACGAGTTTCAGCACAGATGGATTAACAGAGCTGCAACTTGAATTTGTTCCTATTGATATTGTTGGCTTAGATCTGCTCGCTGAGGAACCTAATCCTCCACTTCCTCCGCAAGAGACGGCGGCTTCGGGCGATGAGGAGGAGGATGTAGAAGTTAATGTTGAGCCTGCTCCGCAGTCACCGGCTAAGAAACGTGCCACGAAGCGGTTTGATCCTTATTCCTCAGAGAAAATTTGGGTGTTTGAAACGTTGGCTACGATTGGAATCCCAGAAGTTGTGCAAAGTTGGAAGCAGGAAGAGTCTGAGAAGGCCTCTGCTCCTAAGAAGTCAAGCACTAGGAAGACAGGGCCAAAGAAGAAGGGACCAATAGATCCAGGCATGAAGCGAGGAAGTATCCTGAAATATGGTACTCTCACCAAAGAAAGATCTGAGATCACGCAAATAAAACAGGCGCAGCTCTTTGAAGCAGCAATATCATCAACGTCGACGCCGAAAAAGCACAGTGCATCGAATGTGCAAGGCCCCCTGAGCGCTTCCAGAGAATTGCCTAGCCAAGGCCCGTATTACCAACAGCAAACGGCCGCTTACAACCGAGACGAATATTTTGATAATTTAACCAATATGTTCTCTTTATGCAATATATCACCTAACGTGGGCATCAAACGGCATCCAGTGACTACTCGGCCCCCTCTCAGAGGTAGACGTGAGGCAGTCCTCTCGGGCGACTCTGAGGTAGAGGCTTTGGAAGTTTCAGAGTCTTTGGAATGCTCCCCACCTTCTTCATCTCCAAGGAGAATCCGTATAAGCTACTCCAATGTTAGCTATAATGACATGACCATAACAGACAATATGGAGCGTGTTCCCTCTATACATGCGAAGTACTGCAACAGGGCAAAGCCCGATCAAAGCAAATTCAAATCTCAGAGCTCTCAAGGGGTCCAGAAACTGGAGCAAGACATGTCGTCGTTGCTTTTGGACGATAGTAAACCACATGGATCTGCCAAAGAACGATCACATCCATCGAAGATTGCCATACCTGATGCTAAGCGGCATCTGCAAAAGCCAGCGATTAAAAAGCCACATTATGATTGGACTATCCCCAAATCTCGGCCAGATGGTGGCCCGATAGATTTGGAAGAAGTTAGGCCGCCTAATGTCCCGGATATTCTGGAGAAAATGGCTTTTGGAAAGCGTACAACGCAAAGGAAAGGCAAGGTGGAGACCCTTACCACACCACCAAAGGCATGCAAGAAGGACACTTCAGAGCCTGCAAAGCCGGAAACAAAGACAAACAATTCAAGATATCTAAAGAACGACACTAACACAGCCAGTTCTTATGCAGAATCTGTCGTGGTTTCCGATGGGTACTGGACACTAGACACAACTCCAGAAGCTGGGATGGCCTCAGATGAATCAAAATCTGAAGTTGACAAGAACACCACGAATGAGAGTTTAAGAAGTCGCAGAGGCAAGAAACGACTCCCACGCGTGAGCATTTTGGACCTTAGTTGAACCGATATTTCTACCTTGTTTGCGTGCCTTGGACTCATGAATTTGTATTTCCTTGTCCCTCTTCTCCCGTTCTTGAGCGTTCTTCAGGCGTTGGTGGAACTAGGGCTTCTGGCTTGTTAAAGCATTATTCTGTTCTTTCACGTATTCAATATTAAGCACTACCTCATCCTTCTGATATCTAGCCAGATTAAGTACATACATGGATACACAATCATACCAAGATAAACAAAACAGAAATGAACCCAGAATCGGAACATAACACCCAGACCCGCAGTGCTGCTAGAAGCTGCGGAGCCATCGAATTCTCTAGTCAAAGGTAGTTCTCTTCTATCTATAAAGCAAAGCAGAGGATCTTCGTCGGTGTTTGGCAGAATAAGAGGCGCTGGCGCTAGCTTCCAGTGGTATAACAAGAGTGGAAAGAAACAGGTGGAAGAAGAAAAGCAGACAAGGGAAGAGAGATAAGTATAGACAAATGGACTCGTTCAAAAAACAAGAAATTCGCAGTATGAAACAAAAAAAAAGGTAACACCTTTTCGCTGCCCATCCGATTCTAGACCCTTAATCGATACAAGATAAAGTACGATATGCAGACAGAAAGGGAAGCCAAAAACAAACGCCGGTGATGGTATCCTTCACATATTCAACCAAAAACCTTCAAAAAGCCCCATAAGCCTATTCCACTCAGGATGGGGATGGTGAAATTATCATCCCAGCCGAAAAGGTCCACGAACTCACTGCCGGCTGCGACCAAGCCAGAGACAACGCTCATGACGCCGAGGGCCAAGGGCCCTGAGATAACAGTGTCCGCTGTCCAGCCGATAAGGTTCTTGACTGTGTCTGGTACGAGATTGAGACGGCCGGTGAACATGAATGCGTTCTCTGGGTCGTTGGGGAAAGGACCGACGTTGGGTACGAAGAGGCCCCAGAACGCAGCGGCAGTGACTACTCCAACGAGCCACGCGCTCACGGTTCCAGCAAAGCTCTTGCCTGCGCGCAGCTGGAATGTGTGCCGGCCGTAGAGACGACCGAAGGTAGAAGCTGCGGTGTCGCACCAACTGAGGAGCAGTACACCCATGACTCCTACATCCTTGGGGAAAAAGCGCAAGACCGCATATGCGCCGAGCAGATACCAGATCACGCCATTGTACCCTTTTACTTCAGTCTCCCGCATGAGCGCTCCGACGCAGCGAATGTAAAGCTTATTGATTGTCTCCGAGCGGTGACGAACTATATCCACTGCGGCTATTGGTACTAGGGCCCCGAACAACCAGGGAGTGATTTGGGTTGTTTGGATGCCACGGCTGTACAGGTGAAGAGTAAAGAAGCCGATTGACACGTGGAGGGCCTTGCGCGGTATTTCATGCCGATGGATAAAATTGCGATAGCGTGTATGAAGAGGAATAAGCCCCATAGGGGAGGGGGACCGGGAGATGCTAGGCGCGATACCGTCAGCCTTTCCAAACGGCGATAAGAATCCGTTGGGCTTTGCTCCGCCGTTTGTTTGTTTCTCGGGGCTTGTTGCAGGCTGCATCGGGTTGGATTTCCGCTTCCTTTGTCTAGTTGATCCCGCAGGACCAGTCGGACTCCCAGAACGAGTCCGCGAGCGCCTTGATCCCGACCCCCGCTCATTATTGCTTTCCTCCGATACATCTACTAGTCGCTGTCGTCGCGCTGCAGAGCGAGTTGTGGGGGCAGAGTATCCGTCCCTGGATCGCGACCTGCTTTCTGAAGGTGCAGGCGAAGGAGATATGACTCGAGGAGTCTCCGGGATCGCATCTTGGGAAGACATATTGACTGCTCGTAGGCCAAACGGCGGAAGAATCGGAGATTGAATTAACCCAGACAAGGGTCGCTGAGTTGGAGAGGAATAATTGCAGGCAGAAATGCCGGGGATGGAGAAATAGCCTGCTTCTAACGATGCAATGGTGGGCGACTATATACACAAAAGTGAAAGATAAATTATTGATGTCGAGTGATGCGCAAACGAATAACACTGCCACACATAACGTTATGGTCTCAGCTAAAGATCGACACAGCCAGGGAACCACAAAAGGACAAGTATGACGGAGTATCCGAAGGGTATAAGCCTGCCGCCGACAGCCTACCACCGATTTTTTCTGGTTTCTTGTCGTCGTGTCGACAGAAATAATTCGCCGAACCTTCCGCCAAATCCGTATAGTGTCACGTGTTAATGGGCAGAAAGACTCACCGCCCACGATATCTAATCAGTAACTGATAAGGCCTTTTTTCTAGATTTTTTTTAATATGGATGTATGGGCGACGGAAGTTCCCTCGGTCAAATAATCTGTTGATAATAGACTCATAAGAGAGTCAATCCTTCGCCAGGCTGTCAAAATGGCCCCAAAACCGCCAGCTGGTACATCATCTAGAGCCTGGGATGGTGTCTCACCTTCTCTGTCGGAATGGGTGCTGGAAGCCGTTTCGTCTATGGGCTTCACGCGGATGACGCCCGTGCAGGCGTCCGCTATTCCTCTATTCATGGCCCACAAAGATGTTGTAGTTGAGGCCGTTACTGGAAGTGGAAAGACTTTATCTTTTTTAATTCCCATTGTGGAGAAACTTCTACGTCTTGAAGAACCTATCAAAAAACATCACGTTGGCGCGATCATCATTTCCCCGACGAGGTAGCTATAGTCTTTGCTTAGAAAAGAAAAGCACAAGCATACTGACTACAAGTACAGGGAACTTGCATCACAGATCTACCATGTGCTACTCTCATTACTCGCATTCCATCCTCCATCTGCCTCCGTCATTAACCCTTCAGAAGACGATGACGTTCCCCGGCAAAAATTCCCATCCTCTACCCTCAAGGTTGTTCCCCAGCTCCTTCTCGGAGGTTCTACCACGCCAGCAGAAGACCTAAGCAAATTCTTGAAGCAATCACCAAATCTACTCATCTCCACACCTGGACGTTTGTTGGAACTGCTCTCTTCACCTCATGTCCACTGTCCCCAATCTTCGTTCGAGATGCTCGTCTTGGACGAGGCAGACAGACTTCTGGATCTTGGGTTCAAAGAAACTCTGCAGAACATCATACGCCGGTTACCTAAACAAAGGCGAACGGGATTGTTTAGCGCAAGTATCAGTGAAGCCGTTGATCAAATTGTGCGGGTTGGTCTGCGTAATCCTGTCAAGGTCATGGTTAAGGTCAAAGGAACTTCAGGTGCCCAGGACAAGCGAACGCCCGCAAGCTTACAAATGACATACCTTACGACACCCACGATTCACAAATTTCCCGTCTTGAAGCAAATTCTCCATTCCGTTGATCCAGCTCCCCAGAAAACCATCTTTTTCGCCTCAACCTGCTCAGGAGTTGATTATCTCTCTGCGATCTTACCATTAATACTTGGTGATGATTTCCAGCTGATTCCACTACATGGAAAGCACCCGGCGAACGTCCGTGAAAAGAACTTCAACCGATTTGTGAATTCATACAGCCCAGCAATTCTACTAACAACGGATGTCGCTTCTCGTGGTTTGGATATCCCGTCTGTTGACCTCGTTGTCCAGATAGATCCTCCATCGGATCCTAAAACGTTTATTCATAGATGCGGCCGTGCTGGTAGAGCCGGCCGAAGGGGGCTAAGTGTAGTCTTGTTGCATCCGGGACGGGAGGAAGACTATGTATCTTTCCTCGACGTTCGCAAGACTCCAGTAGCTCCTTTCCCACATTCCATCTCCTTCTCAGATTCCGAAGCCACTGCAGCTACGAATGCGGCCCGCAAGGCTGTGCTGGCGGACCGTGCACTCCACGATCGTGGGCAAAAGGCTTTTGTCAGTTGGCTAAGAAGCTATAGCAAACACCAGGCGAGCAGCATTTTCCGTGTCGCTGATCTTGATTGGGAGGGTTTAGGGAAGGCATGGGGTCTGCTGAAGCTACCCAAAATGCCCGAGTTGAGGAACTTTACTGGTGACCGGACGCTCGGTGTCAATCTGAATTGGGATGACTATAAATACAAAGACAAACAACGAGAGAAGCGCCGCATAGAATTGCTTCAGGAGAGCAAAGCAGACGGTACACAAGAAACCTCCAACAAGAGAAAGGCCAACGAGACCACCGCATGGAGCAATAAGCTTGAGGATAGAAATAAAAAGCAAAAGCGACGAGAGCAAAAGCAACGACGACAGGAGAAGAATAGGTGGGAGAAGATGACTGAAGAAGAGCGGCAGAAGGTGCGGGAGACGGAGCAAATGGTGGAAGGTATCAGAGCAAAGAACGAAGAAGAGAGGCGACTTAGACGCGCAGGAAAGGCCGAGGCAGCAAATTCTGGCAAGGATGAGGAAGAGTTTGAAGGTTTTGATTAAAAAAAGTTACAGAGATACCTCTTTGTTTGCTTTGGATATATATGACGTCTGAATCTATATCTCATAGCGCCGTGATCGAACAGAATGATCAACCTACATGTATAGTAAATGTAGATTCTTGAACATATAGAGCATTCCTTCCATCATGGACTTAGTTATTATCTATAACCTCTGAATGCTCACATCATGTATCATTTTACCATAGCATCGCTCGATTAGGACTGCCCTCCAAGCTCAATTCAGCTGTCCATGCCCTTGATAACCCTGATCTATAACCCACTATGACGGCCACACCATTCACCTGTCCTGTCCTGTCTCGTTATTCAAATGCCGCTTAGTACCTGCTCCCTGCATCCTCACCACTGGCGACGGGTCCACATCAAGCATACTCCTCGGGGGCGCTGGCAACAACAACGGAAGACCAGAGGATGGTACACGTTCACGCACGACCGAATTCTCACCAGACATGCTCTGATCAGATCGCTGAAACCCCTCGAAGGTACCAGGCATGCGCGAAGAAGAGGGAGCAGTTGCAAACGAAGAAAGCGGCGGTAAAACAACGACAGTTGTGTTGCACACGCCCGGGAGCCCATTTCCTATCTCCAAATGAGACATGTCTCGATTTTCTGCCTGACTCATCTGCCCGAGTCGTGGCAGCTGGCTACTGCACAGTTGGCAGTACCGCGGGGCAATGTCAGTCAGAATGAACCGGTTGCAGCAGGCGACTATCACGGGCTGTGGGTTGTTGTTTGGTGAAGGGTAGTATTGAGCTTTGATGCATGGTTGGATCAGTTGAAGGAAATCGCAGGTGCAGTGCGGCTGGTTGGGTTGGTAGTAACACATCCTTTCTATTTGTTTGAGGTTGTTCATTTGAAGAGGGCGTATAGGGAATGCCTTCGAGGTTGGGTGAGATGGAGAGGAGAGTGTCGCTTTTGGGGGGAGAGGTGGTTTTATGTTATCCTCTAAGAGGGCTGCTCTCTATGAGCCTGGGTTTGAGGGTCGATCTGGGCTCACTATTGTGAGACAGGGGCGTACTTGTTGCATGACGACGGTTTATGAATACGCCTTGAGAGGCAATAAAGGCTCAGCTTGAGTGTCAGCGTCCGCTGTGAGACATTTGGAGGTTCTCTCATTATAAAATTACCCGAGACATGAAGACAAGTGGCAAGCTGTGGATGTATTCAAGCGCAATGGTCTTGGTCAGGGATGTAGCAGCCTTAAAGAAGCAGACTGGATAACTGAAAGGTTTCTAAAAAAAAAAAAAAAAAAAAAAAAAAAAAAATGAAAGGAAAAAAAAAAAAAAAAAAAAAAAAAAAAAAAAAAAAAAAAAAAATATGCAAGTGTATTGTAGATGCAAACAATTCCCATTTGTCAAAAAAGAGACGCCTGAATGCGAGAATCAACGCAAATAACACGATGCTCATGCATAGCTCCAGATACAAATGATTCAACAAAACTCCGGTATACCATAGAAACCAGTACCATCAAGCGTGATCCCAAAGACAGAAAGTCATCAACTAGAGGGTCTACAACTTCATCCAATAGGTTGAAAGAGACTACAGCTAGCGATGTCGACACAACAAATATGTATACCCAAACTCCAGCTATCAAAGCTAGCAATAAATCCTCCGAACGGCCCTTTTGGGCCCATCTAAATCCCTCGGACGAGGAACGTGGCGAATCAGACAGGTTAAATAGGGTCGGAGAAAAAGCCACTTAAACATAAACAACATAAAGGGGGAAGAGCAGATATCGTTCCGATCAATGATAGTCAAGACTTCATTTCAAAGTCTTTTTGAACTCCTCAAAACTCTGACGAAAAGCAAGGTACGCTGGTTCAATCTCGGAGTCGTCCCAAATCGTAGCAAGGAGTTTCATGGAGGTAGAACTGACACCAAGGCTCTCTTCATAGCTTTGCTTGGCCGGCCACTTAAGTTGACTGAGGTCCCCAGAAGGACAATTCTGATAAAGCCATTCCGCATCACGAGCGAATTCATCATCACCAAAGTTTTCGGGTTCGTCGACTTTACCAGACTTTGCAATCAAGTCGGATTTCTTAGTTGTGTGGTCGGAGGCAACAGTATCGGGTGTGGCGGTCAACGGACTAGCATATCGGCTTGCAGTACGGAGACCACTAGGAGTCTTCGGCTTGTATTTCTCTGCTTGGGACCGCACTCTTGCAAGAGCTTCCTCGTCCACTTTACCTGGGGTTGATAGATGAGCCCTAGAGGTATGGCGAGATGCAGGAGATTGAGCATCATGGCCTTCATGCTGTGCAGAAGCACGCCCGTCTTCTTCCCGTACGGCTTGGGAGGGGCTAGAGGCGGTAACATTTGTTGACGAGGACAGACCAGTAGTCTCCGAGTCATCTAAGACCACATCATAGTCGAGCTGAAAAGTACCTTGGGTGTTGGGGACGAATCCAGGATTCCGCGGAGAAGGTTGCTCAGTGCGAGCAGATGGTGTTGGTGAATCATTACCCATCCCAACGAAGTGTGTTCCGCGATAGGGATCAGTGGAGCGAGCACGCGAGCGAAGCTTAGAAGGAGTGTCCTCTGGGCTTGCATCAAAACGCACCTTTTTGGATGACTGTCTGTCTGTACGGAGGGCACTGCGGGCCACAGACTTTGCTAGGCCATCGACTTTCTTGCGTTCGCTCTGCTTAGATGGAGTTTCTGCCACCTCATCTTCACTTTCAGAGCTATAACAGAAATAATCCAAGTCTAACCCATAACTAGATCCGGCTGGGTTGGGAATCACATCGGGCGATGGCGACCGCTTGCGCTTCCTTTGCTCCGCATCGCTAGACGCTTGAGACGTCTCCCGTTCTTCAGCTTGGGCACTTGATGCTGCAGTCTGCTGACGCTCAGGCTTCTGCACCTGCGCCTGTTCAGTGCGGTGCGATTCCGGGGCAGCCGCCTCTGGGCGCACCGTGGAGGGCTTAGGTATGTCACCAAGGTAAAGGGATCTGTCAATGGGAGCCGGGAAAAGTGAGTAAGATAAGTTACGGGCACGCTTCTTCGGAGGCTGCGAGGGCCCTTCACTCAAACGCCAGCGAGATCGTCCTTCGGTTTGAGGACCAGCTGATTCAGGGTCAAAAGACCTTGTGCGAGTAATACGTTCTGACGATGGTTCGAATGTCGCTACGATTTGTTAGCAAGAAACAGGGGGGAAGGTTGGGAGAGCTTACATTGATCTTGCGAGCTTTCAGAAGGCCGACCAAATGGCAGTAATCGCGAGAAGGAACGAGGTACAGAGCTGAGCAGTCCACGTAGATTCCATCCACGCTGGGGAGTTTCTGGAGTGTTTCTCCCTGGCGTCGATGGTTCTTGGAGCGCAGACGACTCATCTGCTGAGCTTTGATTAGTTGGTAAGCTCGGTTCCATCGTAAAGTCAAATGTTGTTTGTGGAAGCTGTGGGCTCGGACTTGAAGGGGCTTTTTCAGCCTTCTGGCGGTCGGCCTCTAGCTGACGAAGATAGTCGGGAAGGCGGAAGAGTGTCGATTCAATCCGGCCATGCTTTTCGGCTTCTCGACGAGCAAGCCTTGCGGAGAAGGGGGCCGCCCTGGTCTGGATCCGGCGCGAAAGGGGGGTACGCCGGTTGGCAAAGGGGGTACTTCCTGGCGGTCCCAGATTCCGGCGCTTGTTTGCTGCAGGAGTCACGGGGGCTGTCCGATCTTCGTCGCTCGTCTCCTCGTGGGCCCTCTTCCTATTAACTGTATCGGTCAGCTTGAGTTCTCGTAGGACCGGTCAACGCTTTCCTGGTACGACCAAGAGGGCCGCCGATTTCTCGGCGACATCCTCTTGGGCGCCACCACTTGAGTAACATGGTCCGCCACTCAACCGCAATTCTCGAGTTGGTTCGAACTCCTCCACCAACGGACCTCCCATGCCGTAAGGTTCGCCGTAGATAGACTCTGCAAGTGCTTCTACAGCTGGCTCAGAGGTGCAGGGCTCTCCCCAAAGCGCCCCCCCCCCCCCCCCCCCCCGGCTCTATCGAAGGGGGGATGGGAGAGCGGCATGCCACCACCGTCGGACGGTGTCTTCGACCGCTCAGATAGTGGTGACCCTATGTCACTGATATCGTCGATCTGGTATTGATACCATCTGAAATCGACGGTGTTTGGTGGCGCACTCCAAGAAAGCGCTGACCGAGCGGGGTGTGTGTTTAGGGGTATTTTGGGTCCATGGAGTACTCACGCGTAAGGGAAGAGCTTTTCGGCTCAGAAAGAACTGTACTATCTGCCAGTGTAACAGAATCTGGGTCCTGGGACTCGTTTGTGAGGTTTTCTTTGTCGTCCAGGGGCGCGGTCTCGGCGCGTTCTTCGTTGTTATGGGATTCATATTGACTACCGTCGGCGGTTTGATTCTCCGTCTTGCGAGTTGACTTTCTTGTCGCTCGCTGAGGGGCTTTTCTCGTCTGTGTCTTTGCGACTCTGGCGGTCTTTTTGGTCGTGCCTTGACTTTTTTGTCGAGTTGTGGTTTCGGTAGAGGCTGAAGGTTGCGCAGTTGGTTGCGAGGTGTTTCTAGTAGACCTTGTCCGACGAGGAGCACTGTCATCGAGGGACAAAAAGCCGCCAGGCGATGCTTGCTGCGATCGAGTTCGCATTTTGACGGATTGCCGACCGAGGGCGACTGGCTTAGTCGAAGCTCAGCGCGACAAAAGGTTCACTATATGGCCTAGCTAAGCGAGTAGCTCCCTCTTCAAGACCAATAGAGGTTTGCAGATGAAGAGATAAGATGCTCAACAATTTTGATTCAATAAGGGCTTCAGCTTGCGTGCTGTAGAATTAGTTAAATGGATCGATAGTAAGAAGGGAGATGTGGCAATGAGAGAAAGGTGGGGAGGGCCTTCTGTTTACACTGTATTGTGATTCTAAGAGATGCCTCCCTCCCAGTTAGAAAATTAACATTCACTTACCTGGCTCAACAAGTCCGAGGCATAAACGACGCGGTGGTACTGGGATTCCAGAGAACTTTCGCAGATGAATTTCAAAACTTGGCGCCCACGCCCTGGCAAAATAATGAGGCGGTCAGCTGTCCACCCAATGAGGTTGCTACACCAGAAGGACTGTAATCCATGGATAGTAGTATTCAAGTTTACTCTGAATGACTTTGGCCTTTTTACGTTACTTTTTGTCTTTTGGCATCGGCTTGGAAGGAGTAAAGTCAAATTCAAATTCCTTCTGGCCCAGATATAATTTGCATAGTGGTCCTAGTAGAACACAAAGCGTGCTAGTATAGATTGCTGAAGTGAGGTGTTACTGGCTTCTTCTATAGATAAGACTTATTGATGCAAGTACAAGGCCCACTCGTGGGAGAGCAAATTGCTTATGCACGATAACACCCGACATATGGCTTAATCACTTCAATAGTTTCCTGGAAGGTAGAATTGTAATACTTATACACGGTGAGTCTGTAGATAAAGAAACATCAAGAAAGACCAGGCGAACAAGCGAGCTCTTGCAGCACACAGGGAAGGTATGGATGCCATATAGTTACACGCCAATGTTGACTTAATAATATAATAAAGAACAAATGAAAACATGACAATAAAAACGCTCGCGAGCTCTTACATGCTAATCTCACCCTTCCAAGCAGCATCTGACAGGCCCAAGGTTTCGATCAAGTGCTGCCATCGCGGGCCACCCCGCTCCTTCCTACGCAGGTACCGAAGCAACTTCTGTCGCTTATGCACGAGGAGCCTCAAGTTTCTTTTGTTATGCTTATCTTTGTTGGTTGTCTGCAAGTGTCTAGACAAGTTCAGAATCTTTGCAGTAAGGATCGCAACCTGGACTTCCGGGGAACCGGTATCCTGGCCAACTCGAGGAGTTTTCTCGGGGTGTTCAGTAGCAGACTGATGCGATACAGCTGCAGGTTTTGGCGGCAAGGTCTTGTCGGTATTGTGCCGTCCAAACGTTTCAATGCAGTTCTGGATGTGTAGGCGCATCTGATCTTGCGTGTTTCCATTACTGATCTTCACGATACGGCTGATTGCCTCCTGAGCGTTGCGATGTTCCTGAAGATGCCTCTCGGATGCCTCCTTCTCAAGCTGAGGGTCTGCAGTGTCCCTGTCTGGGTTCTCGAGGGGAGATGTCAAGGTTTTCGAATATTCCAAAGCCTCCTGGAGTCCCTCGGGAGTGACGAAGTAGTTGAGCCTGGCATCTGCGCTTGAAGGGGCTTGTGGCCCAGACTTGACCGTTTTGAGCTCTTGGATGAATGGTGTCGGTGCACTTTCCACAGGATCGCCCAGAGAGTTTTCGCGTTCCTCGGCGAGAGCTTGTTGACGAGACAGATTGGCGGCTTTGCGTTGACGTGACTGTGCCGTCAAAAACGGATCATGTCGGCGGCGTTCCCTAGTCTCTGCGGATCCCGCTCTAATAGATGTCCTGGAAGGATTCAATGACAATGCAGCAAGCGGGCTCTGAACATGCGAAGACCCTAGCATAGCCGGTTATTAACTCGGGCGCAACAAGATGGTTATGATCGTGGCTTACCAGTAAAAGCCTTGAAGGAAGGCTGGAAGAGGAATCGTGGAGGCATATTCAAAGAAACTGACTGGTAACTTCACCCTTGCAAGACAATCAACAGCCCCAGCACTGGCAACCTTTACGTCCTAGGACTCTGAAGACTCCGAAATCTCAAAGGCCGAGAACAGAGCTAATCCGTATTCAGCAAGGTGCTTGCACGTGACTTGACAGCGGAACGGTGGCCTGAGGCCAGCAGAATTCGTACCCTAGCCCTAAAATTCACAAACGAAAATCATCCAAACGCGGAGGGCGAAAGTTCACCTTCGCGTCAGTCTTTTCCCCGTCATCACCACTGCGACAAGCGCCAGTCGATTGATATATTCAATTCGCTGTTCATTGCAATATCAATCGCCCACCATGGCCCCCTCTCAGCTTCCCCCGATCTTCAACCCCACCCAGCAGGACATTGAGCAGCTGCTCGCTGCTCAGTGCCACCTGGGTTCCAAGAACCTTCAGGTGCACATGGAGCCTTACCTCTGGAAGACTCGCCCTGACGGTGTCAATGTTGTCAACATTGGCAAGACCTGGTAGGAGACTCAGCGAAATGCTGCGGATTTTGCTACGTGGAAAAACTAACGTGCGCGCAAATTACAGGGAGAAGATCCTTCTTGCTGCCCGTATCATTGCGGCCATCGACAACCCCGCCGATATCTGTGTGATCTCCGCTCGTCCTTATGGTCAGCGTGCTGTCCTGAAGTTCGCTTCTCACACCGGTGCTACCGCCATTGCCGGTCGTTTCACCCCCGGTAACTTCACCAACTACATCACCCGCTCTTTCAAGGAGCCCCGTCTCATCATCGTTACCGATCCTCGCACCGATGCTCAGGCCATCAAGGAGGCCAGCTACGTCAACATCCCCGTCATCGCTCTTTGCGACACTGACTCCCCCACCGACTTCGTTGATGTTGCTATCCCCACCAACAACAAGGGTCGTCACTCCATCGGTCTTGTCTGGTGGATGCTCGCCCGTGAGGTCCTCCGTCTCCGCGGTACCCTCGCTACCCGCGAGACCGAGTGGGATGTCGTTCCTGATCTCTACTTCTACCGCGACCCTGAGGCCGAGGAGAACAAGGAGATCGCCGAGGAGTCCAAGGTCGCTACTACCGAGGAGGTTGGTGCCGCCGCCGTTGAGTCTGGCTTCGCTGGCGAGAACTGGGACACCCAGGGTGCTGGTGCTGGTGTTCCTGGCACTGCTTTCGCTGCTGCTAGCGCTGCTGGTCCTACCAGCTGGGAGGCTGATGGTGCTGACTGGGCCGCCAGCTCCACTCCTGCCGCTGGTGGTGAGAGCTGGGCTGAGACCCAGCCTGCTGAGGGCAAGTGGTAAATAAAATAAATAGCGACAATGGACAGCCGTTACGAGGGGCATGAGTTTTTCTTTCTGCGAAGAATTGGCGCGGAGGAGGACTGACGTTTTAATTTTCTCTTCACCATGATCTGACGAGTAACCGACAGCATCACCCGCAAGGAAAACTTCTCTTGGCATGTCTATCCTAGTCTCTGTTTGAAAACCTCTATTTCAAAAGCAAGAAGAAAAAAAGGAGAAAAAGTGATCGAAGTTTCTGATCGGGAACCCTACAACTTGAAACCGTCTTTTTCTACTTCCCTTGGTATGCTACAGCGAAATCTCGTTTCTTACAGTCCGTTATCACGTCTTGTCCATGGTTCATCGGGGAGGAATAGCATTGTCAAAAATTGACTGGCGCTTACGAGGGAAAGATATCCAGTTGTTCTATTATCTCGGTGAGCTTCTGGGGGAAAGCCCTGTGCTGTCAATTTCCACAAGGTGGACTTAGCCGTTACCTTGGTTTCTCCCTGCATGTTAATTCTAGTCGTAAATGAAACGTGATACTAGCTACCATATGCATGTTCTATCGTGTATCAGCAGTATTCCGAGTAACCCCGGATAAGGCAATAAATGTAGCTCAACGCGTAGGCTCGTATTAGGAGGCGTGCATAGATATCATGGCATAACATAAAAGCTCCCTTTTCGGTTTCCCATGTTTGCCCAACCCAGTAAATGAACTTACTGCTTCCTCCATTAACCCTAGGAAGGCAATGGCATCTAGTAATTAGCATGGTAGCCAAAGCCAAAGCCAAAAAAAAAAAAAAAATACACTACGTCGGATAGCCGATCAACTATAGAATAGATATATATTCATCGTAAAAAGGGTATCACAACACTCGATCGTAGACATACTTCCGTTCCCCATCAAAGAACTATACAGCCACCCTGAGTCTGCCCCCCACGATCCGTAGTTGTCATACCTGCAAGCCTCGCTAGATCCTCGAACGTCTCTGCCAAAAGTTCTCCCGTGACAGCAGAACACTCTGCGTAGCGATCGCACCGGAGCTCTTGTGCGATCCCATATGTCTGCTTGAGTCAGCTTTTGCATCCATCAGAAGGTAAGACAACAAAGCTCATAAGGCACATTTCCAGGCTGAGATACCGCAGGAACGAGGTACTTACTTCTTGTGGGTAGATGATACCTTCGCCTTCTACTCTTAAGTCCCTTTTCAGGCCTATCATCATGACGGGGATCCGTTCCCCCTGACCATGTTGGAAGTACCGGATAATGTCGTGTCGCCACTATGAAGATCAGTGACTGTGGCCGACTTGTGGAAGAATCGATAAATATGCAAACTCACTGTTCTAAGATTGGTCAAACTATCTCTGTTGGATATGTCAAAAGCTAGAAGCACCACATCCGGCTTCAATGTAGACCAGTGCTGATTGGGACATGCAGTATCGTATAACTCGAGGCTAAAGGACTTCTTTGAGAAACGGATATCATAAAGGAAAGGCTGGTCGCTGTCTCGTAGGAGCTCAGGTTGGGTATGCGATCCATTTCCATTTAGCCTCCCGCGCCCTTGTTTCAATGCTCTGGAGCGATAGATTAGTATTCCGCTGAAGGATTGAATGCAAACATAGGAAGTGTCCGGCGGTAGAGGACATCTTGGAAGATACGATGAAGGTCTCAATAGCCTTTTGGCATATACTTACGATAAGAATGTCGTTTTACCACATCGTGGGTCTCCGAGGAGGAGGATGGTCACTGTGTTCTCCTGGTCCGGACCACTCTCTTGGTTCGTCATTGGGGCGAATTCACGAAGTGCTGTTACAGTAGATACGAAAACTTGTTGTTGTATAGGATAAAGTTAGGACGGCTATTTGGCTAGCAGAGCTTTCATAAGCCTGTCTGAAGTTATCGTGTGTTCGAGTAGTAGTTGAGGTTGGGTACTGTGAAGATCAATGGAGCGGAGAGATATAGAAAGTAGTTGTCATATCACTTAGGATGCCATCATTACAATGTTAAGCGGTATTAAGAAAGCCAATTCCCAAACTTAGATCATTACATACTGGATTTATCAAACCAGTTCTATGATAAGGGCCTCCAAGACTATGCATGTAATATCAAAAGCCACTATCTTCTTATCTAAAGTAGATCTAGCAGATCTCCGTAAAATTACCTTACACGGATATTAAATTACTTAACAAAAATGACTTCAAAAATTTCCAACATCGCCCCCCGCCAACTGCTCCCCAAAGTTTAGCGGGTACAACAAACCATTTTCGCCAGCTCTAGGGGAATGTGGAGAGTTCAAAGTCGACTCTGTTACAACCCGAGTCGCATTGCACCACGTCTCTTGACCAAACGACCCTTTCAGACTCTCAACCATTGTCACGCGCAAGTTGATTCTCTCACACCTGAAACCATGTCCGACGCCGGGGGACCACTTCTACCTCAAAGTCAAACCGACTACTCGACCTGGACCCCGGAAAACCTGATTTCCAGAATTACAGAGCTAGAACGCCAGCTACACTCTCGTAATGCGGAATTTGCTACCTCATCGAAAGTCGCAAACGAATCTGTACCTTCGAACCCAGCGCTCGATAACCCCACCGAGACAGCGAGGGTTTCGTCGAAGAAGGGGGCGCGCAAATACCAACCTCCCCCAGAGGACGATATCACACATACTCGCGCGCCGAATCGTCCCCCGAAGCAGCCCCGAGTGATTGATCCTTCCAAATACAATACTCGGTTTATTGCTCTGAAGTTCGCATATCTGGGGCAACGGTACAACGGTCTTGAACATGCCAATGGCAATGTCACGCCACTCCCTACGATTGAAGAAGAGATGTGGAAGGCCTTGCGGAAGACACGCCTGATTTTCCCAGAGAATGGAGAGGCGGATGATTTTCAAGATACCAGGGGCCCAAGGGAGTTAAAGCCATACTTGATCAATTGGGAAGGATGTCAGTATTCTAAGGCTGGCCGGACTGACCGGGGTGTCAGTGCTTTTGGACAGGTTATCGGTATTAGGGTACGAAGCGCGCGACCCAAGCGTGATCATGTTGCGCAGGCGGATCCTAGCTCGGATACTACTATGCAAACCGGAGAAGAAGCTACTGTTTTAGCCGATGTCGCCGAAGACAACTGGGATGATATCGCTGATGAAATACCATACATCAGTATTCTGAACAGAGTGCTGCCAGAGGATATCCGGGTCCTGGCATGGTGCCCACACCCCCCCGAAGGCTTCGACGCCCGTTTCTCTTGTCGGGAACGCCATTACAAGTATTTCTTTACCCAACCCGCCTTCTCTCCTACGCCAGGGCCTCTTGGATTCACCTCGCGTGCGGACAACAAGGCAGGAGACAGCAGCACAAAATACAGAGAGGGTTGGCTAGACATCGAGGCTATGCGTGAAGCCGCCAAGTATTTTGAGGGAGTACACGACTTCCGCAACTTCTGCAAGCTGGACACCAGCAAACAAATCGAAAATTTCGAGAGAATTATATACCATTCTGACATTGAGCTCCTTGACCCGCGAAGCAGCCCACTGGGCTATGTCGGTCAACCGGGATTCCAAGCTCTGGAAGGCCCTGCTGCACAACAAAACTCCGGGTCGCCGGAGACTCCTTCGCCAACCCCTTCTCAAGTATATGTATTTAACTTGAGAGGATCCGCTTTTCTATGGCATCAGGTGCGGCACATGGTGGGTATTTTGTTCCTAGTGGGCCAGGGGCTCGAGCCACCAACTATTGTGCCGGAATTGTTAGACATAACCAAGAACCCGCGTAAGCCGACGTATGAGATGGCTTCCGACGCTCCCCTTGTCCTTTGGAACTGTGTCTTCCCAGATGAGGATAGCGGCAGCCGTGCAGATGCGTTAGATTGGGTCTACGCCGGAGACAGCAGACAGATAAAATCCCAAGTGGGCAGAGGAGGTGGCAAGTACGGCCTCGGAGGGGTAGTAGACAGTCTTTGGTCCGTTTGGAGGCAACGTAAGATTGATGAGATCTTGGCTGGTACATTACTGGATCTTGCCGTCAGCCAAGGAGACCAAGGAATTGTCAATGGCGAAGCCAAGGGAGTTAAGGATGAGCAACAAAAGCGGAGCCAAAAAGTCTTCTATGGCGCGAATGAACCAAGACTCGGAGGACAGTATATACCGGTCATGCAGAAGAGAAAGACGGATCCCGTGGAGGTTCAAAACGCGAGATGGCTTGCAGCCAAACAGCGGAAGACTGAAAAGGGTGCAGAGCCCAGTCGCATGGAGATGTAGAAAGGAAATTCGGTTGTATGCCATACCTTTATAGAATAGTTCGCCTCTAGGTGTGCTTCAATCAGACATGAGAATGCCCGTTTTTTAAAGGCAAAATAATTACTACCAAACTCCTTCATGTTAAGATTTCGAATCATAAAGACAGTGCCGTGAACCCCTCCAAACCTCTTCCAGTATTGCCCGGTTCGGCAAAAGTTTCTGGTCATATATTGGTTAGGGCCCATCAGTTATCTGGGTAAGAATACTTACAGGGAATACTACAACAACCTCAGGCTCCCCATCTACAATAATTGCTAGGTAAAAGCGGACTTCAAACCCTTTGAAAGCTTCGTGAATCACAATGTCCTGGATCTGAGTGGTGGGAATGAATCGTGTCGAGGCCTTGGAGAGATAGGTCAGGGACGAAGTAGAAGTTTGAATTCCTAAACCACGTATGACTAGCAATGATTCCTCTGTACAAGCCCCAGAAGTTAGCATTGAAACCATTTACCGCAATAGCAGCACTCTAGCGTACCCGTATAGCCCTTCCTAAAGACACCATAGATAATAATCGCGCTCACTAGAACGACGACCCAAGAACTGTATGAATCTACACTTCGGGATACAAGTGACCCTAATGGACTCGACCATATTGTATTCCAGCGTACTAAAAATCCATCTTGGTTGAAGAGAGAGTGGCGGAGTCTTGCGATATTGAAGAAAACCACGCAGACGAAGACTAATGCGCGCAGAAGGACTTGAAGATAGTAGAGTATCTTTGCCGGTGTGCTCGTTTGTCTGGAGGCATTGGACACGGTGAACGAGACAGTCGTCGGAGATGGACGTCGTAGTATTAGGCGACCGGCCATTTATCACTGATTCAAAAATCTGCGACGCTGTAAGCCGGCTTTGAAGCTTTTGATATAAGTTCAATCGCAATATGCACGGGGTTAAGCAGGGAGGTCAGTGCTTAGCATTTGTTGTACTAATCCATTTACAGTTTAGTGTAGGCATCTTGCGACCAAAAGGCTGGGCCGCAATACATCATCACGTGTAGCGGGATTCCACTGCTGTGAGCGTCAACCTGATCGCTCAACCACATTACTCTACGTCGTTGATCATGGGCGAGCGTTCAAGGAGCAGATCGCCAGGGAGAAGGCTTGACAGGGAAAGGCCTGACAGGGAGCGGCCTAGAAAAAGTGGCGGGGGAGGTTTCCGATGGAAGGACAAACGGCGCGATGGCGACAGCAGACACGATGCAGATGAGCGCAGGTTAAATCGAGGATACAGAGATAGAGAAGAACGGGCAAGATCTCCACGACGTGACAGAGACACGTACAGACCTGAGGATAGGAACAAGGATAGCGATCGTGACCGAAGGCGGCCTGAGGGTGATGAGAGAGAGAGGAAGAAGAAAGAGAAGAAAGAAAAGAAGCCCGCCGTTCCTCAGTCCTCAGAACCCATGATTATTGTGCATGTGAATGATCGTCTTGGCTCGAAAGCTTCAATTCCATGTCTTGCATCGGATCCAATCAGTTCGTTGCCCTTTGATGATCGAGGACTACAGTTTGGCAGCTAATATATGCCACAGAGCTTTTTAAGGCACAGGTTGCAGCACGTATTGGACGTGAACCGCATGAAATCCTCCTCAAGCGCCAAGGGGAGCGTCCTTTCAAAGATTTCCTAACCCTGGCCGACTACAGCATTTCTTCGGGAAGCCAGCTTGATCTGTGAGTGATCCTTTCCAAGGCTATCCCTTGTAGCGTGCTATTTGTCGCGCTTCGGAACCTTTTTGTTTCGAGAGATTCCATGCTGACTGTTCTACAGGGAGGTCGGCACTGGTGAATAAATCGTTGTGTACACTATACAGCTTTAGGTACCTGTGAGCAAATTCGTTTTCGACTTCGCCGCTATAGCTTGTGAGGTCTGTCAAGATACATCTGGTATGTCTTTGAGGGTGTATGCTGACTCTGCATCTCATCGTAGGATACCCCTCACAGGCGATTCAAATTGTATCACTGTATCTATACATGGCCTGGGTTTCTTCTCTATTGTGCTTTACCTGCTATCGCAACAAAACATTGGGAATTGGATGTGGAATAATGAGAATTGTCATGAAAATTACTTTTTTCCGTTTCTTTTCTTTTGCCTCCCACCAGACCGCTGATGCTCTCCGACACGTTATCTTTCCAAGTTTCCATGTACCTATTGGCCCAATGGAGACATTGCTCTTCTTGTAACGCAACAGCTAACACGTTCATGACTGAGGGCGCCTACTTTCTTGCTCGGTTTGCGAGGGGAGTGGCTCACAACTTGCTGTTGTTGTTGTCTTGGAACTACGGGTATCTCTGAAATCCGGAGTCGGAGCTAATTTTTTTTTTTTTTTTTTCTCCCTTTCGCACCTCCCACATCTCCCGTCATTTATCTCTCACCCGGCCTTTGCGGGGCGCATCGCCATTTTCCAGTCGTTTTTGTTTAATTTGTGTGCAGCTAGCCGGATGCGGCAGGCGGCATGCTGCAGCCTGGGGCTATTACGGCAGAAATCCGAGGCTTGGAGCACGTTTGGTTCCACCGGCGGAAGAGGCATTTTTTTTTCTATCGCGGGACTCACACGACCTTCTACCTCAGCCCTTTATTCAATGTTCTCTCCACTCCATCAATCGGACACTGTTCTTGAATCCCCGCCATGAGGTAGTTTTCTGTCTGTCTTCGCCACAATTTTGTCCATTCATTGTTCCAAGCTTCTTTCAACCTTAAGCTAATCTCACCCATCAATAATCGCCCCTCCAGACCTCCCTCATCGGATATTCCTGGTTTCTCTCCACTCTCGACGCAGACATCCTCTCCATTGCCCATCTATTCTACCGCTTTTCCAAAACCTCATCAACCTGAAGACCCTGCCACCATGGTACGCAATATCGTTGTAATCGGGGGCACTTCCCACCCGCAACTGACTCAGAACATCTGCGGCGTCCTGGGTATCCCGCCAGCAGACGTTCTCCTTTCGAAGTTCTCTGTGGGCGAAACCAGAGTTGAAATCAAAGAATCTGTTCGTGGGAAAGATGTTTACATCATTCAATCTGGTGGTGGAAAAGTGAACGACCACCTCCTGGAGCTACTCATTACCATCTCTGCATGCAAGACCGCCTCCGCCAAGAGGGTCACCGCTGTTCTTCCTCTTTTCCCTTACTCTCGCCAGAGTGATATTCCTTACAATAAGACTGGAGCGCCTCTTGTAAAGTCATCGGTGCCTGGAAAGTCGGACTCCGCAAATGGCTATACTTTCGAGAGCACCCCTACAACCCCATATCCTGGGAAGCCTGAGAGTGGAAGTCTTCTGAATGGTGTTGATAACCTCCAGAAGAGCCTTGCAAAGGCTCAAATAGAGGATATCAGCAACGGCAGTCCTGTGAAGAAGCGCCCGACTAGTGGACTCTCTCGCAGTGAAACTTTAGATTCGCAGCCAGAGAGCAGCAAGGCTGCTGTTTCCAATGGCGCTTTCGGCGAAGACAGCGTGAACAAAATCAACAGTTTCCAACCACGCCCAGGCTACAAGCAGTGGGTGGCTCAGGCAGGCACACTGGTAGCTGATTTGCTCGCCTGTGCTGGTGCCGACCACATCATCACGATGGACCTGCACGATCCCCAGTATCAAGGATTCTTCGATATTCCTGTAGATAACTTGTATGGCAGACCGCTGCTTAAGAGTTACATTCAGCGGACCATCCCCAATTACAAGCAGGCTGTCATTGTCAGCCCCGACGCTGGCGGTGCTAAGCGTGCCACAGCAATTGCGGATTCCATGGGTATTGAGTTCGCATTGATTCACAAGGTTTGTTCTGCATGCTAGTTCAACATTCTTTGTGTTTCCTAATAGTTTATAGGAACGGCGTCCCACACGCATCACGGACCGTCAAAATGCCACTATGATGTTGGTTGGTGATGTGAAAGGCCGTACCGCTATCCTGATTGATGACCTGGCGGATACTTCCAATACCATTACTAGGGCTGCGAAGCTCTTGAAGAAGGAAGGTGCCGCTCAAGTTTACGCTTTGGTGACTCACGGTATCCTAAGTGGGGATGCTATTGATCGAATCAACGCCAGTGCCCTTGACAAGGTGGTAGTCACGAACAGCGTCGACCAGACGGAGCACCTGCGCCAGTGCCCTAAGCTGGAGGTTTTGGAAGTTGGCCATGTCTTCGCTGAGGTAGGTTGGCTTTGATACTTGAAGGAGTTTTGTTGCTAATACGTCGTAGGCTATTCGTCGTGTCCACCATGGCGAGAGTATCAGTGTCCTTTTCCAGTACGACTAACGAATCTATCCAACAACTTTTGATGTGTTTTTTTATCTTATCCTTCCTCTTGGAAGGAGCTTTAGCATGAATCCTGAAAACAAAAAAGGAGTGATGAAAATAACTCATATGCTGAAATGTTTGATTTTGTTGGACAAACCCAGCATGCTGACGCCCCCTTTCTATATTGGATCTTTTTATGACTATACAATCCCATCATCGCATATCACGTAACTGCGTTGAATGTGCCGACCGATTTATGAAACCAGTAGATAGGCTTCTAGGCCAATCGACCGGACCTTATTTCAACCCCATTTCAGCCCCTGTCATCCCAAATTTCCATTTGCCGCTCGTTGCGATTGTTGCGATTGCTCAGGCTACTGCGTGACCTTTTCACTGCATATTTCTTGCTCTACAACTGCGGTTCTTCTTGGCATAACACAAAACTGTGTATTATAAGGAGTTTTGGCCCTGATCACGTATCTGCACGGATACACTTGTACTAACTTTCATACAAGCATGACTAACTTACACTCGAGTAGTGTACCATGCAGTCTAAATTTATTGAATGTAAAAGTTGCGACGATTTGAGATTCAAACGTGTTGACATAAGAAATCGATGCTGTATTGAATAAAGTCGATAGTTGTATCGTTTATCTCAAAAACGCAAATCACTACGTTGAACAAACAAAGTTTACATTCAAGATATAAGCAAATGATCAGTTCATCTATACTATACCGCACAAAACGAGATTCCCCAACGCCCTAGGCAAGTAGAAGAGATCAGGAACTGGCAATGCATGCCGGGCGACTTGATGCGCTCGTCACAGAAGTGGATAACTGAAAGCTAGTCACAAGATAGAGATGGGAAAGGGAAAGAGGGAAAAGAGATACATAGAATCATATGGTTCGGGGTAATAGGGAAGTTTTGTGAATGCGAATAAATCACATGAATTGAACATTAGGTGGTGCAGAGAAGGGACACTTAGAAGACAGAGATGAAGTTGCCAATCCGCTCTTTCTGGTGTTGTGCAATGCACTCCGCGATCCACGTAACGTTTCGGATTTCCTGTGTAATGTGTGGTTAATTCTGGTGCCTCTCGTACTAAAACAGTTTTGGACTGACCTGTTCCTTCAACCTCATCCATGCGTACACTACCGCCGGGGTAAACTGCCGGGTGAAGACGACCTTGGACAATTCCATTTCCTTTTGGTAGAACATGTCCTCGAGACTCTTTCCATCCGAACCACCACCGAAGCCTGCACCCTGGGTAAGGCCCACAGCATCAAAGAAGGCCTTGTAGTCAGCCGATATGCTGACAGCAAGCGACACGGACTCCAGATCTTCGGCCCGTGAAAGCATCAATGAGCCTTCAGGGTAGAGTTTACCGAACTCCGGGTACAGCTTTCTCCGTTCCTGCTTCGAAAGCTCTGTGCCAAACGAGTTCAAGGTGATATTGATCGCACGGCGATCTGCCTCAAACTCTAGAAGTTCAGACATGATCTCTTGTGTCGGAGTGCCCTTGAAATCTGGGTGCGTGTTCACAAACTGGTAGAAGTCCTCGAGGTAGTTCTTGTATAGGGTGTTGCGCACGATCTCGATGTTCAATTCGTCCAGATCCTGGTGGCTGAGGCTGCCCTTGAAGTAGCCGGCCAATGGTGTTTCAATCAAAACAGAGTTATAAAGTTCCTCGATGTTCGTGGCCACACACAGTACGGGCAGGGTCTCGAACCAGCCCAAGGGGTGGCATCGCTCTAGAAGCTCACGAGTATCACGTTCATGTAAAGTACCAGTAATGAGAAGAGCAATATTATCGATCATATAGCCGTAAGTCAGGTACTCGAGAAATCTGGCCGTCGACCCTGTGGCCTGGGTGAGTACATAGCGGAATTCAGCGACCAGCTTATCCGTCATCTTGCCGGCAAGGGCTGAGGTAGAGGGGTTGGGAGGAAGCGCGGCGAGGAAGTCCCCGTATGCGGGGGCGAGCTGGAGTTTGACATCTGCAGCCAGAACTGAGATAAGTATATAGTAGATAAGTAGCGATACGGGTGTGAGCGAACGGACCATCTATTGTTTCGCATTGGGTCAGGTTGTTGTAGTGCTGGCCGGTGAGGAGGCTGTTCCGATACCCTCGGACAATGCCCTCAACATAGCTGTAGAGCATTAGTTCGACGTTGTCGCGAGACCCCAAATATGATACTGAGCCATACATACCCGCTGTTAACGTTAAAGAAGAGACCCTCCATTGTGCGATGACGATGCAGCTCGGGAGGATTCCAAAACCACTCCGCAAGACAGCTGTTGTATGTATCTCCATGTCCCGTCAGTCGCTTCCCGCGTTACGTAAGACGCACCGCCGCACGCACCAGCCACTCAGCCACTCGGATCGCCCTCGCTTTTTTCATTTTTTTACTTTAGACTCGAGGTAAAAAATTCCCGCCAGCAGCGAGAAACCGACTTCCCCAAGCACGCTTTCGGTGGTTTCGTCCACGGTCGCTCTCACTCCCCGGCCTATCCAGCATATTTTTTACCTTTATAGCTGTTAGATTAAATATTTTTTGAACCAGCTGGGAATTGAGGCCGTCCACCATGACGCTGTTTATCCTCACTGAAACCAGCGCGGGTTATGCCCTGCTCAAGGCCAAGGACAAGAAGCTTTTGAAGAGAGATGATCTGGCTACTGAGGCTGCCACGGCAGAGGGTGTTTCGAACCTGTAAGTCATTGCTTTCGCTGCATTCTCGTGGGTGTTGTTCCAATATCACCGCACGCGCTCTTGAAGCAAAAAATTTTCAGGTGTGACGGTCCATCTAACACTTTCGTATAGTGTGAAATTGAAGAGTTTCCAGAAGTTCGACAGCGCTGCTACAGCCCTGGAGGAAGTTGCTTCTCTTGTTGAGGGCAAGGTTACCCCTCGTCTTGCCAGCCTTCTTGACGAGGTCAAGGATGAAAAGAAGGTCTCTTTGGCCGTTGCGGACCCGAAGCTTGGTATGTCGATCGAGCCTCTGCGCAGTAGATTTGGTTCAGTTATTGACTAAAATTCGTAAAGGAAATGCCATTGGCAAGCTTCCCGGTCTCGATATTCAACTTATCGCCGACTCAACCACCACTGATATCTACCGTGCTATCCGTGAACATCTCCCCACATTAATTCCAGGCCTCGCCCCTCAGGATATGTCCACCATGTCTCTGGGTCTTTCCCACTCCCTTGCCAGACATAAGCTGAAGTTCTCTCCCGATAAGATTGATACTATGATTGTACAAGCCATTGGCCTGCTGGATGATTTGGATAAGGAGCTCAACAACTATGCTATGCGCGTGAAGGAATGGTACGGCTGGCACTTCCCCGAGCTGGCTAAGATTCTCAACGACAACCTGGCCTACGCGAAACTCGTTTTGAAGATGGGCATGCGCACTAACTGGGAGTCCTCTGATCTCGCCGAGATTCTGCCCGAGGAGCTCGAGGGCTCTGTCAAGGCCGCCGCGGACCGCTCCATGGGTACCGAGATCAGCGAGGAGGATCTGGAGAACATCCAGGCTTTGGCTGAGCAGGTTGTTGGCTTCACGGAGTACCGTCAGCAACTTGCCGGTTATTTGACCGCCCGTATGAACGCCATTGCGCCTAACCTGACTGCTCTTGTTGGTGAATTGGTTGGCGCCCGTCTTATTGCTCACGCCGGTAGCTTGACCAACCTTTCCAAGAGCCCCGCCAGTACTCTCCAGATTCTGGGAGCCGAGAAGGCCCTTTTCCGTGCCTTGAAGACCAAGCACGACACTCCTAAGTATGGTCTCATCTACCACGCATCCCTCATCGGTCAGGCTACTGGCAAGAACAAGGGTAAGATGGCCAGAGTTCTCGCTGCCAAGGCCTCTCTTGGTCTCCGTGTTGATGCTCTTGCCGAGTGGGATGACGATGCTACCGAGGAGGATAAGGCTGCTCTTGGTACGGAGGCTCGGTTCAACCTTGAGAGGAAGCTGGCTGCCATGGAAGGCAAGCCTCTCAAGCCCCGTGGTGTGACCATTGCTCCCAACGGTACACCTGCACAGGCCAAGAAGTTCGAACTCAACGAGGCCAGGAAATACAACGCTGATGCCGATGCTGTTGATGAGCCTTCTTCTGCCAAGAAGCAGAAGAAGCTTGTTGAGGAGGTCCAGGATACCGAGATGGCCGATGCTGATTCTGATGAAGAGGCTGAGTCATCTGATGAGTCGGAAGAGGAATCGAGCAAGAAGAAGTCTAAGAAGAGCAAGGACGCCGACCTTGAGAAGATGGCCGAGAAGGCTGGATTGAGCCTCAAGCGGTACAAGCGCAAGCTTGAGCGCGGCGAGATTCAGTTCGATGCGGAAGGCAACCCTAGCTCGGTCAGCAAGAAGGACCTGAAGAAGGCCAAGAAGGAGGCCAAGAAGGCTGACAAGGGCGAGGAGAAGAAGCGCAAGCGCTCCGACGACAATGAGGACAGCGAGAAGAAACAGAAGAAGAAGAAGAAGAAGGACGAGTAAATCATGTCAAAAAGTTAAAAACTGATGGATCGCTACATTATTGTATGATATCACACTTTGTGGGTTCAATTTCCTGTCATTTGCTTGAACACTTTCTATTTTTTGGGTGGCATTTATAGGATGGATTGGTTCATCTATCCATGGCGCAGCGGTGCTTGTTGGTAAAGGCAGTTAGGTCTAATCTTGATATTATCCATCCATGTTCGTGGCTGTAGTACGGTAGCTGATGTAAGTACTAGTATCTTGGACACCTCTTTGGACCTGCTTTCCATGTCTGTCTTGTACCACATTCACCTCACATCCTACATCAACAGGCTCCTCTTATTTATAGATCTTCCTACAGCCCTATTTAGCAAAAACAAGACAATGTCTCTTGCTCCAAACTCCCTCTATATCGCCCTCTACATCCGCACCGACCCACCAATCCCGGACAACTTCCATTGGGCCCTTTACCTTCATCATCACGATACAGGAACAAAATATCATATCACAAATGAAAGTACCGGTTGGATCGCCGCGCATGCTCCGGAATCCGCCATCTTGAAGTCCTTTCTCTTGGTCGGCCTTATCCGTATCGCAGATTTACCTTCTTCTCAGAGAGTCTTGAGCGAAGCAGACCAGTTGATACGCAGCTACGATGATCAGGTCAATGAGATGGGGGTTACGTGTCGGACTTGGTTGTTGAAAGTACTAGAGCTGCTGAAAAAGAGGGACTTGCTTTGTGAGGGGAAGCACTTGGATTTGGGGGCTCTGGAGAGGGAGGTGATGGATTGGGGGAATGAGGAGGCGGGGGATGCTGTAAGGAATGTGCAGCCTAGACCTGTCGGGGTGTCGAAGGTCTGTGGGTGAGATCTACGATTTGGTTTATATGGATAAATGCGAGGATATTTCTCTGGTTATTGCCTCCATGTTGCTGAAAGGAACAATTAACAAACCCTATCAGGCATGAAAGAGATGTTGATGTTTCCACTATACAGGTAAAATACAGCCAGTTCCTTCTACAAATCTTTTATGCTGCAACAACATTCGTCCTCATGCCCAACGAAGTAAGACACATCCAAAATGTTGCCCAAATGTATCTTTTTTTTCACTTCAAGAGACCACCATTGCCATTCGTTTATGCAGAAGCGCTAGGAGCAGCGCCGCTGGCAGCCCCCGTCGGAAGACCGCCCATACCGGCCATGTTCATGCTGAAGTTATCGTTGACCTCGCCACCATTCTCGGTCCAGTATCCCTCGGGGGAGAGAGAATCATCTCTCTTAGCGTCAATGCCAATTGAGATCCAGGCGAAGATACCATCTGAGGCATTGTCACCAAGCAGAACATACTCCATGAATGGGTCGGTGGTGTCAGCCTCCGATGCAAGGATGCTATCATCAGAGTTCTTAGTCAACTCTTGCGTGTTGGTCGAGTATGGGGTGTTCTTCTCGACCTCAGTGATGAGGTCCTGGTCGAAGAAGATCTGACCAACATGCGAGGAGTGACCGTCGTACATGCCGGCGATAGTACCGTTGGGCAAGATCTTGGTCTCATTCGCGGGGTGGGTAACCACTGTATTAAACTGAGTCGTTAGCAACATGCTTAATCTCCTAGGCAGTGAGTACATCTTCGGTGAGGCCATACCGTGAATGTGAATAGCCCGGCCAGTGTAGTGGCCAGGGAAGATGGACTCAAACCGGACAACACCATCGTGGCCGCTCGGCTGAACACCGCGAAGGAATGTGGTGTCGATGTTGCCGGTATCGTTCGAATTACCGTTGCCGTTCGCGACGACACCAGAGTAAACACCCTAGAGCAATGTTAAAGTCAGTCACAGATTTTCAACGGCCTACGGTAGCTAAAACTGGGATTGGTAGACGCACCGTAGCATTGCAGTGCCAGATATCCGTGTAGATGTCAGGGAGAGGGTTGCAGGTGTTCGTATCGATGAGTTGGATGTCCATATAGAGAGGCACACCCTGCTGGTCTTCGGCCACATTCTTGCGGATCAGTTCACCAGCGATGTCTGTCTAAAGTCAGCTAAGTGACACGCAACAACCGTTTCAATAATCGTACAGTACGGTCCCTGCGTCACCTCGGGTTGTACAATACATGTACCCTCCGAGCCGAATAGGACATGAGGGTCGGTGGAAGGGTCAACATGAGTCAGTTTGGAGTGATGATCCGTCGCCAGTACAGAGTCCAAGTCCCGTACTTTGAGATATCGAGCCCCTGAACGTATATCAGCATGCACTCCGTGGCATAAAACTTGCATCTTCATTTAGAGATCCATGAATATACCGGTATTCAACCCCCTCTGCCTACGTAACAGCTGCACAGCATTCTCACGGCGAGCAACGTTAAGGTCCTCAACACCACGTGCCTTCAAGCTTGTGGCACAGTGAGCGAGGCTGCGCGACTGAATTGGGGCCTTTTGCAGGAAGTTGGCACGCTCGGCAGCCTCCGCTTCGACATTGTGCCCTGGATGAGCAGACACAATACTTGCTATACTAGCAAGGCTGAGAGCAAGAGTAGAAGTAAGCTGGACCATGGTGGCTTGATTAAGGGAGGAGAAATAGGCCTAATGAGAGTTCTTGTGAGTCAGTAGAATTGCGACTGAAAATGAGGATGTGAGCTTTATATGCTCTGCCTCTACAGCACAAGTTAAGATATTAGGTCCGTTCGGCTAACAGCAGAGTTTGGATCTAGTTTAGATACCCACGAATGGTGTCTAGTATATTTTGCATTTGCCCACGGTGCTGAAGTCTGCAGATCTTAGCACTGTTCCTGTTTTATTGCCGGTACCTGGCGTGTACTCCACAAGTGCTTGTGGAACACTGTTTAGGCGCCTACATTTCGAGGAAATTGTTCTTGACGAAGAATGAGAGTACCTAGAAATGAGGTCCACATAGGTGACGTGTTGAATCTTGCCCCAACTGGATAAACGAACTGTTGTAGACTACATACTCCTAGGCCATATCACGGACGGTTTCACTAGCTGTAGTAGTACTTGTTTATCACTCGGAGTAAATCGTTATGTATGTTCACCCCGTTCGATATCGCAGGCAACACTATTCCAGTCCGTGTTACTATTGACAAGTGGATGAGATTCATTTGATCGCAGAGTCCCTCTGGTTTTTACTTCCTTCAAGACCACAAGAGCATGTATTGATCTGGACTATATATTTGTAGGCCGTGAGAATGCTACCTAAAGTACGAAAAGCTTAGTGCCGTGCACAAAGCATTGCAGAGAATGCCGCTCGCTCTACTTGACTTTGTATTATGCTAGTAAACACCATTCTATGCTGGACCGCAGGTAATTAGGTGCCTTGCCATGTAGCTCGGGAAGTATGGATCATCTACCCGCTGATGGAACTTCAAGCACTCTGTTGGAACTATGTCATTGGACTATTAAATACTGTAACCTGAAGCGCTCCAATCAGAGACAATTGTATAGCCCTTTGGGCTTGTATGCGCAGGCCGCAACTAGGGTTCTATCAGATTGATGGAGGGCCAAACACTTTGCGAGTACTTCAATACGCGCTGAGTCAGCGGGATTCGTTTTCTCCGTGATCGACGTCCCACGCTGATCACCGAAGCATCTCCAATCATCTCCAAGGGGTTCTTCAGCTTCGCCCACTACGTGATTCGCGAGGTCGGGTATAAATCCCGAATGTTCCTGGAAATGTACCCATCCATAGAAGCCAAGAAATGATTACGCGGTGAACCAATGAAGACATGAGATGTGGTTTCTTCACGGCTCAGGATAGCCCCACGTTCGTTTGGGGTAGCAATTGGCATTCCGAAACTCGAACTGGATGAACGCGCAACTTTGTGGTTCAGTTCATGGCTGTGTAAATTGAAGGTGGAAGAAGTCTACGTTCTTGACGACGATTCTCTCATGGAAGTCGTTGGAGTCATGTGCTGTGTGCGAGACCTTGGTATCTATCTCATAGGAGTGGGGAAGGGAAAGGTGGAGTTCGACAACCCATAACAGGGATCACATCCGACCTACGCTGGGATTCTGAAGAATGAAGTTCTTGGCAAGAAACCGGAGGCCGTCGGTGCAAGACATTCTGATTCACGGCTTCTTGGAGATGGAGAATTCTGCAGAGGATGGCAGATGCAATGTTCGGGTCGGAGCGGAGTGCACTGAGTACTCCTCGAGAAGTATAAAGGTCCCACGGTCTTTCACACTCATTAAGCTACTCACGCCCTTGGTTATTCATTGATTGTCGTTGGAAATCAAACATGTTCCTTTCAAAGCTCATTTTTGCTGCTCTGGCAGCGACCACTGCAATTGCTCATCCTGGCCCTGACCATGCCGTGCCTCGTGCAGAAATTCAGCGGCGTAATGGGCTAGCCAAGCAATGTGCCAACCACGCAGCGGATTTCAATCGGCGCCGCATGGCGAAGAGAGCAATGCAGAAACGCTGGGAAGGTTCGGGTCACAACTCGACTTTCGAGATTACCACAGACGCCCCTTACTACGACACCATCCAGAACGACACTTGTGTCCTCAGTCCCGAGGTAACCCGTGGTCCCTACGTCTGGCCGCGCTCTCAGATTCTACGCCAGGATATGACGGAGGGCCAAGCAGGTGTGCCTTTGTGGCTTGATGTGGGAGTCCTCGACATGGCGACCTGCGAGCCCTTACCGAATGTCCTCGTCGACTTCTGGCACTGTAATGCGACCGGCTCTTACTCCTCGTTTACTCACCTTTCACCCAATACCCCGTTTAGCAAGCTTCTGGATGAACTGAATATCACTGATTTCGAGATTGGTGTTACCGATCTGCATACGGACGATACTACCTTCCTGCGGGGAATGTGGCCCACTGACGAGAATGGAGTCATGGAGATCAAGACTATATTCCCAGGTGAGACCTAACAAGATGTTAAGCAATAGATCTCCGGCCATTAAACACTGATGCATCTGTACTATAGGGTTCTACGTCCAGCGTGCTATTCATATACATGTTCAAGCACACACTGACTGGATTGTCCGAGGAAACGGCACAATTGTTTCCGGCAATACCGTAAGCACTGGACAGCTCTATTTCGATGAAGCGCTTTCGCAGCAGGTTATGAGCTTGGAGCCTTACGCCTCACACACTCAAGTCAATCGTACCACCAACGCACAGGATGCTATATTCCCCAAGGGCACTGACGGAGGATTCAATCCCGTTGTATCCGTTGTCCCAACGGATGGTGAGGATGTCAGCAAGGGGATGATTGGATACATTACTATGGGCGTAGACACAGCTGCGATTAAGACTTTTAAGAAGTAATGGTCTACTTCGGATTGAGTCTTCGGGGTTGTCAATATGCAAGGGTTAGCTGGGCTTGTATGGAACTTAGTGGAAGAGGGATCCATTTGAACACCAGCTGCAAAATCAAAAGAGAGAGAAAAAAGGATACTCAAATGATTCATACGTACGAGGATACTTCGTCTAAATCGAGTTACTATAAATTTAGGCTGGGTACTCTTTTCAGGGTGTCCATTGGGGTGGCTCATTACGAATGATCAAACTAGGTAGTAACTAACTATGCCTAAAGTGAGCCGAGTGGGTCATAAAACCAAATTTATCATGTGGAGGTTTTGTCGGTAGCAAACCAGCAGTGGCCCGGTCAGCACCTGGGGGAAACCCACCATTCCCATTAGGCCGTTCGTTGTCCAGTTCCCTCCGGGCAAAGTCAATTGTATTCTTTGCGTTTTTGTATTGTCTCAGAATTATCAGGTTGCTCGATTATACCAGGAGACCTATTATAGCTACCAACTCCATGAGCGGATCCGCCGTCGCTTCACGTGGTGGAAGAGCGCGGACTGCCTGCGATCTATGTCGGCATCGGAGGGTAGGTAAACGGCAACTAAGTTGTGGGGTAATAAACTAGAATCACTAACGATTGACCTTTGCTCCATTGTGCCCAACAGATTGGCTGTGACAGAGCGAAACCAGCCTGCGAAACATGTACTCTTGCGGGGGTGCCTTGCACTTTCACTCCAACAGCGCAGCAACGGAAAAGTGTTCGCGAGTAAGATGCAAGCAGTCATCCTCTCAACGAACTCAATTAACCATGTCATAGAGAGCTGGCCGATGCGAAAGATAGAGTACGACATTTGGAAGAAGCATTGAGGGCCGAGCGAGAGAACCGTCTGAATTCGGACCAATATACGCCTCCTAAAGCTCTTTCAAGCGGAAGCAGTCCTCTTGAAGTCCCTCCCCAATTACTCAGTTCGTGGTCAGCCACCAATTATTTGCTTGAATCCCACAGCTTCGATGCTGCGCTATCGAACTTCCGGTGGCATCTCGGGTTCTGCGGTCCTCGCGCCGCTCCTTTTGCTCTAACACCATCCTTCTCCTCCACCGTTTACGAACGGACGGGGTTCGTTCTCAATATTGAAGATTTCTTAAATCAGCTAGCGCAATCGTTCAAACTGCAGCATCCAACACATTCAACGAGGACCATTGTTCCGAAGTGGCCTCCACAGTCTCTAATACAGCGTTCGATAGAGTACTTTGCGAAAAACAGACTCTATTCCATTTTCCCTGCTGTCGACTTGGAAAATACACCCATTCATCTCGACTCAAAAGCCCTTGGAAATCCCGACAGCACAACCAGTCCTGCCAACTATGCCTGTCTGGTTGCTTTAACGGCTCTGATAACCCGAATCCGCGGGAATGACCTGGCTTTTGCTGACGCCGACCCTGATGCGTATGTGCAAGCAGTGCTGACTTTGTTACCCGAGTTGATAATAGACAATGCCAACATACGAAGCCTTGAAGCTCTCACCTTGCTAGTAAGTGGCTCTCACGGTTCTAAGATCAAAGCCTATCTTTAATAATACTAATTCCAGGTCCTGTACATTGCCCCCCTTGGTCAACCGCGGCCGGCAGGTATTCTGCTTGCCATGGCTATCCGAATGCTGTATAATATGGGAGCAAACCGAAACAGGGCACCCCCCGATGAGACTTTAGAACAGAGCCAACACCGCCAACACGTGCGAGCTCTGTTTTGGGTATGCTACTCCATCGACAAAGAAATGTCGCTTCGGGAATGCAAGGCTCCTTTAATAAACGATGCCGACTGTGATCTGCATCTGCCTGCCGCTTATGTCTCGACTTCCTCTAATCGGTCATTCTTTCCAGAGCCTTTATCAACGAAAGAGCTTCTCCTCCCGTCGGACCTTCGTCTTGCCCTAATAAAATCCAAAATACAGCATTTGCTGTACTCTGGCCATGGTATAGCCCAGCCTGAAGCAAGGCGGATTCAATACATCCGTGAATTGGATCAGGAGCTGAGTGACATCAAATCGAACTTTCCAGTTACGTGTCAACCGGAAGACGTCTTGGACCGAAGCGTGCCCGATTCCTTACTTCATGATCTGAGTCTACGGGGTGTGAACATACATCTGGAGTATTACTACTGTCTAGCAAAGATTCATGGAGCGAGCAATAATGGAGGTATACCATCTCGTGAGAGCTGGTCCCTACTACCGTCTAGTATGGAGATTTGCCACCAGTCAGCACGGTCCACTTTACTCTATCTCAGTCGAATGCGCCATTCGATAATGCCTGAAACCTTCTGGTTGGTATGACCTCTTTGATTGAGCGTGCATGTTCGACTAACTCTGGGTCCTCTCTTTTCTGACAGGATATATGCTCAGCTTCTGCTTACTGCAGTAATCTCTCTCTTTTGGCAACTGATTACCACCTTTCCTCCCTCACCGACTTCCGAGGAAGACCTGCAGATCATAGAGGAGACCGCGCTTATATTCAGTGAACTTAATCGAGATAACCAACAGGCGAGTTGCTTTCCTCCGTTCTATCTCACTGAACATTTCATCCAAAGATTGGTCTTCTTAGCAAGACAGTCGCTCTACAGGGCAGCGAATCAGTGATCATACACCATGCTAGCGAGTTTCAGTGCGACAAGCATGCACATAACACTATGGTAGCTTGACGATTGTTTTTGAGCAACAGTCAACTTTAAGCTATAGTGTACCACGTCATTTGAGCAAAAAACATGTAGAAGAGAAGCCTCGAATGTTCTAGCCCGGTGCGGATCATAATCCATGGCTAATGTGGTATGTATTGCAATTTTCCTATTGAGTCTTTTATGAACCCTTTCAGTGTCGTATTCACACAGCTTCACTTGCAGTGAGTGGGTCAGATCAAAACGTATGATGGCAATGTCACATTCCACAAACAGGTGGGGGAAGAAAAGACCAGGAATTCATCGATCGATGGTCAAGATGACTTGACTTTCTTCTCTCTGAGATAGCAGCAATATGCTGTGCACTGCAACAGGCCAATGGAAACTCATACACGGTGCCGAACATAAGCCAGTCTCTATCTCCAGGTTGTGGAACTGGAGCTTATCATGGAAGGGCCCGTAGCGCCTTTACCTGCATTAAACCATGCATCCAGCTGTTAACTTTACTGGCCGGTTTTTTCTGTCTCTTTATGCTATCCTATCCCGCCCAGTAGACATGTGGAATACAATGAAACAAAACATGAATTTTCAAAAATGCTGTTGATATCTCCGATCTACATACCGAATACCCCTAAGCAGAATGGCCGAAAGGCGGAATCACATAAAAACAGAACCACACCGCCCGATTCTGCCGTCAATATCTCTTCAATTTTCCCATTCCCCTCACATTTTCACTACAATACATATTCCATGAAAGAAATCCCAAACACACCAAACACACATAAACAATGAGGGTACGCTCCCAATCGCTAGCCCCGACAATAATACTGCGAATCTAACAGTGAAATTCCAGGTAATCGACCCCCAATCGGCAGTCCTCACCAACATCGAGGTCCTAGCCTACCTAACAGCAAACCCGCCACGCCGACCAGCAAACCCACCCCCAAACCTACGACACTGGGTCCCAAGCCCAGACCTACGAGACCACAATACCGTCGTTAAAGAGGTACATACATACATACATACATACATAAATACATACATACATACATACATACATACCCTCCGCCTACCTTCTGCAACTTCACAATAGCACCCATTCTACAATAGAACCAAGAAACGAATCTCAACACCAATGCACCAAGCCCATGTTCGAGAGAGATAGAGAGAGAGATAGAAAAGCTAATATAGTCAGATTCACAACTATGTCTCCCGCCTCTCACCCCACCTCTACAAATACCCAAAATACACCCACCAAAGCCCCGAACAGCTCCAACAACTAGCCCAATCGCAATCCCAGACCGATACCCCGGCCGTCCCGCTCATCCAATCGAACGCACCGACGCCCATGGACATCGCGCTCCGGGATCTGATTACCCAGTTACAGCCCTACGGGTTAACGAAGGGCGAGGTACTGATGATTGTTAATCTGGGTGTGGGGATGCAGGATGCGCCTGCGGGGGCGGGTGAGGATGGACAGGAGGAGGAAGGGGGAGAAGAATCAGGGGAGGGCGAGGGCGAGGCTGTTAATGGGAATGGGGACGGGATGGATGTTGATGTTAATGGGGAGGGGGCTGCCGAGGGGGAGGCCGAATTGGGGGAGGAGGATTATGGAGCGCTTGCGCTGTTGGATACTGTTATTGAAGAGAGGGAGGAGCGGTTCAGTGATGAGGATGTGGTGGCTATTCTGGGTATTATTCGGGGTACGTTGGGGAGGGGCCAGGCGATGAATGGGGCCGGGTAGGTTGGTTTTTTTTTTTTTTTTATTCAGGTTTTATTTTCTTTGATGGGTTGGATGGTGGTTGGATGTAGGTTTATTTACTTGGACATTGTCTTTTTCTTTGGTTGTTTTGGCTTATGAAAATGATATCCATTGGTTTTTTGGTGTTTATGTGGAAGATAGCATAATGTTGTAGGTATCTTGGGGTATCTCTTGGATACTTGTAGGGAATAAATATCGTACAAGAATGTCACTAGGCCATTTCTGAAGAAAAATGAGATCCGTCGTGTCGATAACGCACGGTTAAGCATATATGGGAGCCGAATATCGTATGTAAATAGATGCCATAAAACATGGTCGATGGCTCGCGCTGCATTGGCAGCCAGATCAGAATATATGTGCAGGAAAATAAAAATGGGGATGCAGGATTTGACAAAGCAACGAGGGGTGTGGTCGTTCGCTTTCGGATTTGGGTGCAGGCAAGCACCTGGCGATTGTAACGCAATGGGCATAACTCAAGCAAAGAATGAAGTGCAATCACTCTTCTTTGCCCTTGATCAACTGGCCAAACTGGTTATAAATTGGCTCATCGGAGCCTCCGTCCTCTTTCCTCCACTTCCCGAAGCCATCGTTGAACAGGTCCCGTTCATAGCCCACGCAAACTTCGCTATAGTCGATCCACTCGCCCTTCTCGGTCCAAACACCGCCCTTGCCGCCTCGCAGATCCCACCACTCTTGGCCTCCTAGTAAGGCCGACTGCGCGGCTTCGAACCCGCTCGGGGAGCGCACATACTTGCGGAGAAGAGCTCGTGCCCAGGGGTGGTACCACATCTTAGACCACCACGTATCGCGCAGCTTTGGGTCTCCATCCAGGCGAACCAGGGCAGGGACCGCGGCCGAATGGATGTTGGTCAGCAAGGGGAGGTTGTGCCATGAACGGTGCTGGGGGTTTGGGAGGGCGTCCAGCGTAGCATTGTACGGGGGGTTGAGAGGCTCATCTTTGCCAACCTTAGACTGGGTAAACGGATTGCCGACTTGCTCGGGATTCAGATCCTCGGGAAGCAACAGGCGCCTCTCCCGTGGGACACCATGCTGCATCTGGACGGAAGACGTCCTGGAGACATTGTTGTACTGTAGCCATTCCACGTCGTTCTTGGAATTCCACATGTTAAAGAAAAGTTGGGATTCATAGTCAATACCAATACCGTACTCGTACCGGCGTCCGGTCTCCAGGAGCGGGTGCAGCCCTGTAAGATTCGAAGCTTCGGAAATGCCGATCTGTGTATACATCCATTCCATAAATGGGCTCGAGGTTCTGCGCCTTTCCAGTTCCCGCACGTACTCTTGTCGTCCGAATAATTGGGTCAGAGCGACATAGTCCCCTTGCACATTGCGGTTGTGCTCAACTAAGCGCAGTATCTCGGCATAGATTGCCTTCAGATCTGCGACTTGGCCGATCACAGCGCCTGGCTTGATCCACCGCGGTCGAGTAAGGGTGCCGTCCGGGTAACGGTCAGTTTTCCACCCATAAATGTCTGGGGGGAGGCTGGACTCCGGTGCTGCAACACATCCTGCATCACGAGAGAGGCCAGGGCAGCATTCCTTGCTGGCACTAAATAGGACTCTCTGTGTATACTTTTGCACTGTCTCCGGGGGGCTTTGTTCAAAGGCCTTTTCAACCATCACAAGGCCATACTTTTGTTGCAGCTTCGCGTTGTTCTCCTTCAGAAGCTTCTGGAATCGTTGAATTAAGACATCTGGGGGTAATTGGAAAAAGAAGTCTGTTCCATCGGCGATGAGGACGAAGTCATTGTCTTGCACGTGCCGCGTTTTGTCGAGGAATTCATATATGCCGGTGATCCGGTCCCTCATAACATCATATTCTTTAGCTCCGTCGGGGAGTTTTTTTCCATAGTTAATCAGCGTTGGAGGTGGATAGTTCAGAATCATGGCGGAAGTCAACATGCGACAAAGGGCGGGGGATTTGCTCTTTGCGGGAATGACGAGGTGGAATGAGGGGTTGTTTTTCTGGAGGTTGCCTGGAAGCGTATCATTTCTGGTGAGAGCAGGTCTTCCTTTATAAACGATCTGTACGTCTTCGGGACGATCTTGAGATGAACGATATGATGGATATTTCAACCAGTAATTGACAGCTGGCTACAGAAGGAATAGTGGTTAGTCTGTATGCTAAGGTATACAATTTGCGAAGGCTCACCTCAGTGGGAGAATGCGACAGAAGAAAAATAAAGAGCAGGAATGCTGTGGCTGTAAGGAGCAGAGTTCTCGTCGGTCGAGCCCTCGGTCGGAAATGGTAGAGCTGCTGTAGGTGCGTTGTTATCGAAGATCGCGCCGAATGATATCGGTCGGCCCAGGGACCATTGGGAACCCCCAGAGTAGCCATTCTCAGGGCGCGTGAAGTATGCGTTAAGCCTTCGGTTGACACGAAGTCCCTGAGGACAAGCAGTCCAGAAAACGTCAGTCCCCCTGATCGTGCGAGACTGAGTTCAGCGTTCAGCGAACGTGGTTGGAGATCACCGCAAGATCAGCATTCCTGTAGTAGAACATCTAATCAAAGTGATAGCTCAATGACAGCAGCCAGACGCCATATCGGGTCGGCGCATTAAAAGCATGCAGTCGAGGATAATGACGACAGGATGGTAAATCGGAACCAGAGAATTATAGCGGGCGTTACAGACGCCAAAACTCAGAATGACAGATTGTCAACTGAAGAAAGAGAAAGTGGATTAAAGTTGTATGACCTGAAGTTTAAAAAAGCGTACGTTGCAACAAGCGATGAATTGCGACGAGATTGGGGGTGATTTACGTAGACGGTGGGGACCCTTGCACATTTTCCGCGTGCGACAGGAGATTGTTGGTCTCCCCCACGGCTCTTCACTGAATTCTAGCCCGCAATATCCATTCAGCTGAACAGGATATACTTATGGCACTTGCAATAATCAATTCGCTGAGAATGACAGCTGACAATGAAGCCTTACGCCCCCGCCGTTCAGATCGTAACTCCCCATCGGCCGCGTCAGACATATCTCGTCATCCCCGGTCTTGGCCGTTTCATGTATGTTGAGGCTTTGTTACAGGTATGTCGGGCACAGACATGAAACGTTGCTAGGCTATTACTATACACACGTCCAAAATATGCAACGTATCATTCAAGGTAGATCTCCTCCCGTAGTCGCTGCAGATTTTTGAAGATACCACCTGCCGGCCCTTCACTTTCCTGGCGCCGATGGCCAACTGGTGGCCTCCCCTGTTGCTGAGATGAGTTGGTTTTACCCTGGTTCTCCAGCGTCCGCCGCCGGTCATCGATCATCTTCTCCAAACTGTCCACAAATCTAGTCCGCGCTTTCTCCTCCGCGGTTCCTTTCCACACGGTTGCCAGTCCTCGTAGAGCCTCAACCCGCCTTGTAGCAGCTTCCAATCCTTCGTCCCCTCCACCATTGCTATCGAGAAGCTCTGTCACTTCGGTGCGCAGCTTCTTCGCAACCTCCTGGCCCTTCTCCTCTTGACTCTGAGCCTCTGAGCCTGGTTCTGGAGCTGACACGGAAATAAAAGACGACGTCAAGGAAGTCTCAGACGGCGGTAGCGGCCATTCCATTGAATCTCCAAACGTCTGGACAACTTCTTCCAGGCGGGCTCGTACTTGGTTCAGGGTTCGTAGCTTCGTGATAAATTCGGGATCCTGGACAGTCACCTCTCCATTGACCGCTGCCTGGGTCTCTTCCCCGTCGTCTTCTGATCCCGGATTGCCCTCCTGGTTGGATTCTACCGTGTCCGGAACGAACCTCGCAATATCATCTCGTAAAGCTTCCGTCAGGGTCTCGGACAGTCCGATTGCTTCGCCGCGCAGCACTTCAACTTCGTAGGCGAGGCGATTGCCACTCCGTAAAATTTCATCGGTCAGTTGAGTCAGATTATTGGAGAGTCGAACATTCTGCGCGTTTATCTGCGTAAGGATCGACTGCACTTGGGTCGATAACTCGGCGAGGGAAACGGCCGTCGAGCCCCGAGGGGTGTAGGATTGCGGTGACGCCAGCGTCAGCGGAGGGAGGACATCGTTCAGGAATTCGGCGGGGTCAAAGGATGGGTCGGTAAAATCGGGCGTAATGTCGAACGAAGGTCGTGAAATGGGTGTTCGGGCAGCTGCGCGTGCCGGTCCGGGATTCTGTGATGGAGCCATTTATTCGGGTGAGAAGTGCCTTTGCGGAGGCATTGAGGGGCAGGATTGCCCTAGGAAGCGCTATAGCATGAGCTAATTCAAGGACGTCGGTCTTCAAGTTAGACTAACGCGGTTTGTGGTTATTATATAGTACAAGCGGTAGCCTGTTGGCCCAGACCTACGGCAATGCGGCGCATTGTGCCCCACGAAATGGATTCACCGCCTCGGACTGCTCTGTGACTCTGTCGTTCCATTGCTTACATAAATTTAATGCTGAAATATGAGGCCAGATATCAATATATTATTTCTTGAATAACATCAAAGACTCGACGATGGCCAGGCTCAAAGAGAGATATTTCAATTATTGACAATGAATAGCAAACTATATCTGATGAATCACACAAGAAAGCTCAATCTTCACCCAAGCAAAGACAGGGAAGAGGATGGGTATCGTCAGTCCATTCGAACAAAAAAAAAAAAAAAAACCAAGATTAGAATGTATAGAAAGCCACTAAACTGTCTGCGAAAGGCCTCATCATTATAGAACACGCAGTTGAAAATATTCAATCAAAATTACCGTATGTCGTTCCAAATCAGTCATCTCGTATTCTTTGGAATTCGGGAGGATTCGTTCTTCAAATATCCTCGACCACTCGTGCGTTCATAGCGCGCTGAAAACCGTCATCTACATTGCCGGTTCCATAGCGGCTAGGTCCCTCGCCGGCATTGTCAGCAGCGGCAAGTTGTTGTTGCACAGATTGGTTCATGGCGGGCAAGAATATGACTTTGCTGTTTGCAGTCTTGGCCATTGCTTGCATTGCCTCGAGGTACCGGATTTGCATAGCGGGAGCAGAGGAAAGAATATCAGCGGCCTAGAGGAGAAGTTAGATCTTACTCGCCGATGTATACACAAAAAGAGACATACCTGACGCATCAACTTGGCCGATTCAACTTCGGCGCGAGCGGCAATGACCTTACTCTCACCAATTCGCTTAGACTGGGCCGCCATGGAAAGCGAGTCCTGCAGATCGTCGCTGAAAATAATATCCTTGATGAGCATGGACTCGACCTGCACACCCCACCCAGCTGCTACGTCTTCGATGATCTCCGAGGTGGACTGGGCGATCTCCTCACGGCGTTCAATCACATCTTGCAGGACTCTCGCTCCGATGACATGGCGCAAAGTGGTCTGGGTGCGCTCGACAAGCGCCTGTCGTACATTGCTGATACCGAAGGCGGCTTTGTGGGGCGAGATGATTTGGTAGTAGATGACAGATGTCAGGTTCAAAGTAACATTGTCCTTGGTCATACAGACCTGACGAGGCACCTCGACGATCTGGATCTTCACATCGACTGCGGTTAAGTGCTCACTCAGAGGGTTCACTTTAACAAGACCAGGGTCGACTGCACGTTCGAAGCTGAAGACTAAGTCAGTACAATTATCTTTCTTCACGCTTCCATTCAGGTGCCCACGAACCGTCCAAACTTTGACACGAGACCAACTTCACCTTGAGCCACGGGCTTATAGGGGTTCGGGCAGCAGACGCAGCAGGGGATAGCACCGAGGAATCCAATGAATTCGCCAAGGCCATGAACTACATTGGAGATTAGCGGTCGCAAGTCCAAAGTTACTGGGAACACACTTCAAGTGAAGTAGATTACGACAGGAATGTGATGGAAAGAGTAGAAATGGTGGAAAGCAAAAAGCATGGAAACTTACTGAGGCCTGCATACCACCCATGAGCCTCTGGGTTTTCAACATCGTGCTCAAGCTTCTGCGCATACTTCGGCTGCAGATCAGCCAAGCGCGCAGGTTGGACACTGACAAGACCGGAGTGTCCACGGTCATGGTGGCTACCGGGCTGAGCGGGCGCCTTGCCATTTACTACTGATTCTTCGGCGGACATGTTGAATATGGTTCAGATAGTGGAGCAAATAACAGGAGACACTTGCGGATCAGAACAGAGTAGATTTCTTTAAAATACTCGGACGTAAATAAGTTCCGAGAGGCTGGTCAATGATACGAGGTCGCAGAGAAGAAGAGAGCTGGAATATATACCGTAGCAATGCCGGAGATGAAGGGAAGGTGAACGGATTAAATAACAAATTGATTTGGGATGTTACCTCTCACTATGCATGAGCTAACTATTGACCTAAGGCAGCCCTCTCCGCTTCTGAATGGGTCCGGGTGGGTTCCCGGGCAGTGGTGGGCCCATCACCCCGTTTTCAGCCTAGCTTAATCGAGCTGGACGCATTCGTTGGCTGCGGCACGGGTCAGTTGTTGGAAGGACCCATACAGAAGGATGGCCTAAGGTTTCTTCCAAGGCTGAGTCACTTTCTTGGCCCTGTTGGTTCAACTTGGTTTGCTGGATGATCAGGTGCTATCTGTGCTGCTGTATCATAGGTTGGCCCGGCAAGTGATCTAAAAGGCTCAAATTGAAACTCTACATTAGCTAGTGAATACGAGTTACCCTTTTAGGGAGGCCAAATGAAGATGATCCTTGGGAGTTTTATGCGATCCTGGAAAAATTACATCATCCCAAAGACAGCACCGCCGCCCCTGACTCCACGTGAACATACCTTAGCCTCTCCAGCAATGCTTCCAGATGTCTTCTAGTGGCCGCCATTGACTTCACAATGCACACTGTGCGTGATGCTAAATAATAGCTTGGGCCCTGCACTGCCCTTGCCCAAACTCCGATTTACACTTACAAACACCTCCTCTTAATTTAAACGTCTGCGGTAGTACCGTCATGCTGCAGGGTCTCCTGCCGTTGCAACATGCACGCCGTTATATGCTCCGTACGCTGTACATAAGATAAACCCTGGTCAAATTTCCTTCGGAGAATATGATCCATAGTACGTACATACATACATATGGCTATGCACATTCATACTCCGTATCATTACTACCTTTCTGGGAATTACTCGGCCCGAGCAAACACTACCGTTCTTTGCCCTGCTGTTGGGCGCAACGGGGCTATGCACCATCCTTCGCGTGTTACCAATCACTGCCCTTGGTAGACCGATGGGGCACTGCTCCCAAAGTGCCAAGCGTTGTGCCGATCTCCAGCACGTCGAAATGGCACCTTACTTCAAAGCTCTTCCACACCCTTCTCATCCAAAGAACAACAACTTTGTTGCCACCTCTCAATGCTCTTTGGGCTGCAAAGTATAGTGACACTTTGAAGAGCTGGAATGGTCAACTTAGAAGACAACTCAATCCCCCCAAGTCAGGCAATCTCGGCGGAGCTTTGGGGGCGCTTTTTGCTTGAGATCATAGTGGGTCGGCTACATGTTTGTAGAAACCTTACGCTGGTTATTTATTTGGGGTCTTCTATCAGGGATCTAGGAGAGCTAACATTGTTTGGGGAAATGCAGAGCCGCGTATTGGAGTCTTCTGATGTGATATGCTTTTAAAATACAAGCTCTGCCTCAATCTACCGAAGCGTGGCAATGCCATTTATCCGAAAATAATCGCCAGTAATATGGTCACATGCTCTTGGCACTAGGTCTGGGGCAGTGTCTGGTAGTGTACTTGGATATAGACTGCATACATGGTAACGACGCTCGCGAGCTTCATCCTACCGAATCAGTCGGTTAAGCATGCATGGCCAATCATATCCAGCCATTATTCCTAGCAAGCAAACGGGTGACTCTATCACCGGGGCAAGTCCTGGTAGAGGCATTTCTTTGGTGTGATCATCTTAGAAGCGTCCCGACGCCAGTTATAGCATTATTGGTTAAAGTCAATTCATTGTTAGGGTTATTTATTGTGTACGATCCATGGATATCCACATGTCACAAGATTTGCTACACAGTTACAGGCAAGACATTGATCAGTTACTTTTGACCATATACTGCAAGGGTACCCCACGTCTTTCACCCCTGTATGTTCTGAAGCCACGATCTTGCACAGGGGTTGCGTGGATCTTTACATTGCCTCATCTAATATGTTCCCGTGAAACGATGGCCTCGAGATATCTATCAATAACTCCTTTACCGGTCTAACTGACATTAGATCTACGTTAAACGTCATGGATAGGTACTTGCAACACGTGTTATCAAGGATGGCCGTCACCTGGCAATACTACCACCACACTGCACCCATTATTTGACCGATGCGCCGCAACTTGGAAAAAGCTGGTTAAGAATCATAATAATAAATGAAGTAACTCCCAGAAACATGCATTTCTACTTCAATACACCGATCTTATCTCAAAAGAAGATAGAATAGAAAAGTTAGAGTTCTTAGCATACATCATACATGGTGCCAGGACGCTGTAGGAATATAATACCAAAAGTAAAAACCTTTACCAGTAAGAAGCATCATTGGTCTAGTGGTAGAATTCATCGTTGCCATCGATGAGGCCCGTGTTCGATTCACGGATGATGCACTTCTTTTTTTTCTTATTTTTACTCTTTCTGGCTCATTTCTCGCCTCATCTACTTTCCTTCGCATGGAGCCACATTGGCACCATTGTGTTTTTAACCCAGATCATTCGGATAGTTGGAAAATCGATTTCAAACATAATATAACTCCAGCACCTATTTGGACACTTTTCCAAATGAGGCTTGATAATCATAAAATAGCGGTCAAAAACGTAAGTACAGTAAGAAGTACAGCTAAACATGGGAGTTAGAGTATGAAGATAGCTTCGTCAGAGGTAAATGTACTTCTGCTTACATCGTTGAAAATATCAGAGGGGAACCGGCATCTCTATTATCAGATCAAGTAGATCCGTATCAAATTTATGTAGCACAGTCCACGCTATAATATCATGATATCCGGGTCCCATACCTTCTCTTACATAGCGCAAGAGCATTTCCATGGATGTATCGCTTAGCACCTAGCTGCACGCACCTCCATGTTATGCTTGACTGTATAGACCTTGCCGATTTTCAACCGGGACATGGGGTCCAGCCGCTGGTTATAGGTGACTGGTATCGCCTCCCAAGGCTCCCTGGACATTCGCGGCTTATCTGGGCCATATAGTAGCTGTGGATTCCATGTGAATGACGGCATGTTTGGATAGGTCTACACAAAACTTTACAGCTCCTTCGTTACAGTGTGTGTGCACCGACTCGGAGATAACACTTGCCTCTAGTAGAGTATCCGGATAGTATCACCAATGGTCCCCCAACGAATCCCATACGAGGGAGTACATCAACTAATTGATTAAAAAGTGATACAAGTACAGCCCTCGATCATGCATGGACTCTGAAAACGCCATACGCGTGCTCCTGCCAAAAGAGGGAACTCGATGGCAATTGGAAAGGCCATGAGTCAAGATGAAAATATCTTCAAGGCCGGAGGATTCTCGGATTACCATCGTATGTACGCCTCCTCTGGAGCAAATCCTGAACGGCAATAATGATTCCTGCCTCTTCTCTGTGGGGGTAATTGGCATGTCGTTCTTGTTCATCCACCAGGCGTAGGGAAAGCTATAGCAGCTTGCGCAACGAGCCCTGGAAAACATCAGGCTAGTACTTTCAGTCGATATTTGCGGTGTGGTCCCTCTTATCGGGTAGCGTATCACAAAAATCCTGCTTGGAAATGTCATGGTTGACAGGGGGGTTGTTTGGTTTGAGCTGGGAAGACGATACCCCGATCAGTTCAGGAGAAAGGTCACGATGAAAGAAATGTTGCAAAAAACCAACCAAGTGAACTGTTCCCTGTTGGCGAAGCTCGAAGCATCATTTCCTCGGAAGGGACTCAAGAGCACAGTCTCCGACATCCTCTCGGGCATGGACTGTGATGGAGTATTATACGCGAAAGAAGAGGACAAGTTGGTGGACCCTACGTAGAGTCGCAAATGTTACCATTTCCAGAGCTGTGTAGATTGCACCAATTGTTTGCGGGGCGCGAAGCGCTCTACAAATTATATAGAACTCACAGGTTCTGTGTGCGAGGGTGAGACATCGTGCATTGTTTGCGTGGGTTGTTTTTGACATGTAGATAATGGTATGGACCCATAGAAGAGCATCCTACCATCACCGTCTTGTCCAGAGCATGGAGATAGCTGTTTGGTAATATTGATGTTGTAAATGTTGTGGATGGTTGGGATACTAGACTCACGAGTCACGACTGCCTGCCTGAGGTATACCTCACCTGATCTACCAGCCCCAGTTTGGTAACACAAGCCCTAAATCAGCCAACATCCAAAACCATGACATTATATACCATTGCTTCACATCTCAACGAGGCAAGGTTATGGCATCAAATTTCCAGTAATCGAGGGCCCAGACCTTCCTGCAGTCGGTAGGAGTGCCAATTGCATGTCGGTGTGTACCTCACAGGCGGATGTCTCGAGGGCTGATGGTTGATAATCTGCTGAAAGGGGTGCTTTCAGTTCTGGAGATTAGTTGCTTGCGGCACATATCCTTGTAGTATGGCAGTCTATACATAAATATATGTCTTCAAATAGCGTGAAGACTTCGCGGAGTGGTGGAAAGGGTATAGCATCCCGGGACCAAGGCGTCGCTCCCCTGTAGGCATAATAAATTACCTCCGTACACTATTTACCATATTAGACAATAGATTTTCTTGCATTTGCATGGTCCTGACCCGCATGAACGCCCCTCGGCCCGCAGTACTCTTTGTTTGCATGCTACATGCCTGCACAGCGGCTACGCAGAACCCACCCCATAAACACAACTTCTCCTGATAAGAGATGGTTTTCTAGATATTTAAGCTTGTCATCTGATAGATGAGTACTACTATACTATATACAGAGCCTGATATAACTACGCTAGTCCCGATTGGGATGTGCCCATGGCATTCAATAAAAATGTCTGTATTCTGATTTACATCTTTTAAGACTTCATATTTCGAGTCTCTAATCAATCATTCAACAACTACAGCATGTTAGCTCAGGGGAAGAGCGCCGGGCTCATAACCCGGAGGTCCCTGGATCGAAACCAGGACATGCTAGGACTTCGATATAACTTTTTGAACATGAGGATATGTTGAAACGGAGCTTCGGCGTTTTTTTTCGGCATTTTTGCTTAGTATCTTCTTCCCACTTGCGTACAAAGATTCTATGCACCTACAACTATCGGCTGTACTCTCTTTAATAATAGGAAATAGTTTAAAATAGGGCCCTTCGTCCTGTTTCATGTCTTCCCTTTCCCGAGTGAAAAGTCTGCCGATCCGGGATACGACTCGAAGCCTCGGGCCCGATACTGGTTCTGCCGGTATCCGGTACACCGCTCGGCAAACCACCAATAATATTGCTACTTTTCCTTAAGAGGCGTTGGACCCTTCGATCGCTCACAAAGAGTGTCTGTCTTAAGGGATCCTTTTCGTTTACAATGTTCCAATGGATTTTACATCAAACTACTTTTAATATGCCACTATGAAGCAATTATATTTCCTTAGCACTGTACTGTTTCTAACCCCACTAGGCTACGCGTTTAGCCAACATCACTGTTGTAATTTTTGTCACCAATCTAGAGTCATTGTGAGGTTGTCATCATTGGCGGGTTGGGTTGTACGGCTATGTAGGGCTGCATCTTATCAGCGGGATGTTGATAAGATCAGATTGGCTATCTTATCGATAACGGTAATCATGTGTTATCACGTGATGAAGCGCTCCTCACCAGCAGCGTTGCGTCTTGACAGCTCCCAAAGATCAGCATGACTGTTGTCGTGCTTGTGTACTCTCCATTAAGGTCAGAGCTGACTGTCAGCCTGGTTGATTGAACCTCGACGAGGTCCAACCCTTTCCATAATGGATATCCAACCGACACGTGACTACTCTAGTCTTTAACTGGGGCCTGGCTTGGTTTGGTATTGTTATTATATCACAACAGTCTAATAACAAATAGTGTATCACCATTGGACCTCTATATAGTTCTAAACTAATGCCTAGGGCCGCATTTGAAACCACGTGGAACCCTCCTTGCATTGGGGTCGGTGTATTCCAAGCTTGGTTGCTCTACGGAATACCGCTATATCGTCGAGCCCGTGGGAAGGGCACTGGCTGTGGTGCATTAATGGGACAAGCATTTATGCCTAAACAACACGACATAGCTGATGCTTAAGGCATCAGCATCCAAATTTACACCTAACACATATACAATAATACACATCTACCAAGTCAGGATATGCTTCTAGACACCACCGACTGAGGCCCAGGTCCATTGGTGGAGACTAAATAAACGGTTCATTTGAAAGCCTCTACCCTACGTCCATGTGACTTCAGTCTTCGTTCTCGCGCCTATCTCGGGCACCATATGCTGTAGACTAATCGAGGTGTAAGGTGCTTACATATGGCATTGAGGTTGATCGTTGGAGCCAATGATGATATATAGTGATGCTCATTCCTCGGGATCTGGATAGGGGTTGTAGATTGAGGTGTTATATGCAGATCACTGTTGTCAAACATCAATAGTGGAGTCGCTGTCGATCAACATCCAAGTCCAGTACAGAAATTCGTCGCCGTTTTCGGTGGTCACTTCGCGATATCTCTGTATCCATGTGTTTCGTATGGTTCTTTATGGGTCTCAACTCTTGGCTCTTCTACTCGGGCCTGTCATTTTGTCTGGATGACATTGTGCGCCTTGGAAAGGTCAATAGGGGCGGTATGAGTTGTCGCCAAAGCTTAGAGCTGTGGGGTGTCATGTCGATGGTTGCAAAGACGTCGAATCAGCATATGTTCCGATTCAAACTGCCTGGTAGTCTAAACTTGGGCTGGCACCTTCCTTCGTCGTTCAATCTGCATATGACGCCACAATATGCGATCCTATCCAGATCCTGAAGAAGAATCATCACAGTACATCACCATTGGCTTCAACGGTTAATCTCCATGCCATATAAGGAAACACCTCGCACCTCGATTGGTGTGTGCTATAGTGAAAGCTTGGTGGGATATACATGGTTGGAGGCCTAAATATTATTGAGCTACATTGACAGGAGGCATTATACGCCCGAGGAGATGTATCGATCGCCGCCAAATATATAATCACAACCGCAAACATATCCACACCCATTAAGCAGCCACGAATGCAAACTTGGTATCACCCAGGACGTTGACCTCAGACTAGATTTCTCGCTAGCGAAACGAAACAGTATATGGCCCAGTTATAAAGTGCACATAAAACAGAGCCTAAAAGAGAGCATAAAACAAAGGTGGTGAACCTCACATATAAAAAGAGAAAACAAAAAAGTGAAGCCGAACGCGGGGGTCGAACCCGCAACCTTGAGATACCGTGACGACTAAGAGTCTCACGCTCTACCGATTGAGCTAGCCCGGCTACTTGTTGAATAGTCTTTTAGTTTTTGCCTACATATTCCTGTAGTCAAAAGATAGACTCTTCATATGCCGCCCCTTCTATGTGCAATCTATAAGGAGGATGCTTCAAGGTAAGATCTTCAAATGTGATATTTACTTTTCACCTTTGGTCTTTTATTTGCCTTATAGTATTATGGAGATATAGTCAATGTCGCAATAGTCGATTACAGGGCTTTGGACCTTGGTATGCCATCCCACTGCCATAGCTTCCGACTTTGTTTGCTTCATGAATTGGGTTTGTTCAAACTTAACAGTACCTACTATCGCCCGAAGAATGAAACCCACAACTAAGTACTCGGTCATGTAGCCAGCTTACTTAAGACTTCTCTAGGTATCAGGGTCAATCATCTAGAATCACACCGTGCACATCTTTCTATATCAACCGATACTTACTACTCCTTGGGATCATTAACAGTTTTCTACTCGTAAGTGTGCAGTATTGCGGCCAATACACCTTATAGGCTGATGGGTACACCGGTTCTCTAACTATACTACAGCCATAGGTCCATCCACGAGCATAGTCACCATGAAGTCTGAGGAATGACTTGGAGGATCAAAATCTATGAAAGTGCGTAATGTCTCCTGAAAATTCCAGGCTCCAGGCTTGTGTTGCATTAAAATTGGAAGTTTTCCAATAACTAGCCGGGCTAGCTCAATCGGTAGAGCGTGAGACTCTTAGTCGTCACGGTATCTCAAGGTTGCGGGTTCGACCCCCGCGTTCGGCTTCACTTTTTGTTCCCCAAGATATTTATTCCTCTACTAAAGACGATCTGTGTCTGCCATCATGGATGGCATGGACGTGGTCTGTCAACGAGTAGCTAGAGGACTGGATAGATACACTCTCTGCCGCAACGGATTAAAAGAGCCATATAAGTAACATCAATCAGACAAAATCACGCAAAATGAAATGACCAACTTGCAATCTCCCTAACCTAAGCAATCTTGTATACATCTGCTCCATCTCTACTTAGCCAGTAGCTATTCGCGTTCAAGTATGGTCGAGCTAGACCCGCCGTACAGCGTTCCTTTGGTTGCCTTCTCTCCAACCAGTAGCTTCACCGTCTCCGTTAATTCACGTATCTGTTCTTTTAGCTGAATGATCTCCAGAGTGCAACTGTCCATAGTCACGTTGGGAGTCGTGTCCTGGACAGTCTGCTTCCAGCTTTCCTCGATTGCAAAATCCACTTCCTCAGCGGCATGCTCCCATTCCTGCACGTCATCATCATCTTCCTCTCCACGGCGACGATTCCATCTTATCCGACGGGCTTCGCGGGCTTCAAGGGACGCTGTTATGAGAAGAATTGGGGAGTAGATGATACCCATGATAATATCATTTAGCTTTGCGTAGCGTTTGCGTGGGAGCCACCATTCGAAGGGTGCGATCAGGAAGATAATCTCGATGAGGTTGAATGCTACCATGCTGTCAATATGGCAAGGCTGTCAGCTAGTAAAAGAGATGACTTACGAGGGATGAAGACATTCTCGTCTGGCGCCCGGACGTAGGACATCGTTTTCTGCGCGAAGACAGCCATATACTCGTCAATCGCGTTTCCTGAGATATCTTCGTATGCGCTGTTGTATAGAGCGATAAGGATATTGAGCAGAACTGCCAAGGTGTCAGCAAAGCCATAGATTTCAGAGCAGGGAAATGGACCGAACCTGTCATGATGATAAAGTTGAATAAATAGTAAAGGATAATGCCGAACGGGTACGCGAAATCCTCGAAGGTGCCAAACTCGGGGCTTTGCATTATACTGTTTGCCATGCCCTGCACAATATTTTTGACAACAGGGATATCGGACTCCACCTGAGCCATCCCATAGAAGGCTTGGAAGAAGCCCACTAGGACAACGAAGAGGAGAGCAAAGAATATTATACTCTCCTTCATCATGACCCTCAGAACGACAAACATGGCTCCGAAGAACCGAAATGAATCCATATATAGCATCATACGCATCCAGAACATTGGCCCCGCAAATGCCAAAAAGTTGTAGCTTAGTTCATTGAGTATTTGTCTCTTCTGATCATCAGCCGAAGGTGAGTGTGTCAGAGCAGCGACACGAACGAAGAAGGAGACGGCAAGAATGGCGTAAAGGGTGGAATTGAAGGCATTCCAGAAATCAAAGTAATGCCGTCCAATCTTCCATACTTTGGTCAACTCGTCACAGGTGAATGCAAGGGTCATCATATAGAGGATGCCTTCCGCGACATCGAGATCCCCGGTCCGATTGACAGTATTAATGACTTGAGTGTAAAGTGCAAGGTACACTAGAGAGACAGCGATTTGGCATGCGTTCTGATACAGAGGTGTCCTCATCCTATCGGGGTGGAAATGGACTGCAAAATTCGTGTTATCTTTTTCATGGTAGGGAACGAAGTTGGTTGGGTTGCCGTCCTGTTGACAAAACCAGCCGTTCCAGAGATATTTGATGCATTTCTGATATCCAGAAGATCCGATGATCCTCAACGCGTGAAGGTCTACAGCACGCTCAATGACGTTAGCCGGTACAGTCTCTTCTCCGTCGACGAAGACAGAATACCGCTTGAGCAGGGTATGGAGCAGTAGAAAATCTTGGTTCTCTTCAGTTTCAATTCTATACAAAGCGTTAGTATTCACGGTAAGTAGCTGCAGCGTGGATATTGTAGGGTCATTACATGCGCTTGGCTATAACCTCACATGCAAGGGCCCGACTCTCGTGAAGGTCGGAATCCCAAAGCTCCTCTATAGCTTGAATTTTGAACCAACGTAAGCATACAAGCAAGCAAAATACAACACAACCTTGAAGGTCTTCGCCGCCCGCCTCTTTGGCAGTTCGAACAACGTTGTCTGTAATGACGCGACTGGTGGGACTGGTGATGACGTTTTCTTCAACCTCGCAGGGAATAACTCGCTCAATCTGGTACTTTAGTCTAAGGGCCACTTTAGTTATTTCCTTGGAAGGCCCAGTGGAAGAAACAGGATCCGAATCGTAGGCGGGAAGTACTGTTTATCATGTTAATACCGACTTGCAGCAGACGGCACAGCTATGTGGAAATCGGGGGACGTACACCGGCGACGCTCCACTTGTAGATGACGTCGAGCACGTCCAGTGTCAGTCTTTAAGATATTGCGCCAAAGCCCCATACTGAGCAATGAATACCCGAGTCTCTATAATAAAGAAAATTGGCGCGCGGAAGGAAAAGGAGGAACGAAGGTCCGTTGGTAAAGTCTGGGGATAATTAGTAGGTAGCTTATCTCGCATGCCCCACTCTCGGCTACCGCCACGATTGGTGGTTTTGAGAGGTCTGCATACGAATCAATATGGAACCAGACCTCCTCGAGCTAATCTTGATATTGTGTACGCATGACTTGAATAGAGTGGAAGGATATGAGCTCCAAGCAAAAATCGGACCAAGCCAATGCCAATAATGTTAGGTTGTGACCAAAAAAAGAAGAAAGTTTTGATAGTAGGTGTCTAACAAGGTACCACCGATCTTGACCTGCAGGTCAAGGAAAGTTATGTACATGAGAATGCGGAATCGAGTTCCTCAGCGAACCAGAGCTCAGTCACCAGCAGGGACAGATGATTGACCAACAACCCCTAGACGAGAAACGACGAGACAACCACAGCCTCGAACGGGGTAAAGCACCCCCGAAGTTGACTGCTGGGCTCGCATCCCATAGCTCCTGAGCACCTCTGCTGATCTCGATTCTGCCCATGAGCATATTGAACCGTCTCCCGTCTCATAATTCGTGTCACATTTGAAACTCTTCTATTAAACTTTTCCCCATCCTTGCAACCAGTACTCATAACCAGCCTTCGTATTCAGTGTCGTTCAACTACACCTCGCAATTTTCTGACATTCTCCTCTTTCGAACCAAGCTCAGGGGCCTAAAATGGCGCTGTAGGCGTACTGTGTGCTGCTTACTCGGGAACACCTTCATCACTCTCAGACTGGCTCTCGTCACCGCTGACCTCCATGTTCTCACGCTCACGCTTCTCCATGAGCTCCTGGAGTGCGGCATCATCGTGCTCGGTGACGGCCTTGGGTGCCATCTTGACGCTGCAGCCACCTCCAGCCTCCTTGATCCTGGACTCGATTCTCTGGATAGCTTCCTCAAGCTGCTTGATACCAATAGCCTTGTCCAAGCACTGGCTAGTCAAGACGTACAGAGGAGGGGCGACCAGCTTGACCTTGACCTGGCTATCGGGAGTGTTGGCCTCCTCGGCAGTACGAAGAGCGGCCTTAACCGCATCGATTCCTTCATAACCGAAGCAAGTAACCTCAATATCGGCGCGAACCTTGGTGGGCTGGGGCGTAAGCCTCTTGCTGATATAATGCGTCAACTCCTTCTTCACGGCCTCGCTGGGGAACTCAACATCGTTCCACACGTCGGGGTTCCTGAAAAACGTCAGTTACATCAGAAAGCCTGGCTGAGAGCCACCAGTATCTTACGTGATAGAGATCTTAAAGGCGTCGTGAGAGTGGCCGTATTTCCGGTTCAGAGGCCATCCGATGTTCTGATATAGCGTCTCGAGGGGAGTCTGAGTGGCCTCTGCAACGTGACGCATGATGGAGTGCACCGCTTTGCTCTTGTTATATCTCTCCTCACATTTGATAACATCCTCTGGGGAGACTCGTCGCTTGGAAAGATCAATATATCCTACAAGTAGCAAGATGCTCTGTTAGTTGAAGTCCACCACTGATGACCGAATTCTCTGGAGCGAAATTCACTTGCCCTTCTCCTTGTCAACACGGAGCACGATGACGACTTCGTTGCGGCCGATACGGATAAGCTTCTGGATACTACGAATACGTCTCCGTGAAAGTTCGGAAAGCAGGATCATTCCGTCAATGTTATCGTATTCGAGAAGCTTCACATATGCGCCCATTTCGGCGATCTGTGGCATTGGAAAATAACCGTTAGAAGAAAAATTCAATAACCACACTCTCAGACACGGTGATAGAAGCGCATACCTGCTTGACATTGACCATGACATAGCTGTCGACCTCCGGGTACTTCTCCTCGTAAAAACGGCTGTTCGTTAACGACATTTTGGCGGGGTTGCGCCTTTGTGAGGCAAAGCTAAACGGCGAACTTTTCGAAGGAAAAAGAGATTCAAGTCGAAAGTCCCGTAAGAAACTGTCCTCTATACAAACTTCCGGAAGAAGTCGAGGCGGTTAGATCAACTGGAAAAAGAGTTTAACGGCAGACCACCGATGAGAGTCAGAGCACACTTCAAATCACTTTGTGGCGGCTCAAAACCCACTTTGGGCTGGGTGGTGAGTCATCACGTGCCCTGGTGGTATACCCACCGCCCGGCAGAAACAGATAATGATTCGGTATCGTCACCTTATCAGGCATATTTCTTGGTTTTGCAATACGTTGTTCAAGGTTGGACGGAGCGAGTGAAGGGAAAAGCAAGCGAATTCAGTTGGTTAATATCGTGCCCTTTGGGTGGCCTTTCTTGTCAAGCGGAACGATGCGCTTCTTTACTCTTGGATAATGATATTTACTTCAAGGTTCTTCCGTCTTCATGCTTCCCTGGCATCGCCCGCAAACTACCAATCGTAGCCACCGCCTGTTGCACTACGGGATTTGCTACTTTTTCACTCGCCTATTTTTTTCGCTGCCTTAAATTCAGCCAGGCTTTCCCTGTTTTCTTTTCCCTTCAATTCCTTCGTCTTTTCCTCTTTCATTGAAGCGCAGCACTCATGGCGAGTGCTGAGTTACTCTGCACATCATAGCGATACTGACCCACCGCGATCTCCGGGTAAATATGGATTCCAGCTCTGTCCAGGAGTCGACTCAACAGCGCTCTTTGCGGGATCGCATTTTCAACCTCTTTCGTACCTCTTCCTCAAATGACGCCCCAGGTCTTCCAGCAAGGCTCGTAGCCACCGAGAGCGCAGCGCAAAACGAAGGGTCGGCGATAATCTATCCGCCACGAGAGCCTGATGCAAGGACTCGTCTTCTGGAATCGTATGATCGCGGGGAGCGTGGTCGGAGGAACTACGGTGATCATGGGACTTTTTCTTCACGACCCGAACAGGAAGATATCCAGAAATGGGATGTAAGCTCTTTGCAGAATGCTGGTAACGAAGAAAGACCGCAGCTTCCAGGAGAAGCCGACGGCCATATTGGGCCTCCCAGCGACGCCTCAGGATACCCACAAGGACCAGAGAATATACCACCGCTAGACTCCTCTTTTACATCATTGCACATGACGAATCATAAATCTCTGTAGGTTTAGAAACACGTTTACCCTGCTTTCTAACATAACTGTTATCTCCATTGGGGAGACAACTAACGTCCGTCAAGGTATATATCATACTACATCCCGTTTTTCAACTGGATTACCCAATATCGGTGGTCATACATCCGAGGAGATTTGATTGCTGCGACAACCATTGCGTCCATCTACATCCCTATGGCGTTGTCCTTATCCTCAAATCTCGCCCACGCACCTCCTATCAATGGTCTCTACTCTTTCGTGATCAACCCTTTCATCTATGCAATCTTCGGGAGCAGTCCGCTGTTAATAGTGGGCCCAGAAGCAGCAGGCTCTTTGCTTACTGGGACGATTGTCAAGTCTAGTGTCGGACCAGGCCCGTCTGGTGAGGATGACGAAGCGGCGAATGCTATGGTGGTCGGCATAGCCACTGCTATGGCGGGTGCCATGATACTGATCGCTGGGCTTACACGATTGGGATTCCTGGACAACGTGCTGAGTCGGCCCTTCCTTAGGGGTTTCATTACAGCAATCGGTTTCGTGATTTTTGTGGATCAACTCATTCCCGAAGTCGGATTGACCGATCTAGCGAAGGAAGTTGGTGTCAGCCATGGGACTACGGTTGACAAGCTCGTGTTCCTTATAAGGAACATAGGAGATTGCCATGCGCTTACAACCGCAGTGGCTTTTGGAAGCTTCGCTATCATAATGGTATTTAGGTTAGTACTGGTGACTTGGAAGCCTGGCGCCTAGACTGATTTCGATTGCAGGACTCTCAAAAAAATGCTCCAGCCTCGGTATCCCCAAGTGATCTATCTTCCGGACCGAATTCTTGTAGTTATTCTTTCAGCTGTCCTGACATGGCATCTTGGCTGGGATGAAAAAGGGTTGGAGATTCTTGGGCCCTTGAAACAAAATGCCGATGGCCTTTTTACGTTCAGATGGCCTTTCCAGTTTAGCCAAATGAAGCATGTACGCGCTGCAATGAGTACTTCTTTCGTCATTGCCCTACTTGGCTTTTTTGAGTCTTCTGTTGCCGCCAAGGGACTTAGTGGCGAGGCCAGGCAAGAAGGTGTCCAGGGAATGCCTGTCAGCGCTAACAGAGAGATGGTGGCACTGGGTCTTGCTAATACTGTTGGGGGCTGTTTCATGGCGCTTCCTGCGTTTGGTGGGTATGCAAGAAGCAAAGTTAACGCTTCAACTGGAGCTCGATCCCCGATGAGCAGCATTTTCCTGAGTGTTATTACCTTGGTTTGCATCATCGTGCTCTTGCCGTATTTATACTATCTTCCGGTGAGTCTCAACCCCAAATACTCCCGAGTGAAGGCTGACAGAATCTGTTGCAATATTTTAGAAAGCCGTTCTTTCTTCTATGATATCTGTCGTCGCTTTCAGTCTCATTGAAGAATGTCCTCACGACTTGGCTTTCTTTATCCGTCTGCGTGGATGGACGGAGCTAGTCCTAATGCTTCTCATCTTTGTCTCCACTATTTTCTATTCTCTAGAACTGGGAATTGCCCTTGGTATTGGTCTTTCTATTTTGATCCTCATTCGCCATTCTACGCAGCCTCGGATCCAAATCCTGGGTAAGATAGCAGGCACCACCGACCGTTTCGAGAACGCCGAACTCCACCCTGAGAGCGTTGAGTTGATCGAAGGCGCGCTCATTGTTAAGATCCCGGAACCTCTGACCTTTGCTAATACTGGCGAGCTCAAGAATCGTCTTCGGCGGTTGGAATTGTATGGCAGTAGTAGAGCGCATCCTTCTCTCCCCCCCACACGCACTCCCGAACATAACAAGAATATTATATTTGATGTCCATGGTGTTACTAGCATCGATGGTTCCGGTACGCAAGTCTTATATGAGATTGTGGACGGGTATGCAGACCAGGGTGTCAGCGTCTTCTTCTGCCGTGTCGCAACTCGCAATGTTTTCCGCATGTTTGAACGAAGTGGAATCGTGGAGCGATGCGGTGGGATAACTCACTTCGTTCATGGTGTCGACGAAGCCCTCCGCCTCGCCGAATCGGAAGATCAGATTGACATCTGAACTGTAACATGCTACAGAACACCGCGTTGGTTACATAGCTGCGTTCTGTTTATATAACGTCACACGATATAGATGATGCTTGATGGTATTGCACACATATTAGCCGGCCTGTTCTGAATTTGCTCATCTTAAGCACCGCTCTTGTATCATGGGTCATGCATGAAATCTTGTTAGTCAATGCCATAAATCAAATGACTGATAGAATTTTTATCTCTGCAACAATGCCTGCCCCCCCAAAGAATTAACGTGAAGAGTAAGCCGTCCACGTTGTGCACCTCGCAACCCCATAGATCAGCACCAGAATAAGGGGCATATGCTCTACCTAGAAGCCATGCTGATCAACTTTCTTGATTCTCCTCGACAAGGCTCCTGCGAATGACAGAGAGAAGTAGCACCTCACTCGCTCGTAACGCAAGGCGCTTCTTCTCGCTTGGAGCGTCATCATCATTCTCAGCCGAATCATCACCAGCAGGCCCAGCTCGGATAGGCTGCGCAACGAGTTTCATCTTTCCTTCGGCGCCTAGAACGAACCCGTTACATGCGATCTTACTGATACGCACATGTTTTCTTGCCGGACTATCCTTAGCTGATGAGCCAGCCAGATCCAGATCCATCGCCAGATGCTTCTCAATGTAAGAAGAGAGACCCGAGAGAATAGAACCACTCGGTTGATTCGAGTCCCCAGTAGCAGGTAAAAAGTTCTTGATAGAGCCTCGTGGGATATTGATATTGAGGGACCTCAAATCCGGAGCCACATTAGTAGAGAATGACACAGTAATCTGTATCTCCTTCACGACATCCTCCAGAATAGCCTGTGAAGCCGCCGATTCTCTATCGCGGCCTTGTGTCAAAGCGTCCACGTAAGACGCAAGCCCGGCACATAGGAACTGCGAAGGGAGGCGAAAAACAGAACAGTAAGTGTCAAAGTTCGCCGAGAGAAAAGAGATGAACGTTTGTCGTAGCGGGCCCGGTAACCGCGTCAGCAGTAACGGGAGATATGTGGAGGTTTTACGCGAATGGGATCCCTCTGGTGGTGCAAGCAATGCTGCTTTATAGGTGATGTTTTCGTATTCCAGTACCACGAGGATTCCACATGGGCTCTCGGGAGCATTGGAAGTTTCTAACGCGAGGCTTGATATAGCTTCCCAACTGCAGTTTTTGAGAGCGCCAGTTCTGGAGAGCGCGTCTTCCTCTGGGGAGGGTGCGCTCGTGCCAACCTGAAATTCGGCTAGCACGTTACCGGTGAGTTGGTCGCGCAAGCGGTTTGCGTAGACTTTTAGAGCTTCTGGGTTGTCCAGGAGAGATTGGAATTCTTTTTCATGGTGTAGAGGTGATAGACGGTGTAATGTCCATGATGTATTTAGTATTTGATCTGGTGTTGAGGGGGCCATTTTGGAGTCTTAATGCTGGGGTTATACAATGTGGCTTTGGATGGTTGTTCAAGTTCACATGTCGAGTATGAGATCCTTTAGGAACGTTCCCTACAGTCCCTCTGCCGCAGCCGTAGCTCAGTTAACCAACTAACCAGCCCCCCACCGCCTTCAGTGTGCACATGGAGTCAACGATGATTCCCACCTCGACAATAAATTTATAGGTATTTTAAGTTCTAATATATCGTCATTAAACTTCAGTCTTATTCCAATCTTGAGATGTATATAAATTTAATTACACAATTACTTGACTCAATTTAGGCGTGACCTTCGTATTTAGATTACGGAATACCAAGACTCCAACAACCCTGTAATCTGGAGGTACCCTCTTTATATCTTCGCTATATTTCGAAGATTGGTTTTATCTATCAGATTATAAGTATCAATATTGAACAACGACCCTGCGGCGGGGCAATCTATGTCTACGTAGAATATTAGAGACTGTTTATTTGCTAATATCTCTGCAACTGAATCATCCACGCCATCATTCATGGCGTTGTCGAAGTGTTCATTCTCCTTGTCCTATCTTTTACTCCCTTGTTTTTGTTGACCTGATATTATTATTAGCCTACCATCAGAAGTGTGAAAGTTACTGTTTAATAAAATCATTATTGGCGCTACCTTAACTAGAATTTTAAGTATAGAGGAAAAATAGAAAGATTAGTACTTTGAATTAGATAATAATCCAGATGTTATAGAGCCCCTAACTTGGGCAGAAGAATATTTTTTCACGTACGCTGTACGTCCAAGTTGTGCTTCATCCAAGCCCAGCGAGCCTCGGTACCTGCTGTGTGGTTGTTCAGAACGCTAAAAGGCATGTATATATCCTTGTTCTTAACACGAATCAGGAAATGGGTTCCGATGACGATAAGGTATGCCAGCTAAGTAACGGCCGAGATAGCCATGGTTGTTGCGATTGCAATTGTGACTCAGGGAGGGGGAACACAAAGACTGGACTTGTGTCTGTCGAAATATCATATATGTATAGAACATACACATAATATGTTTAAGATATCGATGAAGAAGTACTGATTTAGATTGGGGATTTTCTTTCGTCGGTGGGAACAGTAGTCGCGGTCGATAGCGTCTTTGTCGACTGCGCAGAAGTAAATATTTTCACGTACGCTGTATGTGTATGCACTAGGCTTTCCAGTAGATATGCAAGGCTTAGGGTGAAACGTAGACAGCGTCGATACGCCCCTGTACACTTGTTTGAAGCTCTGCTTCGAAGGCATCGGTGCCCGGAAGCAGTCCGCACGCTTGTGACTTCAGTGTATAAAGCGATATATATTTGGATTCGTCGGTTTTGAAAGCAGCCAAGCTATCAAGTACGCTTGCAAGCGCCTTCCTAACTGTACGATAAAGTTTATATCTCTTTCTCTCAAATTCCACCACGCTAGTTCTCAGTAACAAGCTATTTATACCGTCCAGGAAAATAGATTACCTACCGACAATATTGCTGTCCATAAGTAGATAATCGGCACGGATCACGCCTCTTGCGTCCGAAGACACGGCAATTCGCAGCCCGTTATGTTCTTGGGCGGTGATGCAGTCAATTCGCCTTGATTTTTCACCATAGCTTCTCCATCAAACGATAAGGACATAGACAGAGACGGTGGTGATCTCATGCTCTGCATTCTACAGAGTGTTGAGGATTTCTGTGCTTCTGATCTGGCCGAAGGATCTTAACTTCCTCCCTGAGTACAAGAGCCAGAGTGCGTTAGATGAGCGTGCACATTAGGCCTTCCGGTAGATAATTATACCTGCCTGTCTGTCACGTATTACTAGTAACACCGTGACACCATTTGTTCATAATCGAATCTTGGGCCCTAAGCCACCTAGTTTCGTCATTTATCTGGCCTAGCATGAACCAGACGAAGGCTTCATTGATGACCATGTAGAATGCGCTACTTGAGCATTGGTGACAGAGCTATATAGGTAAGAAACAAAGGAATAAGTCTTGATTAATACGTGTCTTTGGTAGAGTATTTGGGTAAGAGTTGTGTTACAAGGACTTCCCGCCATACTTAATATGGCTAGCTCTCACCGCTAGGCCCAAATAGGAACACGGAGCGAGAATCCATGGTTGAACTTGGAATCTCACCCAGCTTATACTGTGAAACTTGTAAGAGATACAGACAGGGCACTGTATTCCACAAGGTCAAAAGGCCAGCATAATTCTGAATCGACGATTCAGAATATCATGGGCTGATATATATAGCAAGCCGCCGTTACACTCGGCCACACATTCGTCCCACAATAGCTATATCAGTGCTTGACCAGCATCATATATGTCTCAAGGAGGTTTTGGCAATAGGTGTGTCTTTATAGAAGTCCACTTTTTGTACCTAGTGTTAGGAATATAAGCATCGAGCGAATATCTAAACTTCTCAGAAGTATGGTTTCACTACCAGCACGGTTGGATGAGGATATAAAAGGATCGGTACCAGTTCAACGTACCGTGCTTTGAGCTCCATTGGTAGTCCAACTTTGGCAATGGCGAGAGGGCACCGCCGTCTTATCACTAAATTTTCCAATATAATTAAGTTGGGATAAGGAACCTGCTTTCCTGAAGTACTTACTATGAATTTATCTTTGCGAATACATAAGTCAACTATCAGCAATAGAAAGACTTGACTCAAGGTAAACATACCGTTGTTAAAATAACTTCATGCAATTCACTAAGATGACAAGTCCGTGGTGTGAATTCTATTCATCACTACTAGCGAAATGCAACTATGCAACTTCACGAAAGCCTTTTTTCACCTAGCTTTTATTTCTTTTCTTAAAGCCGTCTGTGTAACCCTGAGAGACTTTGTACGAGATTGTATATCGAAATGCCCCCATTCTCCTATCGATCCCACTATGTTGTCAATTTAATTGGAAGGTCATGTTCCTGACTCACCCAGCTTTGGCGAATATCCAGAAAGATAGATATCCATGGTGATGGATATCTATAGTGATGGCGATCCATAATAACGAATGCCCATGATGGTGAGATCCATCAAGATATCTATTATAAATCTCCACGGATAGCTCAGAGCTCTTCATCTTCCGAAAACTATCCTTCTCAGTGAACTGTATATACTTATACCGTAGTGAGCTGCTCCCCGTCCGGAGCCTGTTGACTACACTTGAGAAAACTAACTAAACATGTGGAGCACTAGCTCAGAGCAAGGTTGGCGATGTATTTCAGAATAGGTGGGGGAGAACCAGTAGCTTCCATTTATCCAGGCTTATGCAAAGGATACTTATAACCCCATTTGGCCTTAACCTCGTAATACAGTCATCAAGTACGTTTCGCGGCATATTAACCCTCCAACCTTCTGCATGACGACAATCATAGCTCTCCCGAATCGATATTCCGTAGCATTTGAGACCCCAAGGATATAAATAGCGCGAGAGAGGGGGTTGAGCTAGTATTCGATTATAGTTGTTTGGTATCGGCCCCTGTGAACCGTCAAGCACTATCAGACACGTTAGCAGCAGCCTTGGATGAGATGGAGCATCGCACTGGAATACTTACTCGGATTATAGCTGTTCGTGTTCCAGTAGCGTGCTTTTGAGCATCTCACGAGTAGCAGCAGCGAGAAAGAGGGAGTGGGGGTAGTATTCGATTAAGATTGTCCGGGACCGGCTCTTTTGAACTGATCAACCACGTTAGTGGCGCATCAAGTGAGATAGAGGATGACACTGGTATACTTACTCGGATGATAGCGGTTCAGCTGTTTGTATCCCAGCAGCGTCCTTTGACCATTTCATTGGTAGGGTATACTCCGGGGAGTTTTCTGTGTTCGGTTAAAGGCATTGGACCTAGCCTCGGTCAGTTGTCAACTTGAATGCAGGCTTAGAGACTAGTGCCTGTGCCTCTCATACCATATTTTATTTCAATAGCCCCCAGTATCTCAAGCCTAGTATAACAGTTATTAGTATATAGGAACATATTACTTACTTGTTGGCGGTACCATTCTGTCGAGCTGGACAACGAATTGAAGCATTTATCGGGGAAAGTGTAAGCCCGGTAGATGGATGATAAGAAGCCAAAAATTGTGGGCATTATGACACTTGAGGCAGAGGTGTCAAAAGGGCCCAAGGATAGTGAGTATTTGTAGGAGTAAACTCCTACGACTCTGTGAGCGAAAAGATATTATACAAGCACATGGCAGGTATAAAACGCCTTTTTGGAGATAAAGGCAGCGGATAGTCTCAATCGGGTGTGGCACTTTTTGCGTCCGCAAGACCTCCATACTTTATAAGTGGCTTACATTGGGCTCCGGCATCTATGCGGCCAGTGATCGCGCCCAAAGTAAGCACAGCGCGCCAGCCATTCGAGACCGCTACGGTACACTCTCTGTTACCAGGGGTAAACATAGGGTACTCGAAATTGTGGGCGTTCTTATAATGTATTCGGAGTTTTGCGGGGCACGAGTACTTTGTCTGAGAAAGAAAGGGTGAGTAAAAAGGTGACAGAAGAATAGGTTCCTCGGGGATTGATAGTAGATACTCACTTACCTGATGCTCGCAACAGGGGTAGCGGCACCAGACCTCGCCCCTGTACACCAGTCGATCAGCAAGCTCAGCTTCTGGATCTACCCTAGGGAAGTCCAAAGTGTTCCTTGCGATGGCGAGGTATGTAGGGATGCCATTGTCCGATGTGACAGCCTTCTCTTCGCACTTTGTCGCCCGTGACTTACAGCCACGGGGTGCACGAGGGTTAGAAAGGTGTTGAACATATCCGGGACTTTTGCACTTGCTTCGCGTGGCGGTCTCTCGGTGGTCAGCCTTGGTAAACTCTTCACTGCAGTACTGGCACCTAGGCTTCTCAGTTATAACATGATGTTTATTATCATGGTTGCAAAGCTGAACAAAAGTGTCATATATCCCTCCACACTTCCCGCCACTCAGGTGGAGTGTTTCGATGATAAGACTCTTCAAGAAGCGCTTGGAAGTCCTCAGCGATCTTGAGGTTGTACTATGCCAGTACTTTATCAATGAAGAGCTTTGTACGACAAGGGAGTAGCGGAT